AATCATACATATTAAAATCTAGATGTAGTACAGTTCAAAAATAAACTAATACAACTAACTAAACCAATAATTTCTTATTAACTATCAATTTTTTAAAACAAAATTGCAAATCTCTATGCTCCACCGGCGTTGTTATAAATTTTAGTTTTTTAAAGTTTTAATTTTTTTTTTTATTGGCCAATGTTGAATAAACTTTAAATCTTGCGCGGCTAAGTTAAATTATTGGTACATCGAAAAGAAAATCTGTAGTAAATATTAACGGTAAATATAAATAGTTTTCATACTATGTCTACAGTCTATGAGGATATAGAAGTAAATTTATTCACCAAGTAATATAGAATAAACAATATAAAAAAAAATTGAACATAATGAAAGAAATTCCTGCCACGACAGAGAATACTATATATTTTATTATTAAAAATACCTAAAGTGTTTTGCCTACAAGAATTTGTCTCTATGTAATTGTATTTATTTTCAAAAATGAAAGTAGGTATTTTAATTCTCAAATAGGAAATTTACAGTAAATTTTTTAATTAAAAAAAAATTAACGTTTCTGAAAACTTTCCACATGAAATCCCTAGCGCAAAGCATTTCCTCGTTTAGAAGTAGTCGAACTAAACGGCGAAGTTAGTGTAAACTTGTTCTGAGAATGCTAGGAAGCAAACTCCAATTAAGTAATAAAACGAGCAGTAAACTTTGCACAAAAGTTTTTCCATATTATCAAGCATCTGTTGCATCATAATTTAATGAGATAATTAATTCAATTATTTATATTAAATTAATTGGATTATCCGTATTACCTGCCTACATGATAACCAACTCGCTAAAAACCTTTAATAACAAATCAACCAAAATAATATCACCTCAATATACTGATATATACTGGTATTTATGAGCAAATAAATATTTTATGAACAGATCAGACTATGTCAAAAATCTGTACATTTTTGTATTCACACCATCAACACAAATAAAGTCCTGTATGTTATTATCAAATAAGATTGGAAGATTGTTTTCTTTATAGCGATTTTAATTTTAATTAAATATTACTATAAAATAGAAGCCATCTCTATTTTAAAACAATATTTTTTATTTAATGACGAGTATGGTCATAAAATATAATATTACATTATCTACCGGTACCATGTTTAGTGTCTAATAAAATTACTTCTTATTACATAGAGTAGCATATCTTATTTGAATTACTGTGCATTATTATGAGTGACTGCAGTATTTTTAGTTATAAAAAAATTTGATAAGTAAATAAATTTTATTAAAATTTATAGTGAGAAACGCTACCTTAATCACATTAAGTAAAACAAGGTGTAATTTAACTTTGTGCTTGTTTTAAAAATAATCATATTAGTATAATTATTATCACTCTGGGCTAGGTATGGTTTGTTACAATTTCTTTACAACAACCCAATTATTTCTTTCTAAATTAGCTTAGTAAATTTAACGAAGTCGCACTAAAATTGTTTCACCAAGTCATAGCTCTTTGTTAATAATTGGTTTATCTACTTCGAAAACGATTTATGTAGCAAATATTATAAAAAGGCCAGAAAAAACTTTAAGACAATATTTGAAACTCGTATCGTACTACACAACAATAGTTATACTGATATGTACTACACACATGGGTGGTGCGAAATTGCCTATAAAAAGCGCCGTACAAAATCAAAAATATGTGTCTTGATATGATATCATTATTAGCGTGAAAATACCTAAATAATGTAATAAAATTTTCCAGAGACTATTCTATTAATTATTGTTCTTTTTTAGCCGTTATTTAAATAAATATTATAGCTTGCTAATTAATTGTAATAATAATACAATGACAAAACAAATTAAGTAAAACAACTGGCGCTTACAGGAACAGAAAAAGAGTATTGACACCTTAGACGGTGTAAATGATTAAATGTCTTGGAAGACAGGGAAAACAAAAACTGTCAATTTGTATAAAAGGGAATACAAGATAACATAAATTGAGTAAAATACCAAATGGCTGGTTCATCAATATGTATTAAATAAGGACCTGATTTAAGACACGAGAATTACATTAGCAAGACAAGGCCATATTGTGTTCAAATCTAAGCGATTTGTCTTTTGATTAATGTTTACTCTTAAATGACATCATTAAGTTCATCATAGTATTTTTACAAATTAAGTTGTGTCTAAAGAAAACCGTTTATATTTGATATGTCACATGGAATTTATACCCTTTAAAATCTATTGTGTTTTTTCTTTTTAATTTAAAAATACAGAATACATCATTTTTTTTTAGTACATACCTACATGAATCTTACATAAAAATCTAGGAAGGAAAAACTTTTTTTTGGCAGTGTTTTTATGAGTTGTGACAATACAAAAATGATCTCTACTAAACCAAACGGATGAAAATATATGTTTAACCTTTCATTGTAAAACCATAATGCTTATAAATAAGATCCAAAATACCAAAAAAAAACTATAAATGCATTTTTGTCGTATAACTTAATTTACTGAGGTATATATTCACAACACACATATATTTTTATAGCGTACAACCATGGACCATGCAATAAACGTATAGTAGTAAAATAAGTAAGTATAAACTTTTATTACAGAGTCAAATTATACAAGTTTTCGAATAGCTCCTAAAGTAATAATTATCCTCGAACATTTTTATTAAAAACGTTGTACATACTCAAAATAAAAATGCCGTTTTCTAATAGTACTGGTTTAGATTGTTTTGAAACATGACAATGCCAAACAATTAAGGAGAATGGTAAACAAAATTGTTGTAGCTATTAACAAACGACCGAAGATAACCTTTAAGAGTATATATATATATTTTTTTTTTTTGTCTTCCTATTCTAAAACGTCAAAGTCGCAATATACCAGTTTTGTGAAAAACGTGTTTAAAAAATATAGCAATTGTAAATAATATTTATCAATGTATTAATATGTCATTCTATAGTAGTTTGCCATATGAGACCTTTGTATGAAAAAACATCACCCATTTTTATTTTATTAAAAGCGATGGATGAATAAATTAAAATGCAAATACCTACAAGAAAACAAGTATCTATAAAAAAAAAAAAAATAGTATACAAAAAGTAATAATGTTTGAAGTAATATTATACAATTATTATAGTAATAACAACCTAAAATTAATAATATTGATTGGCTGAAATATTTTCTAGAATAATATCTGATAGACTTTTAATCCTTAAATGATAATTTAATGATACTAAAAAAAAGATACTCGTGTTATTAAAAAAAAAAAGTTTAAGCCACATAAATTTTGTAAAATTGCAGACATAATAAATTATGTCGGAACAAAAAAACGAGGAGATACAGGGAACAAAACCCCATCGGTCAGTGTAAGGCAATTATCTTACCTCATCCCATGTTTCTAGGATTACCGCTACTTTTATTAATATATTTTTTTTAATTAAAAAAAAATTATGCACGCGTAAAACGTACGACTAATTTTAAAGATTTTCCACCAAAGTTTTTTAATCCAGCAAGACGTGGAGTATAATACTACAACGAGTTCATCGGCTCTGTGTATTTAGTACCAGCTATAAAACAATGATCGACCAAATGAATACAAGGTAATCCTGTATAATACAGGATTAGATATCATTTTTCTAATCAAAAACTATTTTATTATAATAGTAGAAGAGTATAAGGGCACGCAAACATGAAGCTACAATATGCATACAATCCAGTCTTTAGTAATAACTACAGCGATTATTTTTATAGCATAAAAGTAAAAGCCGGAAGGGTAATGTTTTTTATTAAGTATCATTTGGTGTACCATCCATTAAAACTAACAGTTTTTTAGTTCAAGTATTATTATCTTTTATTCAAAATATGCACTTTTATCAAACATATATTATTAATATATAATTTGTATATAAATTTGTCCAAACCCCAAAGAGGTGATTTGCTCACAAACACATATTTTACAGTTATATAGTTACAGTTATATATATATATATAAGTCAAATCCCAAATACGAACAAACTTTAAGAGCAACCCTCCGCAGAACTTTTAAAACTTACCCTGCATGTCTGTTACGATGAAAATTTTACATAAAATGTATAAATTTTACACTGGGTTTTCCATAAAAACGCTTAAAAACCCCAAAAAGGTGTGAAATTCACAGAAAAGTAGATAGAAATATGTGAAAACGACCTCAGAAATCAAAACAGTTGAAATAGTTATGTGTTATAAGATAATTTTCCGTTCTTTATGTAAATTTTTTTTAGCTATTTGGAAAAAACATTAGAAAAATTCTCAAATTTTTGTGCAACATGAGAAACCGAACTTTTAAGATTATAAACTCAAATTTAATAACTTTCTGGTGCTCGAAAAAAATTTATAATTTTTTCAGACGTCTGATATTATTTTACATCTGAAACTGATTTTTGGCGTTTTGGCTCATACACAGAGTTGTGCATTATTCGAATGAAATACATTATTCAAGAGAAAAATATTCAAATAACTTGCAAGTGCGGGTTTCAAGTCTTTTTAACTCAATTTCGTATAAATATAATACATATATGTATTATATTACATATAACATAGAAGTACAAATTCATGTTTATAATTATTTTAATTAATATTTAAAAATATATAGACACTTTTTTTACTAATATTTTTGTTAGAATACAATGATTTTGAGATCAGTCGGGCACACTCGAAGCGTATTGTCTGGATTGGCCCAGTTCGGCCTCTAGTTAAAATTTGTCTATTCGGTCCGGTTCGGTCTGGGTTATACTTGATAACTAGTCAATTTCAGTGGTCCGATCCGGTTTTGAACAAATTTTTTTTTTATCCCGGTCAGGTCTGGGTTCAATAACTTAATTATGGTCTGGGATTAGACGGACCGAGTTATTTACACAACTCTATGCATATATATATATATATAAATAAATTGCCCCTTTTTAATACATTTCGTTCCGTCTACATTGAAAAAAAATGAATTAAAATAATTAAATAATTCATACCTCTAAACTCCAATTTGAACAGTCTTTCGCCGTTATACTTGGGCACCTTACAACAATTAATCTTCACAATCACACGCATGGTCACGCACGAGACTAGCCACAGTGGCCGCGCTTCAACAACTAGAGGCGTTGAGGCAGCAGGACATAATACAGTCCTACAAGAGCGCCTCTTTCTGGCGCAACAAGCGTTAACTTGTTGATTCGCCTTGGACTCGACCCGTTCCCGTACCGCCATCTACTCTTAACACACTTAAGTACAAAGTATAGTGCACGAGAGTACGGCAGATGGCACGAACAAAACCCTTAACAGTATACCGTCTATAGGTAGCAGCACTTATATTGTACACACACAATCTGTAATGATATTGTATTACATTTTTTTGTTTCAAGGAGTCACATTTAGCTGTATCTTTCATATAATAGAGAAGCAACTCAAAAAAATTCGAAAAAAAAAATAGAAAACACTTAATAAATACTAGTATACGCATTAATTTACAAAATTCAATTACAAGACGATAATCTGAGCGCACAGCAGTATATTTTCATATAATATAATATATATTTTAGTATGTCTGGAAAATTATGACCCAGAGTAGGTATAGTTTTTGTTACTTTAAATGTCTGGTTACACGACGTTTTAAAATATTCAAGAAATAAGTACTAGGAACCGCTACAAATAGTAAATTCTATTTTTTTCGAGTATCGAATATAAAAATGTTTAGAGAATAGGGGCTGGTTATTTTATACTTGACCACCAAATATAATTTATTATTTCATATTAATATGATTAGCACAAAATCGAAAAATATGGATCATTTTTCTTTTGACAAAGTTTAATAGTTTGAAATTGAAGACGAGATGTATGCATTAATTAATAGCACTTCTATTATTACTCAGTTACTACAATAATTACTCTGTAGTCATGTAAAAATAGCCAATGTATATTAGTTGGTGACATTACGACAAAAGTTGTGGTTAAATCCAAATTTCAACTAAGAGAGAGTTATAAATTGTACAGTAATAGCACTGCCAAGTTAATATGAAATATAAACTTATATTATAATAATATCGAGATGAGAAATTATCCAATGAATACTGACAAGAGAAAAATGAAACTGTGAGAAAATTAAATTGTGAGCAGTTAGAGCTATAGTAGATAGCAGGACTAATGAAATAATATATTGTTGAGTAATCACTATACTTTTTAAATAGTTCTAGCGGACTATAATTTTGAGTGGAAAAATATGTAAAAATGTTAAGTGGTTTTTTCAATTTTGAGAAGGGGAGGGGTAAACTTTTTAAATGTTTGGCTCATTGAAGGTAATGTTTATGATTCATAGACTTACATAAAGAAATCGGTTAGGTTAGGAAAAATTAAAAAAGCATTATTGTGCAATCAATATTCAATACCTTCTCAGCTCCGCAACGAAGCTAAAAGAAAATATTGAAAATAAAAGCAAAACATTTCAACGAAGTACGGAGAAAATATATTGTGGACATTTAAAAACAGGTTATTTATTTTGTGTTAGATAATAAAAACCAATTACAAATTAAAAGGAAAACAAAAATATAAGTAACAAAAAAACAAGCAAATAAATTATTTGTTACCAATAACAACTTACAATGAGTAAATAAACGTTATTTTTATTTAATGTTACTCACTTTTAAAACTTTAAACTTATAGCAAAAATAGGGAGAAACCAGAGATATTTTCTACAACAGATAATTTTCCTTTTCCTCCATAATACACAAAACACAATTTAGAAAATAATTTCAATAACAAAACACTTCTCGACTACACTTCTAATCTAAAAATAACAACTCATTTAAAAATTAAAGGCTAAAGCGTTATTAATTCACATTATACTTTACAAAAATAATAATGTTGATAATTTATTGAAATTTATATAAAAGACTTCTGCATTACTCGCTGTCTTTACTTTTAAATATACATTACTCGACAGGTATTTTTTTAGAACTCAATGCAGTGTAAAGGCAGCCAGGAAATAATAATCAAAATAATTCAAATACCATATTGCGCAAAACTTAGGAATTTAATACAGAATTTGTTTTTTCACTTACTGAATGCATAAACGAAAAATACTTTAAACGTTTACATTTAAGCATAGAATAAAAGTAATATTATTATAAATTATCAATTGGTTAAAAAAATATTGTGAAAAAAAACATCTTGAAGGAAATACGTAAGACTATGAATATGTCAAATCCACCCCTCCCCTCACCTCCTCAAGATTAAACAGTACTTTCAAGATTAAATTTAGTCTAATAACAAATAAGATTTGATGGACATATCGACTTAAAATCGTTTAATAGAAATCCATATTAAAATACCTAGGAAAAAAGCTTGGAAATTAATTTACACTAAAATTGCTCTAAGACTTCATCGATCATATAAAATACTAAATCATATTAAATTAATTCTTTAGATAACGCATGATATCATCCATCTTATTCATCTTACCATCCATCTAATTCTTGTGTAGGTAGTTAACTTAATTTTTTTTCCACATTAAAACTATTTACACGATAATAACTAAAATATTTTCAATTACTTGATATACTTTGAACGATTGCTGTAGATCATAACAACTGTGTACCTTGTATTTATTCTTTTTTTTTTTATTATTTATTAGTATTACAAAAGCACACGCTGTGAACTGTCAAATTTATTTTGTGTTTAACGTTTTACAACATTTCAATTTTCAAATACTTTAAATTGTTATACAAGTATATTATACGTTTAACAAACGATATTGAAATCCGACCCAATTGCTAATTCATGCAACCGTTACGACTAAAGTCTTTGAAACTTCTTAAAACTTGAGCGAAAATACTTTGAGAATTTTTATTACAGCTCAATCTAATTGAAAATACCTTCACAAAAGTGAAACGATATTCGATTTTTAACTTACACAATATTTTCCTGACTAGGTGGATGTGTAAACTAAAGATTTAGAATTGTTTGAATGAACACTAAGATCGTGACACTAAAACGCCACAACCACTTAATCGGGCCCTTCATTAATGGACATTTTTGCTGGGCTAACAATTCAGCACGTAGACCCATCTTCAGACGAGAGTGTAGCTTACAGGACTTTGAGATTGGAAAATTTAAACCTCTGGTTGCGCTACAAAGTATCAACGACAACTAAACGACAATGGATTCCCACTTAACAAACTTCTCTTAAGAAAAGAAAATAATTGGAAAATATTAGAGAGTTTTAAGATTAGCAAGCTTGACGTAGACCAAGTACACATTGTTAAAAATATTATGAAAAATTCTACGAATACAATCTCCAACAGTCTTCAACAACGTTGTGTCAGAAGAATTCATTAGAAAAATAATACAAACTGGTAAAGGAATTAATAAAAAAGAATGTCTACTAGTAGCCGACAACATTATTGTGTAATAGCTGTTAAAGCAAAGAAGAAAATTCAGATAATGACATGCTGTCATACGGGAAAGCGAATAAAGATGGATCTAACGGTGAATGAAGATAAGACATAGTTTATGGTAATATAATCAATCAAAAATACACTACGTCACAGCCTGAAAGTAGGCTACATGGGATTTAAGAAAGAGGAAATTTTAGTTAACTATTAATGCATATATATGCGTTTGGATAACTAAAAAAATTCAGCAGAATATAAACGCAACAAGCAAATGCTTATTTGCCCTAAGAACATGTTTTAAATCAAAACTAGTAACGCAGAAAAACAAAGTGATGCTATAATATAATTTAATTTTTGTTAATAGATGTACCAATCATATTTGATCGTTATAGTCCACCAATATATACACATCAACAAAACTTCAAATTGTTCTTTCAATTTTTCGAGTTAAACCTAACTAAGCATATTATAAACGTCTGAAATAATTCGATTTCAGATGATAATTTAGATTTATAGTGTATATATAATGTATATCGAAGTTTTATCGGTTAAAACTTTCAGGAAACTTCACTCGATTAATATAATTTATATCGGCTATCGAATACTATAAATTGTATTAGAAGAAGTCAAAACTCTCATGAGTATGTACATGTGGTGATGATTATTATAAGATATAACCTTTGTTTTTAAAGAATCCATGAAGCAGTTCTAAACTTCTAATCTTCTTTATAAATTATAGTGCAGTTTGCAATAATGAGTGTATTTTTAAGGAAATGGGGACTGTACAATTTAAACGATTTTTTTAACAATAATGTATCTTATATAAGATAAAAGAGTTAATGCGCTTTGTTGAAATATGAGTATGTTGTACTTGAAAATCTTCAAAAAACCTACTCTCTTATTTGGTTCCTACCTATGTTATTGCTATTTGCTGTTATCTTAAGCTTATAAATTCTTATACATTTTATACAATTCTTGTACTTCCACAATTACATATTCTTTTATTTTTCATATTAAATTGAACTACGCACACAATCTTAAAATACTCGAAGAACATGACTTCTAAAAATTTCATCAAGGCACTTTTTCTGGATGAAATGGGTACAGCCTTTTTACATAAACCTAATGAGCGATAAAACTATATTATCTAAACAAAAATGTGGGTAAAAGTTCAAAGTGAAAATTAATAACATTAGGTCATATTTCAGAAAGAGTTCATTTTAGGCTGTTTTGATTGATAACTTTATAATTACTAGACATGCAAATAATCAATAACTATAAGCTGACCACCTTATCAGTATACGCAAGCAGAAATATTAATAACACAATTGTAAGACAAACGATTGAATATGAAGCTCAAAATCTACAAAAAAACACAATGGCCATAAATGTAAGTTATTATTATTTCTATAAGGAAAATTTGAGGTACCCCTAATGTGGGGTCTCCTCCTCGCGTTAATCATGTATATATTTTTGTAAATATTATAAAAAATACTTATTGTAAATTTTTTTTTACAGATTGTATGTTTCAATAAAAGCGTTTCTAAAATTAAAATTAAAACAAAGGAAAAGTTTACCTGTGTAGCTCACCTAAAAAACATTTTGAACGTATTTTTTATAAACACAATTATAAGACCCACGAGTAATTTTCAAAGATTTTATAATTAGATATCAGTTTTTTAGCTAATAATAAATAGGAACTAATAAGGTAAAGGGAGAAAATACAGTCCATTAGAAGCATATTAAACAACCTGACGTCACGCTATTAATAAAATGCTAGTTATTTGTTCTAGACTTCAGTAACAAACCGCATAACGCACCTAAAGTAATATTATTAAACTACCTTCACCCCATTTTAGAATATTATCGCTTCGTTGCTATTTATTATAATAAAAAGAAAAATCATCAGTAATTTAAATGTACATACTTTGTGTATTGTTAGTATTAATTTTTATAGTTCTTTTCTTTTTAATTTTGGTTATTTATATAGTCACGTTCAAAAAGCGTTAGTGAAGTTTTGAATAGGTATGTAAAATATATTTAAGAGGTTGTGGAATATTATATTGAACCAGGGTGTTAAGATAATTTAGTAATATTATGCGTGTAGTACTAGTATTTGAATGTCGTTTGTCTATTGCAATATTGTTTTATACTAATGCCATTAGTTGGGTAATCATTTTGGACCGTTTTAATGTAGTTGTAATATACTGTTGGGTAAACATGCATTACATAAGCGCAACTAGACCTTCATTTTATGGGGTGTTGAAATTATGTATACCCGATTAAACATAATTCTCATCTTCAAACCATTAGATACAAAATAATATATTGGACAAAAAAATATTCTAAAATAAAAAAATTGAACAATGTGCGTTCATTATTAAAATGTTATGCGCACAAATCAAGGAATAGGGTTTGAATTTTTTGGGGGGTGCTAAAGTAACCCTAGCACCCCCCTAATTGTGCCTATGTTTGTGCATGAGATTCGAAAAACGCATGTCAATGCTAAATCAATATTCATTGAATTCTAATAATATTATAACTGAAAATATATAATTATGTTAGTTTAATCAAATGTACTTACTTGATATTATTGTTAAACTGAGGTTTTCATTTTTCCGGACAACACAATTTTATAATTCGCAGAACATTTTTCAAACTTTTATAAAACCATCGACCATTCGTATCAGACATTTATAACTTATATTCAAAAATAGTATAAAGTTATTATTTTTTTAATATGGAAAAATACTAAGTATGTATCGCTAGTATTTAAAGGTAGTCAAAGTTTAGTCTGAAACTAAAAACATTTGCCCATCTTCGGACTTTGGCTTAAAATGCTATAAGTAATTTAACATTTCTGCCGTCTTATATTACACAAGGTTTGCATAAAAGATATCGGAGGAGTGAATACAAAGTTGTTGATAAGCGGTTGGGTTCAGTACATAAAATATATTAAATAAACATGGCACGATAATAAATATAATATTGTTGTAGTAGACAATAACTAGACTAGCTGAAATATTATACGAATAAACAAAATATGAACACATTTTTCATTTCGGTAACATAGTTTCACTTTTTGAAGACTATAAATAAATCATTGTTTTTACACAACATTGGTTCTACTTAGAAGTTAGGAAGTCCAATAGTACGTACATCAGAAACTTAAACCATATTGACCCAAACAGGCGTTAACTCTAATAAAATTCAAAACTTTGTCACTCATACAATATGTTTACGTATACAATATTGAAAATAAAAAATTTATAAGTTATACAACAGTTGGAATAAAATAATTTTAACTATAAAATATATGGTGATAAAAATATAAAAGTATATTAAATGTATAACGACTCGTACTAGTTTATAATAATATAAATAAATAATAAATAGGTGTCGATAAATACACCACAATGTTGTCAAAACAAAAAATAATATTATTGAGATTCTCTAAGGTTACATATTAAATGGCATCGTTTGATAAAGTAAATTTGATCGCTTATTTATTCTAAAAAACTAATATGGCTAAACGTCATGGTTATAAAGAATACTAAACGAGTATTCAGCGTTTAACGATAAATAAAAATATGATAGTATAGCAATTGACAATATGCTGTAATATTTGATAATATAATATTGCTACAATATAATAATGGTTAAGATAAAGCGTTAAATTCTATTAATCATCATAAATCTACTTTGACGTTATATTTTGATTGCTTGTAATAATTGTCGTCATTGTCAGTTGTGATTGTTGCCGAGTCTTCGGTGTCGCTAACATATCCTTCTTCGGACGTGTACCGAATGGGATAAATTAGTAATGGATAAGCAGACAGAGCTGCTAAGTTCCTCTCTTCGAACTGTTCGAGCCATTCTTTTCTAATATAATATAGTATTTAAAAAAAAACAATTTAAAAATCGTTTCATGATTTACAGTAGAACGGTGTCCGGATGTGTTTTTTTACCTATCATAAAAACGTATTAAAAAACCTTCAACATTATATTTTTTTCAATTTCAAAAAATCAATACAAACATAAATATGATAAAATATACGATAATGCACCACAAACGCACCCCATACATATTCTTATATTATCCCACACGAACATAACATACAAACACAACCCAAGTGTACTCACTACATATTATTTTATCCTTCAATAACGTTTAGAAAGATCGACAACGACGATTGGCGTGAAAACATTATTTTCATAAAATAATTCTAATTTTGGAAATTATTATCGATAACTAATTAAAAAATATTATTTTACAATAAATATATAAATTGCAAATCAATTTACCTTCTACTGGTATATTTTGTAATATATTTTATTGATCTTTTTACAGCGACCGTAATTTACTGAAATTAAAATGACCATTAACAAGTTTTAAAAGTAATTATTTTTTTTTTTTTAGGTTTTGATTAATTTTACAATGATGTGTTTTTATTATTTTTTTTAGTCTTTACACAGTAACTTTTTTTCCTACCGATTTACTCATTCCGCACCCCTGGAGATCACAAATTGTACCTAGTTAGTATACTGCTAACAAAACAAATAATAAATGACTGCAGTATTAACTTTCGACAATTAGCATAAAATTCTCATTTCAAAACCATATTTACAGCACTACGGTGAGAAAGCATTCTAACTCTCTTATTGTAGTTAGTACATGTATATACCCAAAATCATAATCGTTATTGAAGAATAAAAAAATGTAGGTATAGACCGAGTAAACTTTGGTAACACCGTTCACCCCCGTTAGTATATAGAGCGATAACTTACTGCGGATGTTGGTCAAACATGATGGGGAGAAATTCATCGACCGGCAACAGCCTTTTCAACGGGTCGGCGTTAAGTAATTTTTTCGCCCCTCGGCCGCTCAGCAAGTACCCCAAAGTCCAATAAGAATAGCCTGGCCAGACGAGAAGTTCGGAATTTTCCATTCGTATCTCACTTTTGTCATCTAGAGGTTTCCGACCTATGTAACTGCAGACAAAGGTCGTAAAATTTAACGTACAAGAACGTATAAGAACGTTGACCTCTGCGAAACAAAAAAATATTCAAGTAATAAAATATATCGCTTCTTACACTAAGTCCCAGGGAACTTTCAGACGCCGTAAGTCGTTCAATACAGCTTGCAACTTGAAACGGAAATACGGCTCGAACCGCACGTCATCTTCGAGGATCAACACTTCGTCCAAACCCTCAGAGGTGATCTGCCCACAAACACATATTTTACAGTTATATATATATATATATAAAATAAAACTTTCGGGAAGTTTCGGCTACCGATAAAAGCGTGAAATATATTTAACTATACAGCAAAATCCATCGTGATGTCTCGTAATGGGGTCGGAGAGGAAACAAGACTTACAGGAATATTCTTACTGAAAGTGATAAAATCATATAGAAATAACTTTTCTCAGCTCCGCATCGAAGCTAAAATATAGTACTGTGTAGAATAATAATCACTGGCGCAAATATTTGGATAACTTTTTTTATTTACAAATTAGTAAACTGTCTGATAGACTCCATTGGTTCTGACTCCATGAGAGATATATCATTCAAGGTGCCATCTTATAATTCTAGAAAACGTTTGTTATTTTATATTTCACGCCAATTGCAAAATCTTGGCAATTATGGACCTTCTAACTGCAATAACTTTAATAACTTAAAACATTCAATACTTTTTCGATAATCTAATTCAGCTCAAAAAATGTGTACTAATTTAATAATGTAAAATACCTACAATTTATTTGTATTATGATAAATGATTATTACTTTGTTATTATTATTGTTGTTATTTTATTCTCTATTTACTTTATGCATAGTGTATTATCACTTAATTTTGTAATAATTCTTGAGGCGTATAAATAAATAAAAAATATTTTGTATAAACGATGAAATGTACTTAATCTTGTTATTTTTTTATTTTGTTTTGCGTTTTTCTCGATATAAAAAAATGTTAATACAGATTTTGTTTTTTATTTTAAGATCACGTTAAATTGTAATTATTTATCTTTTTTGTTATTTTTTAGAGCCCTAACAAGTAACCAGCAACACTAATTTTGCCTACAGAGTTGGGCAAAGTGTTCAAATAATGAATAAAATACCATAAATAAATGATTATTCAGTGAATAATCCGTTATAATCGAATATTGAGTAAAATTATTTACGAATAAAATACCATAAACACTTTGTTATTCCGAGAAAAAAAAAACAATTAAAATCAATTCATTTAAATAACGCCCATCTCTGTCTGCAGTTTAATTTTCAGACATTAAATACTAAAACTACGTCCAAAATAGTAATATAAAGAAAAATATTCACCCTTTTTAGGGAAGATATTTTCTTCTTGTTCACTGTAAATCAGTAGCATTATATCTAAAGAATATATTTTATCACAAGTTTTTATCACTAATTCGACAGTTTTTAAAAAGTTATAGCCGAGTTTTAATTTGAAAGATGTTTACATTTTTAGTGTGTTTTTCTCGACGTTGCGAGAAATGGACTGGAAGCCTTTTAAATTGTTGGCCCAATGAAGTACGTTCTGAGTTTAGACACAAGGATAGAAAAATAAAAACAAAACCCTTCACTGTACAACCAATATAGTTTCTCAGCTCCGCATCGAAGCTAAAAAATAACTCCTACATAATAATACATTTTTTTAGTAAAGGAACGGCTCGGCAGTAATTAAAATCGAATGTTTGGCCGTCGTTGGAACACCCACAAAACGAAATCACCACCGCGATAATCAAAGTTCCTAAAAGTGCCAGCGCCTTTAATTAAATATAGAATGCATAAGGTATAATAATAGTTTAGTTTAAACGAACCCTCGGATAATGTTTTGTTAAACCATTACTACGTCATTGTAGAACCCAAATTATTTTGAATGCAATAATACCAAAAACACGCAATCCGAAATCAGGATAACGACAGTGATGTAGGTATAGCTGTTTATTTAGCGATTCTTATATTATACCTACTAGTTTAACTTAAAACCCGTTAAAACTTAAATGTATTCAAAGTAATCGATATTTGCAAACCATTAGTTTAGCTTCGATTGAGAGAGCAAATGAAAAACATTTTTTTGTAGTTTAAGGGAACATATTTTATTTTCAAAAATGTTTAAACAACATCAAGATATGGCATTATCATTATTATGAGATAATTATTCTTGAAGGGTTAAGGGTGTTGTTTTTTTAAATTCTAGAAATTAATATTCATATTTTCTAGATAAGCGAGTTTTTTTTCAAAAGTAGAATTTTAAAAAAATTGTATTTTCCCTAGGAGATATTACAAAGGTCATCTGCTCGTAGGGTACCTTGTATGTTACCATTTATGTCACATAAAGCTATGAACAGTACAAAACAAGATCAATATTTGTGAAATCCATAATCATGTAAATTAATAATATATTATGGTATTTAATGTTGTCAATAAAAAACTATAAACGCTAAAGAAATCATTTTTTGTGTTAACAAATTTTTAGAGGATTAAAAAGTAGCAATAAAATCTAAAAGTAATAAGTTGGAAAATTTTAGATCCCACTATCCGAATTCGCCTATCCGTTTGTTTGAAACTGTTTTGAAACTCGGTAATCATAATAAATTCAAGTTTTTCTTAAAGCATGATTTATGCAGATTTCGAAAAACCGAAACATGTGACAATTTTAAATGTTCTTACTGGCACAATATGTATAAGATGTCGTTTTTCACTTATAGTAAAATATATGGCGAAATAAGAACGTTAGATTTAAAATAATATAAATCATCCATCCTAAAAAACCCATAACTAAGTTGATGACAGCTGTACACAAGTTATTATGGCGGTACAACTAAATGAAGATAAAGTAATTTAACTTTGTTGAAGGTGTTAAAACTTTTCCTTTATTTCACTTCTTTATGTGAAGCCTGAAAATTAGACTGGAGGTAGTTTTAGAGTTCGACAATATCATGCCTAATATTCTCAAATTTGTATAATCAAACTTTTTATTTTATTTAAGAAAACATAAAAAAAAGAAATTACACTTTGACTGTATTCTATTAAATTGAATACGCTATACTGCTATGTGTAAATTAAGAGACACATAAAGCCATAAAGATATCAGAAAAATATTTCCATTATGTTGTTGGTACGATATTTCTTTTGGTAACGAGATAGCTAACCTAAACTAACCCAACCCAGCATATAGGTCTAAAAAATATTGCAAAATAGTTACAACATATTTTTAATTATAATATATGTATAACGACGGCAACAAGTGTTGTAGACAGACGAACAACCATAATCGTATCTACCCTAATACTAAAATACCATTTAAAGCCATTTCACAATAAGATTTATGTAAATTATAAACGATATTGATACCGATATAAATATATAGATATTTTCCTTTTATAAAAAGTTTATAAAAAAAAAAAAGTTTATGACGGGGGTTTTATTTTAAAGTTAAATGGTACAATGGGAATGTGGTTTCTTGGTGTGTTTTTCTATTAGGTATGCGCACATAAAGTTATGCATTATGTTATGTAATTTAATTATATTTATAAAACGTCAACCTTCAAGTTTCAATGTATTCAAAGTTATAGTTTCTTCTCGGGTCGTTAAGAGTTGAATTGTTTCTTTTGCACGAGTCTGTGATAAATAACTCCCCCGAAACCGACAAAGTGTATTACACTTTATATTGCTCGGTGCAAAACGCCATTTATTTTTATTATTGTAATAAATATAAGCATAAGCCTGGATGTGGAAGAATTAACCAGTGGACTGTTAGATATACTGTTGCCTCAGGTACACCGCGTAGAGGTTTCTTCCTTGTCCCCGAAATGGAGATACCTTAATGATCAAGATGCATCTTGCCACTGTGAAACAATTCAGACGATGGCACACCAATTGGTATGCCCGTTGGCACCAGGACCTTGCACGCAGGAAAACTTAACTACTGCCAACCAGAAAGTCAAGGACGTGGCCCAGTACTGGGCAAATGAAAACATCTAGTCGAAACACTTACCCTACCATATTTTATTGTATTTTATCTATCTATGTATATTTTAAATTGTAAACCAGTTATATAAACTAGTTTAGTTACTAACTTATAGTATACCAGTATGATGCCTGACACGAGAAAAAAAATTGTAATAAGTCAAGAATTTGTTTATTCTCGTTCGACGCCATTTTAATAATGAGGCTCATAGAATACTATAAAACTAACACATTTTAAAGGCTAATAACATATTATTCGATTTAGAGTTTGTTTTACACAAAAAAAAATATTGTCACAAGGGTGCTTTAGTTATTTTTTTATTATTTCTACGCGTAAAAGAAAAATTCTTAGAAAAAATAATAAAATCTGTAACATATATTTTTAATTTTGTTAAAAATTGCGTTGCAGACGAAAGACCTTTGCACTTAAACATGAAACTACATTAAAATATCACATCAGACTAAATTAATTAACCATTCCCAAGGCATCAAGCGTCTGAAGTTCACAAAGCCGTATGACTTAGTTAAAGACTTTCAAACGAACAGGCCCATCTCGTTGTAGGTGACATTCCTATAGACATCTTGTAAAAATCATATTTTACTGTGATGCAATTATCTTTGATAATTATTAGTAAAGAAAATCAGTCTTATCTACAAAAATGCCTTTGGTTTAAAACCAAACAATTTTATTTAGTTTTTTCTGGGTCTACAATACTTGACAGCATCCTATAACGTAGAGTATTAGAAAAAACAACGAACCCAAAATGCAACTTTAGAATAATCATTGCCATTCTTTGTTGTTTGAATAATATAATAACTGAAATTATTAACGTTAATCGTTTTGGATTACAGTGAACTGTGCGTGACAGAAATGAGCTCTCTAGTTAAAATGCCTATAAAGGTAGTACGTGCACTACCGCTGTGGTCGGAAGATATGTTAATTTTTACCGAACAGAAGGTATAATTAATATTGTAGTTAACATTTTATATTGATGTATTTAAAAATTAAATGTAAAGAAAATCGTGCTGGCGACCCTGAGTTTCTATGGTAACAGTTTTTCTGTGAAACCGCGTTATTGCTAAATTGTATAGAATAAATATTATTTTCATCACACATACGACAATATCATTGTGGCCGCCAATGAACGAAAACGTGACAAAATGTAATGATAATTAATGTTTTGTGCAATTTGGATTAGCCAACCAGGCATTCTGATCAGTGTAGTACTCGTTTGAGTGAGGTACGACAATATTAATGTTTGTTTGCAGACATTGCACCAATAATGACAATAAATCGTTATTTTTTTTTTTTTTTTTGCAATTCGATTATTACTTATTTTTTAAATTAAAAACTCAAACATGATAAATAACAAATAGAACCCACTCTGATATATTGTTAACGATAATATGGTAGAACTATACATAGTTATCGTTTCACACGGTGCGTTTCTATTTTAAAGGCACGATTGATTTTCTTTTGCATGCTCTATTTTTTGCTCGTTTAATACACTTTTTTTTATTACAATTTTGCTTTTCTTCGTGAAAAAGAATTGCATTTAACAAGGTACATCGATTTAGCTATTTTTTATCATACAAAATGGTTTATGGTGTTCAAAGGATACATATATTTTATAACGATTTCCTTTTTTATTTTGCTTTACGAGTGGAATATTACAATATTGTTTCAGAGACCATGACATGGAGATAAAAAACCGTTGAATATCGAAAGCGCGATAAAAGGCAACTATATTATTAAAACAGCATTTAAAAATGGACCATTACTATTACTATTATTTTACTTGTAATGTATAATAATTGCTGTCATAAAAAGAAACGTACTAATGTACAAAAATTGTTGATATATTTAATTTAAAAAAAATTGCATTTAAATTTGATCCATTCGTTTTAAATTATTATCCCATTTGACCTTATGATGAATGTGTTAATTAAGTTTATTTTTATATGTTATAAAAATACAATTTTAACACTGAAAAGAAAATAGGGAAATGATGTATTATCTATTTCATGGCTCTTGAATCTTATGTATCTAAAAATGAGAGTAGTAGGTAAAGAAAGAGTTACCATTATAATAATGCTCCAAAATGGTTAATGGTTTTCGAGCTCAAATAAGGTGAATAACGTCAAAACGGAAAAATAAATCGCAGTTCGAATCCCTCTTATAATATATAATAGAAGGTATTCACGCAAAAAACTATATAGGTACAATACAATGTTATATGCGATTAAATATATGATATCAATTTCACAATACCATAATTTCTCTAACATTAAACATTTTTATAATGACTAAAACAATAGAATTTTCTTTTTAATATATTCAAAATCCAACAAAGTAGATAATATGGCAGCATCGTTAATAATTTACTGTGTAATAATAATATGCACATTAAAAACACAACGGTAATAATCTAAACATATTAGATAGACATAGCCCGATTGAAAAATATACACGGTGGTTCGTTGAAAACTGCGTGTAAAAAATATTTTTTAAAAAGAATATAAAGTAATATATTATTATTGTACCAAACAAAAAAGAAAAATACTATAGTTTAAAATAAGTTTTCTTGAAAGCCTCCGCTTTTATTATCGTATACTGTACAGTATATATATATATATAATATATATACACTATACAGTTTGTAATGTGTAATTTATTAGCTTACTAATACAATGTAAAGCCGTTAAAGTAACAGAATGAAATAGGTGAACTTTACAGACAACGACTGCTGTATACAATCTAAAAATGATCAATACCGCGACAACGGTCTTAATTTAACATGGCTAAGCCGATAGCAAAAATAAACTTGTTTTTATTATAATTAAAATTGTATTTAATAACTTTTTCAAACTGAAAAAAAACGACGAAACCTGACGTTCAAACTAGGAATGGGATTGAGAATGAGTTTGTAAGTGATTGATTATAACTAGTCTTTAATTTATCTACACCAAAACAATAAATGTATTACCTAATAAATGTGTTATATATTAAATTTAAAAATAAAAATGAATAATTTATAACATCAAAAACTAAGTATCCATTTCGCATTTCAGTATCAGTGCAGAAAAGAAAAGTATGTAAAAGATATATCAGTTTAACCACTAGACCAAAACCTTTTGACAAGTACATCATTATAGTTATTATAATTCTTTGTTTCCGACTTGCATGGACAATAAAATTACGAGTTCATTGTTAGAGACTATTTACTAAGACTTTACTCTTATACTGTCTACCTAATTAATGTTAATATATGTTAAACGGACTACAGCGTAAACTACGAATTATAACAAACATACTATAATATAAATTATACATTATAATATGTCTGCAGGAAATTCCAACAACGATAAAACAAAAATATAAACGAGCATAAAGTTATAACGAAGAAATAATTTTGAAAACACCAGCCGTGTTGGATAAATCCGCTTTATATTTTCCATCCGAATAACCCATTTATATGTAAATATAAGTTTACTCTCAGTGCACCGTTTCTTTGGTCAATGCAAATCGAAGAAAACATTACTACAGTCTCAGCGAACAAATGTACAATTTATAGGTAATGCATTTTCGATAATCAACCACCCCGCCATATCCTGGTAATGTTCAAGTAACGGTTTAAATATACAATAAATTGTGCATAATATGTGTTTCCTATTTCCCATTGTATTTGCGTTTACCTTATTCTTTAACTGCTCAAAAAGTATTACTTTGCAATTGTTCCGGCGTCAAAGGAACGCTCAAAAACATCGTAAACCTTTTGGTAAAAGCACAATTACTAAATTATTTTTCACAAAACTGCTAGCCAACTATACTGTAATAATTTAATAACCCAAATGGGTTGGTTTATTTTTGTAATCCCTATTTCAGTTTCCGATTAGTAATGACTAAAAAAAACAAACGTTTTTATTTCCCGTTGAAATAATTATTTATTTGCAAAACTAATTTAAATCGTCGGAACAGACATTAGTACACACTATTTATACTTTATTTGAAAACAGCTTCAAGGAAACACTTTAATTTTTATTGTTTTTCTACTTTTTCTCCTTGTCTCATACAAAACGGGGTCTGTCAGCCAAATCCTCTATCTCTATATATAATATATTCGTCATCATTTCTATATTTTCACTCCAAACATTTATTAATTACATTTACTCATTTTACTATGTCAATTTTCTGTCTTCTTTCAACTAGTCCACTGTCTATACTATTTCAATATGTTCTCATTCGTTATTAATTCTCCTGCAATTTCCACAACTCCTAAACTACCCTCATGTATTCCTTCATCCTTGTTTTAATACGTAAGCGCGTATTAAGCGTTCATAAACTATCGAATTCATAAAATGTATGCACTGTCAACAATCCTAAAAAATAAAAAAAATGGAATAAATTATAACTACACTTTTATGTAGACAAATAACTGTATATATCGCCAAAAAAAAAATAAGTTCATTAATAAGTTGTTTGTTTTGGAAAAAGTACAGCGTTAAGAAAAACGCTTTGTGACAACTTTTGTAATTATTAACACACAGAGTTTATGATGTAACTTGAACAAATAACTTGGATATTTAGTACACATTGGTATTTAAAAAAAATTAAGTACTAGACTACCTAAGCATAAAATTATATATATCCCATCATAGACAATTTAGATTTCCATTGTTTTAATAATATTTTATCAACGGTTGAAGTTCAAGTATAATGCAAGGTCCCTATTTGACCCTATTTATCCCTATTTGACCTCAAGACATATAGTAAGTTTTATTTTATTGTTTTTTTTTGTGCTAAGTGCTAAAGTAAAAGCTTGTAAAAATACACCGTTTTCGGGTTCAAGAGTAGCATTTTCTATTACAAACAAAATATCTTTCATGCTGCTGTTTAAAAGTTACGAAACGCACAAGAAAATATATTATCTTACCGCAGCCCAGATTCTGTAATGGCTCATGAAACAACCGATCTCTCCTTTAGTAATTGGTCTACAAGGGAAAATACCAAATCATACTTTAACAATGCAATATATATATATATATATACTCGGTATTAACTTACCGTTTGTAATATGGATCTTTGTAGCCGGGCATGAGTCGCACACCCATATGTTCCAAATCTGTGTCGGATAAAGCTCTGAAATGAAAAATTCCAGTCGTTTATATACGTTGTATTGTTGTTTGTCAATTTAAAAATATTCTAGACAGTAATTGACAAAATCAATTTTACAAGCCAAGGGAATCTATTCAAATACTACACAACGAAATAGCAATGCTACAGATTCGTAATAATTTTTTTTTTCAAAATCCCAAACACTAGTCCTAAATGGTTCACGTTCAATCGAGACGTTGGCTACTGAACGATGAAAAATAAACAGAGAAATAATGTAAACAATAACAATATTCAATGATAGATTTTGAGTATATGTGAGTATATTTATTATTATCTAGACGAGTTAGTAGGTATGCGAAAAAAAATTAAACCAAAAATGACGCCATAAACATTTTGCTTATGATTGTAACATATTTGTTAACAAGTTTGTAGATAATTAGTAATTTCGGGCAAACAACAAAGCAATACATCTGTTTTCGCTGGCCAAAACACGAAGTGATATATTTCATTTTCAAATAATATTATCCTCTAGTACACTTGCTTTTCTAATTTATAAGGGATTACTTTCATAACGACAAATACCACAATACAGTTATAATTATTATTAACGGATAGGACAGTAAATTAGCACTGCTAATGATCTGTATATACTGCACTATTATATACATTTCTCTCGGTATCAGGTGGGCCCACCGACCGCAAAGCAAATCTTCATCTCGCAAAACAGTCATAAAGTCCCCTTAAAGTAAAATCCTTGGTTGCATACTATTTTCACCCGAATCCCATAACACGTTCTTTATATTTAAATATCCCAAAAAGCTTTTCTTGTTGCTGTTTTGACATTAAATAAACATTATATACAAAAAAACAAATATGAAAAATAGGTATACCTAACCATTTCTAGTAATATTTTTTGTTGCTACAATCAAATTTCACACCTTTATTGATAACAAATGGGTAAAATGTATGTGCTGGTTTTAAATCAATTAATTTTAAATTAATTAACGATTTTGCATTTTAACTAAATGCTTTAAATTAAAACATTGCGTTATTGAACTGTACAATTAAATATTACACAGCAACTACTAGAAAAGTTGAGTAAAAATTATTAAGAAAATCCAAAAGAAAAATTACGTTTACATTTCCCCTTTTTAATAACACTTACCCTCACTTGACCCTATAATGAATGCGTCCATTTATTTATAGCGTTTTTTATTTTGCCATGGCAAAATTAATTTTTTTGGAAAATATTTCGCAAACGTCTCAAAAGATATAAATGCTTTATTCGCCGAGGAATTATAACGAGTATTTTATTACAAATATAATTTACAATGTGCACTTAAAATAAACGGTTCAATAGTCTTGTGAATCAATGGCAAAATTCCAGCAATATGCCTGCTTCCCTTCCTTTATTCAAAATAATTATACAGTACATAATAAATATGTACTTTGCACAAAAGAGCCAACCAAGTGCAATATTGTTATTACTTAGTAGGAGTTGCCAAATCATACACGCTCATCTATATCTACCTATTCGATATTATAGTTTCAATAATTAAAATATAGAGCTGAGAGACGCCGTAATAAAAACTAACGCTTTAACACAAAACATTAATTCTGACAAATAAAAACATACAGACATTATACAGATACATCTACTTAAAGGAATTAATTTAAATAATGAGATCATTATTTAAATAAAAACTTAAGTTAACATTTATTTTCCTCTCATTGTTCGTAGAAGACTATAGAAATGGTCTTAATACTAAAATATTAAGTTATAATTCCTTGCAAAATAAATTATATTCTATTTGAATTTCGACTTTCAAAGAATACCTGCAAATCGCATTAACACGTTAAACGAAAATGATCTACTAGAAACAATGAATCCTCGAAACAATAAACAAACTGGTTAGGTTAGGTTACAGGTAACAACTACTTCTCCAATTAAATCATATGTAATAACTAATAAGAAATAAATAACAAAGAATCGGTTTTAATTTTATTAAGCTCTTATTAAAAATGTATGATGAACGGAAAAGTTTTAAACGGAAAGTTAAGTTACATATTCGCATTTTCAGAAAATAAAACTATAATAATAAATAAGTGATATTGTAATGATGAAATAATCACTTTATATAGACATATATATAATTATAAAGAGTAATAAATAATATATATAATTTATATATTACTGTAATATTAATAATATTTATATATTTAATATATATGTATATATATAATTATCAATCCACTCTCTTTGATTATAATTTCACCGATAATGTATTTAAAACTTTTATAAAATATAAATTTATATCAAAAAATTAAAAATTAAACATAGTGTTGTGTATTTATATTGAAGTCGTTAAAAGTAAAAATAATACAATATTCTTTGTATTTAAATGGCATTACAGCTACTAAAGCGCTAAAAGCGCTGCTGAAAACTAAACGTTTTTGGATGCGCACAGTCGTGAAGTCGACACAACTCCCCATTTGGTAATAGTAACCTTTTACTTGGAGCCGACGATTGTCATACCATACTGTACTACACTACGTTTCGCGGGGTAAGAATTACATTTTTTTAATAATCTTCCTTGAATAATATTTTTTATTTACGCAGTTAAAATTAATATTCGTAGATATTACAACGATACGTTATTTTTTAATTATACTTAAGTAAACATTAAAGTAAGTTTTACAAATTCTACCCTACTGGGACAGATTTTTGTTTGCTTATGTTTCATATACTAGATATTTTATAAGTATTTAGCTCTACGTAGTTAAATTAGTTACGTAACATATTTTAATATCTAATGAAATTACAATTTATTATTATTCAAAAAATCGTAAAACAGTAAATTTGCCAAACCTAACTTTTATGATTACGCCATTTTGTTGTAACAAAAATAATTGTAAAATGCAATTTTACAAAAAACCCCTAGATACTAATATTTTCATCTCTTGAAAAAAATCCTGCGGTGTTGTATGAATTTTCATTATAAACTGAAAAAAGCGCTATTTCCGGTAGCCTTTCCTCTTATAAATAAAACAATACAAAAGAATTGTGACATATTTAGTGCTACTTCTTTTTAAACTAGTATAATAATTTATTATTTGAAAGTAATTAAATTATATGTGTGTGTATATATATATATATAGAGATTTTAAAAAAAAAGTCTAAATGGATATCTACAACAATGAAAATTGTTTTAAAGGTTACTTAAAAAAGTATAGTTGAAGTCGAAGTTTTTGAATTTTATATTCTCATCGAATTTTTACCTATCAATAATTTGTTTTAAAAATATGTTTAATTTAGATACATATTTTCTAATTGTATCAAAAATAAGTATTCATAATACATTTACATGGCTAGAATAATGGCTTTTGTAAAAATTTCGTAGATTCGTAGATTTGATTTTTCTGGTATTTTGGAAAATTGTTGGATACAAAATATAGTGTTTAAATATATTTTCAAGTTTTCAAGTACATAAATATTATTTATACGACATAAGCGTAAAAGTAAGACGTAGCAATACCAAAGGCAATCATATTATCTTGACATTTAAATTTACCTATCCAAAGCCACTGTAACCTTTATGTTGAATACCTTAGTTGAATGATGTTAAAGCCTACGTAAAATATAATAGCAAAAATATTTATGTTAAAGAATATTAAATATTTGCGACAAAATCAGTAAAAAAATAACTTATAAATTTAGATAGTAAATTATATCAAATATATGTATTTAAAAAAACTTTTCAAGTTTTAAGATCTTAAAAATAATTTGCTAAAATTAATAAACCTAAGCTCTATAGTTTAAGTAATAAGCTTTCTTTGTTTCTAACGATCCATCCATGTTAAGTTATATCAAAATGTAAACTTTTATTAAGTAACTCGTACAATTATATGAGCCATTACATAGAAATATAATACAATATTTTTTTTTTTTTTTATATATTTATATTTGTCGTTTTCTACTCTGGGTCACGCGACCAATAAAACTTTTTTTTTGAAAGATCCAACTTCGAATTAAATTGTATAAAAAATAATTTAAGTTAATAGTATAGTGAAACCTGTAGCACTGATTCTTAATAACAAGGTAATCTATATACTTATTAACTAATCTTATATTCTAATATTTAGAAAAATATCTACTGCGCGTCTAATATTTATTTAATGGCTTTAAACACTAAAAATATAAAAGAAAACATGTGATGATACCGATAGTTAATTGGACCTACTCACCTACCATCATGCATTTAGACAATTTAATTATGTTCACAAAAATAACTCTAATGCTACCTTATGTAGTTTACTAGTAACATAAGTATGGTCCATTGAGTCCAGTATATACTGAAAAAATATTTGCATGAAAAAACCTGTCGACTCCATAGTCCAGTGTTTACTATTAAACTAAATAAGATGGCAGCTTCAAAAACATTTGCAAAACAAAATGTACAAATTCAATAAGTACCAACAATTTGTTTTTAATTACAAATGTAGAGAGTATAATATATTTCACAGTGTAAACACTGGGCTAAAAAATCTATGAGGTTCTAATTCGTTTTTAAAAAAATTGTTAAATTCATTAAAAGTTATTACTGTTCTACTTTAGGTGCAACTGTTTTAATACAATATTTTGTTTTGTGTTATGATTTATGATTTTACGTACCTTTTAAATCGGGGAGATTACTGCCTAAGCGAATTGTAAATGTTACAAAACGAGAAAATCATTTTGGACCAACACTCACGGCCATTAGTCTATAACCAACTCAGTGTGCAAAGGGTAAAAACATATTATAATCTGAAGTAATAATTAACAATATACCTTAATTACAAAAGCTAATGCATCCTTAATCTAACATAACATTTAAGTCCATAATGCATAATATATAATAACACAGGCTTTTAAAACACCTTTGGCTTTATTTTATTTAAACGTCACAATTAACAGATTGGATACTATAACATCAAAGTAATTCTCAAGTTGAACATTATCCTCACAAAACTCATTCAATTCACATGGACCCTTTAAACGCATCCTAACACAGCAATATTATATATACTTCTAAAAAGCTTTAATAATATTTACCAATAATGTCAACATGTTTTAAGATCATATATTGATAGAAAATAAAACTTTATAACAACATAAATATCTTACTTAACATTTTAAGTTCTGAAACTATAATATAATTATTTTCAAATACTAAAATAAATAATATATATACAGTTATTTAAGATAACCCGTACAACAAAATGTCTCAGCATACATTCAAAAGCCACTGAAGCGTAGAAAATATTTTAAATATAAATAATAATTCAAAAATCAACATCAATTATTATTTATACACTTTCATCAAGCAATTACGCCCAGGGTACACTAAAAAGTCGATTTTATTATAATAAAAAAATGATAGTTGTACCTTTAAAGTCACACAGTATTATTGTAAATTTAACTTTTCATTTAACTATTTTGTATTATTGATGATAATTTAATAACAATAATTTGTCCTTTACCTTTAATTAGTATATATTTAATCTACGAATGTATAAATAAATCTAAATAATAAGTATGTATTATAATATTTTACATTTCTGGACAATAATTTAATATAATCAAACGTGTAGCTACTACCAGAGAACCACCCAAACATTAAATTTATGACTTTTTGTGCTTATAATATTGTATGACATAACATAATAGTCAGAAAACATAACAATCAAAATGACTGGTGCAGTCGGAAACATGTAGATGTACTACACAAAACAACAGAAAACACATTTCAAAATGGAAATGACATGTTTTACATGTTGAATTATAAAAACGTTAATTTATAACAGCGACATAAAAACCTTTTTAAGTAACAAGTACAAAGCAGAATAAACACACAAATAAACTCGTTAAAACGGTTTAAAAAGTTAAAATCTAAAAAAAACCACAAGTTAAGAACATTTTAAAATGTTAAATTAGACGCATAAGTTTTTTAATTAAATTTTCTCTTAGTCTTTGATTTTTCTTATGTATTTTAATATATTATTTATAAGTAGGGTCCGAATATTTAGTTTGAAAGAAGTTAAAATGAGATGCAAAGAAATCTTAAATTATTCTCTAAATATATTTTTTAAAAATTAAGAAATATGAATAAAATGTGTACAGAAATAATCGATGAACCTCAAAATACACATTTATAGTTTAAAAAAACAGCAGAGGCGGAACAAGAAATAAAATCGCCCTCATCTTATACTAAGAATGTTTAAGTATAAACCAAAATATAAACATATTCCCTCGGCGAATTATTTCCGACCTACTTCAACTTAACTACCATGATTTTAGTTTGTCTCACAACTTACCACGACTAAGAGTTCGGATTTCAGTGTAGATAATTTACGTGAAATGTCTAGCTGTCACGCCACGCCGGTTTGATTTAGGCGAAACAATGACAAGAAACGTTAGGTATATTCTGGACAAGTATAATTATTAGTATACATTATACTATTTAAATTACGGAGATCCAGGGGGAGGGGACACCAAGAGGAATTTAATTGAATTTATTTGAATTTATCAAGACTCCTCTCTGGATCCGCGCATGGCTTTTACCTACTTTGATGTTGTTGAGAACTGCTGTGACCTCTTTTTAAATTAAACAAAATGTCATAAATAATTTTAAATTATACACTGACAAAAAAATAATATAATTTCTATTTTTTATATACCACTGAACAAAATCAACAGCGCATTTGTTTTAGTTTGAGATCTTTTACGTACTTATACTAGCAAACTATATTATAATTTGAAATATATTTTCAAACAGTCATTCGTGTATTTTTTTTTCTCTCGAGTAATTCCAATCTAAGAAAAATAGTATTCAATAGTATATAGACTATTGAATACATTACCAACTAGTGTGTTGTTAAAAATCCATAAAATAATATTAATAGTATACTTAAATGAGCGTAATATATTTTATACTAGCCACTTGTTGAGCCGATTTAGAGAAGTATATTTGCGTTCAAGAAGTGCTTAGTGTTTACTATAAAAAATTGCAATATATTACTATATCATCGGATTAGTATTTAACAGATAACAGAGATTCATCCAAATTGCGTATAAGCTTAAGACATAAAATCTATTATTGGAATAAATTTATTTTCCCCAAAATCTTAGAACAAATAACTTTTATATCAAACGCAGGGATCGGTAAAGTCGACGGCATTTTAAGCGCAAAGAAAGATTAATCAATTAATATTTTTTTAATTTCAATTGTATACCAAAACACATGATTAAAACACAGCTCAGATTTGTCGAATCAATCAATAAAATCAACAGTCGTGAGTCGAATATAAAAATAGAACTCGGAAGAAATCAAAAATGTTTCGATATGGGAATATTAGAGCCTTCGACCGACCCACAGGTACAAAGGACAACAAATAAGTTTACATAACTCTAGAAACAGTATAAAACATATGAAATGAGTTTTGAACAAAAGCCATGGGGATCGATATAAATTAATTATAAGTTTATTCGTCTAAGGAATACAAAAATATTCTTTATTCCAATAAGCAAAACTAACTTTCTTTTAGTGATTGATGACCCTGTTTTGAAAATCATGGGATTTCAAAATAGGGAAGCATTCAATCTTTTTTAGTTTTAATATTTCACGACGGAAATGTTATTTATTTTATAAGACATAAAGATATCACCCGTTTAGTACATACCAATAGTGCGATAGTAATACACTCACTTTCAGATACAAAACATCATAAGCAAATGTGTAGCCAAAAATCACATACTAACTTACATAGAGACGATTTTAGAGTTGAACAATTTTTTTCTATGACCTTACTATGACTTTTTCTATGATTTTACTTTAACCTACATGCTTTTCCATAAACACGTTTTTACGGTTATTTTTAAAGGGTATGACGTGAATTGACGTCCTCTTTAAAGTAATCTCTTAAATCCAAAAATAAAATATTAAAGTATTAAAAAATGCATTTCAAGCAATCCTATGTTATTATCTATAAACGATGAGTGGCTGAAGATTTGAGACGGCATTGCGTTTGCGCTCACTGTCACTTGTTGGACACTCCGTCACATCGGGCACTTCTCTAAGCAGGAATTTGTCAAGTAAAGGAGTAAATCAAACTCTCAGATGTGACCGAACTAAGCCTTAAAGCAATCTATGCCCGGTAAGAAAACCACACACGTCATAATGATTTATTAAATCTAAAAAAAAATCAAATAGTATAAAATAATTGCTTGGAAGATGCAAAAATATATTTTTTTCAATTTTCGTTTTTTAACTTACTTTTATACTATAAAGAACAGTTAAAGTAAAGGGGGTTAGAGCAAAACTTTGGAAAAAAAATACGCTATTAGTTAATAGTTTAGGAAACATAGAAAACAATTTCATACACGTATTGTCGTTGTTTTTTTATTTTTAATAGTAGCTTAATTAATATAAACTATTAAAAATTCACTTTTTTATGTTTTTAGTTACTATAATAAAAACTTATTCATACAGTATACAAGTTCCTCTCAAGTCTTTCTTCATGCCTTATTTATTATTCTATCATCTTATTTACTTACTGTACATTATTTTTGTATAGATTGTAAATGTTTCAAATAAACGATATTATTTCTAAAAAAAAAAAAATATATACAGGTATACAAAAAACAACTATATACGTCGTATAATATAGTTTTTCAGTATCATAAACAATTTTACAATAATAGTTTGATAAAAATTAACTATCAATATTAATTAATAATAAAGACTATACTCATAAGTATGATACTGCACTTAATAAGGCGTTTAATCCCAATTTTCTAGTGGAAAATTGACTACGCAGAATGCGTTTTTCTCTATGATAGTATAGAGCGAAAACCTTATTTTTTACTAATTTCAACTAATTGGTCGATTATAAGAGCCAAATTGATTTTTCGAAAATTATTTTTTTATTTTTTATTTTCCATAAGATTTTTTACTAAATAACACGTATAAGTTTATTTAAATTAAACTTTAAAAAAATTAGTTAGTTTATTTAAATTAAACTTTAAAAAAATTAGTTAGTTTATTTTTTTCTCAAAAAATTATTTAAATTTTATTAGTATGGTCACTAATAAAATAAGTTAAGTTTTATAAAACTGGATTAATTTCTTTTGAAGTGCGTTACACAATAGTTTAAGAAACAAATACATTGAATAGTGGAAGACAAAATATAGCCTATATTTATATAAGATGTTTAATCTGAAACTACTTTAAAACCAATATCAAAATTGTTCCGTAGAAATGAAAATATTATCAGTTATAACAAACGAACGTCTTATTAACGACTTATTAGTTTGTAAAGTAACTTTTTCAATCTCAAATTACTTTAAAACAACATCAAAATTATATCGTTGAAATAAAAACATATTAAGTTTTATTTTTATTATTTTTACCTCATACGTATTATTCTTGTTGATAGTACCAAAAATAGTACACGTGTATGTAAAAATATCTTTAAAAAGGTTATTATTGTTTGTTTAATATAGTTTAAGTTATATTTAATTAGTAATAACAAAATCGTCTTTTTAAAGTTTATCTAGTCGGTAAAAATGAACAATTGTATCGTGATTATGACTAAATGCGCGGTGTCCCACGACGATTATTTCTGTGCTAACACTTTTTTGATAAACATGAAAATCTAAAAACAATTATTAATACCAAAAAACATTCCTTTACATCATTCCAAACGAAAACTATTACCGAAAATCGCTATCTATATTCTATTGCGCAACCTAACTTGGCTGTAACAGAAAGGTATATTGTATATTATAGTGACTATGATGGCATAAAATATTTTGTTTATTGACAGGAATTATTATTCTTACCACTCTTATTAAGAGGTTTAGTCGCAGCCTGTTTTTTTTTTGTTTTGCTAAAAAACATGCCTTCTAAAGAAAAACGATGACGCATTCGTAGAAAAATCGGATTTCGATCATTAGTTTTTTTGTTTCAAAGAGGAAGACTTCCCACCACATACATGTATCTCCGGTTTTTTTTATTCAATTACCATAAATAACAAAAAAGTATGGTTAAAAAACCCGTAAAACTTTTATTACGGCTCTACAATATATTTTTTTAATAAAAAATCTAACGATAGGTCATTTATGCGAACTGAAAATAGCCTTTCTCATTCAAACAAAAAAACATTTATCAAAATCCGACCATTTTATGAGGCTTCATTGCTTTTCCCACAAAATGTATGTTTTTTTTTTAAATGGCCATCTTATAAAATAATTTGTGCACTTTTAATATTATACTCTAGAGCTTAAAGAAGTAAACCTGGAAATAAGAACACATGGTTGAAATTTATTAAAAGTTTTAAACTAATTAAAATTCAAATATTATTGTGTAAGCGACCACAAACAAAATATGGACAACATCAGTATAAATTTACAACTTTAAGATTTTATGTTATAATTTTCTATATATATATATAAAGACATTTTTATTTGTCTAGGTCATTAAGAAAAACAGAACAGACACAAGGCTTTAATGGAAAAAAACACTGCCGTTTCCAACAACTGTAATTATACAGTTCATATATCAAATTATACCGAATGGGAAGAAGAGAAAATTGAAGATCCTCATTTATTGTACATAATATTTACGCCAATACTTATACTTCTCTGTATGTTCACAATCATTTTTAATATAATTTTGCTATTGTCTACAATATGGATCAAAAGACCTCTTTCGCCCACGCTTTATATAAGCATAAGTTTAGCAGGCACAGATCTCTATACTTCATTTCTACTTGGCCTAAGTTTCACGGTGAACAGCTTGTTACCAGAAGGTTTTCAAATAAACTTGATGACCAATTGTATGAGTCTAGTACTTGAAGCCTTAAGGTTGGGAGCCATAGTGACCACTGCCGGTCACTTATTATTTTTGGCTTTTAATCATTACATCGGTATATTGCGTCCACTACATTATTCAGCTACGGTCACACACGGAATGGTGACTATATTCATATTCTTTCTATGGACATTACCTCCCTCCTTTTTATTAGCTTACTTTAACATGATTCCTTGTCAAGCTTTCCAGACACCGCAATGTGCATACGGGTAATTCATTGACAACAATTTTCAAAACGTTATTCGACTGGCTTAATAATTTTTTTTTTTTTTTTTATAACAGGTTTTTGTTGGAGTCTAAATTCAGAAGTGCGTTCACGGTGGTACTGTTTGGCGCATTGCTGACAATGGGAATAATTTACTATCACATATTGATAATTGTCAAAAAACATCAAGCAACTCGTTTACAATATAAACGCAGCGTGCATTACAACAGATCAAGCAAAGTAAAATCCGACAAAGACGTCGAATACTAATTAAGTAAATTAATACAATTTTAAATAAACAGGTAAATTGCAGCGATCAGTCTGAATCGCAACAGAGCAAAAATGAGAAAGCCGTTTACACAACATTGATGATTGTCGGTAGCGTAGTAGTCGGATGGATGCCAGCTTGTATACAATATTATTTGATTTGCAACGATTGTGTCATTCAGCCAAACTGGGCTAGTTTGAGAGTCAGATTTTACACATACTTTGCGACTAACTGTTTGGTCATTCTAAAATCAGCTATAAATTCCTATATTTACGCAGCTAGAATGAAAGATATCCAGGTATATATTTTTTTATTAATTAATTAATATCTTAGTTGTTATGAATTGAATATATTTAAATAAAGCTAAAATTATTATTAAAAATAACACTGAGCTCTAACCATCTTTTTAAACCCTATCTATAAAATTATTGTTACTTAATTTTACAGGTAGCAATGCATAAAATGTATTTCTATATAAATCAAAAAATATGTGGTGAAAGTAATGAAATGGATAATAGTATTGAGTTTGACGAATTCAAGTATAGTAGATCGTCAGCAAAAAGTAGAAAAACAGTAATTTGTAGGATGTCCATTCGTCGAAACGATTGCAGTGAACAAGATCAACAGAGAGTCAATGAAAATAATATAGATAACGAAGTAGTCTTTAAAAACAAGAACACATTCCCTATGCATCATGAACAATTTGATAAAGTGACACACTTGTAGGCCGAAAAGTCATGCCTACGTAAAACAACAGAAAATCACCCGGGAAAATTATTATTATTAAAATAGAAATAAATCTCAGCTCACTCCCGTTATTAGACAAAAAGATTTGATTTAAGTCTCTGATTTTATGATACAATTTTCAGAAATTTAAAACTGGTCGAAATCTATTTTTTTGAAAAATAACTTTAAAAACCTCTATTTTTAGGGCAAAAATTAGTGAAAAAAATTTCAAAAAAATAAAAGTTATATTAGACCAAAAGAAGTTAGAGAAAAAAATTTGAGGAGGTCAGGCCGATGACCGAGTGGTTTGACTCAGAATGCCCCATATATATTTTATATATATAAAATACGCGGGCGACGTGGCCGAGAGGGTTATTGCGACAGTGTTTCTACGCACTAGACGTTGTTCGAATCTCGGTCGCTGGCCATTTCTCTAGCTGGGCGGGCAACCGTCTGGAAGGAGAAATGGCCACCCGACTGGTGTGAAAGGCAACGGGAAACCACTGTACCATAACCACTTCCCCAGGATGGCAACTCTTGTCGCTAGTAGAGCAAGAGTTGTTCAACCAACCTATCAGGTTATGGGAAGTATAAATAAATATTTATTTTATACATCATAATTATTGTTTTTCGCTATTGTTTAACACCCAAATGTAGTTTCTAATAAACAACTCAACTTACATTTTACTATTGTTATTCAATTGTAGGTACTATTTGATTAATTTACACACTTTGCATATATATATATATATATATATATATATATATATACATAATATTACATTATAATTAATATTATGTGATAAACTTTGTTCAAATACTGTATGTGATTATATTATAAAATTAATAAATCAATTACTTAAGGTAATATAGATGATACCAATCTTGAAAATGTAAAGTACTCCTAATAAAGTTTACATGAAGCAAAATGTGATACATTAATGTGGTATAAAGATAAGATTTTTTGGAATCTATCACATCATGTATACATTATTTTAAGTTTTCATAAAATGTAATTTTAATTAATATAAATGAGCAATTGATACATTTTCTTCGTTAAAGTTGTAATAATAAATGTCTAAATTAACTTAGTTCTTTCTAACTTATCTGTTTAATATTTATTTTTAATTAGTAATAGCACTCAATACTCACTTTCCATCAGTTGCCTCAACAAATGTCGCATTCAATCCAAGTTCGTTAAGACAATAACGCATACGTTTTCTCCTCTCTGTCCGTCGAGCCAAGTTAATAACATAAATTTTATCTAACCCAATATTATCTATAGGCATAGTTAGCAAATTGGCACTGGATAGATTACTGGATACTTCAAGTGGATCGCTTTCAACTAGATATTTATGTATTATTTTTTTTTATTAACTGTACTTTCAATTTAAACTCTTTAATAAATAATTTAGTAAAAAATAATGATGATTACCAGTAATTTCTAACTTAATATTTGTTAGCTGAGTTTTATCCAAGTCTATAGAGCTGTCTTTTTCAAGTGGTATTGTTATATAACCATAAAATTCATCATTACAAACGTAAAATGGAATGCCTGAAAACGTTTTAATAAATTACATTTTTTTTTTTTATGAAAATATAACTAATCTTACCAGAAAAATTTGCAGATATAGCAAATGTAATAATATCGTCCAACGGACCCGTATAATTTAGTAGTAAATTTTGATCAAATGTTAAATGGTTAGTGATCTGAAACCTTAAATCTATTAAAACTGAACTGTGAACCATCGGAACGTGAAAACATCCTCGAGATTTTCGTTCAATGATGGGAGCATAATCCGGGGTTCTTTTATAGTAATAATTATCAGTCATGCCACACCAAAAATTTGAATAAAGACCATCAGACTTGAGCATTGGAGCAACGACAGGATAATTTTTTTTAATTAATAATTTTAGTGTTAAGCGATTAATCATAAAAACATCACAATCCAAAAACTGAAATGAAAAAAAAAGCATATTAAATTTATTTAAATGCTGATTATTAAAATTGGTTCCAGTTTTAAAACATAATATAATTATTCCATTACCCAGATGTAATCAGCCCAGAAGTTACGAGCTGAATTGATTGCCGTTTCTTTTAGCTCGATAATATGCTGAAATCTAGAATTTGGCCAATGTGCCGGACCAATTTCTTCGTCATACTGAGATGACTCTTTATTTATCTTAATGTCGATGGAATGATATGCAGTTCCCGAAGTGGATATCCATTCGTTTAATACCTGAGGAGAAGTGTCTGAGTTATGATCACTTCTAATCCTGTAATACAACACAACTCTATCAATGTGCCAATTTGTATACTTTGTACAGTATTGAATTTAAAACAAATTTAATTAAATTAGCGAATCCCGAATTACCAAAATATCAATTTTTGTGGTACCTCCAGCAAAATATCGATTTCAACCACAAATGTACTTACCACAGGTGAATACGATCTTTTGGATAGTCAAGCGATTCGAAAGCACTCAAAAAGTAAGGTAAGGTATGCGCTTTGTTTCTAACAAGAATGGCCACGAACACAGTAGGTAATTTTTGAACACCGGCTTCTGTATTTATTATGGCTGTTGAAAATCGAATTAACACCAACAGTATACAAATTATCCAGATTGACATTATTTTCATTAGACTATTGCATTTCAGACTATTTTGCCGGTTTTGAAATGGCGCCATTCCGGCAAAACAATTAATGACTCGACCTATAGATTATAATATTATGATAATATTATCTATCTTCATGCAATCAATAGCTGATAAAGTTGACATGACAAAAATTAATGTTATCAGTTGGCACCATGGACCTATAAAGATACTTTATAGGTCTATGGTTGGCACGGAAAAAACTAAAAAGTAGGCACCAGAGCCAAATTACTATGTCCGTTCATATTATTATTTATTTCATAGCAGACGTCCTAAACAGCTGCTGTATGGGCTATAACTTTTCAAATTCGTTTTATAGTTGTCTGCACTGAACTGAATATAGTTCAGTGGTTATCTGTTAAAGGCTATAGCTGCAGTTACAAAAGACTTGTACTATAGTCTGCCATCTTCTCATGAAAATTCTTCCAAAACAGCCGCCAATTGTTAGAGTGAAAAGGTCGAACAATATTAATACAATAATTTTTACTTAAAAAAAATTATATTAAAGAACTAAAATCTACAGATCCTTGTGATACAGCCTACTTACAAATTAGTGTTAATCATTAACAAAAGTAACACACAAATGGTCCTACTCTAAAAGAAAAATTTTGTTTAGATTTCAAATAATTGACCGACGATTATGTAGATTGAAATTTGTTAAAAATTAATTATAAGAAGCACTCCTAATGAAATAAAATATCAAACTTGAGAGAGTATGAAAACTTTTTGTCATAAAATATAAAATATATTACTTTTAAGCATGGCCTAATTATTTCATTTATTATTATTATTTATATTTATAAGCCATGATGTTACATAATGTACATTTTATTTAAGTTCATATTATTATGTCAGCAGTAGTAAATAAATACATATTTTTTCTTCGTCGTACTATAATCGTCCGGTATAAAAATAATTTTCGAAATATCAAATGGACATACTGCACCCGATTATATTTTTGTTTATTATGAACTAATATTTACATTGATAACAGCTATTGTCTATTGATATTTGACTTGATATTAAATCTTACGGCGTACCTAACTCGTAAGTTGTAATGTAAATGCATACTACGAACTTTAAAATAGCTTTATGGTTTAAGACTTATACAAATTGTACAGAAAATGTGCTGTTTAGTGTTTTGGTAGACGTTTTGTTACGTACCTAGTTTGTTTATTAATTTTTTTTATGGCTTATTATTAAAATCCGATCATTTTTATGCGTTTTAAATCAAATTAAAATATCAACAATTCACGATGGTTCCCCATCCGATATTTGTAATGAACGCGGAAACGTCGCGCTATTACATTGATAATTTGTATACACAAGATAATGTAAAATGCTACCAAGCACTGAATTTCATCAAGAATTCTATCATGGGCAGCAATAGACAAAAAGGCATTGTCATTGTCAATGGCATACTACCGAGGCTTTTACAAGTAATTGTTGGTTTATATATTGATTGTATTGAATTGAAATGGTTCACAATTAACTTGACAACATTTATTACGCGAGGGAGTATTTAAAAGATTATTTTTAAAACGATATAAATATTATTTCACTTAGGTATTGTTTTATTTATTTACATAAAATCTAGTAGGTGTAGAGAGATATTTTTCTGTGGCTTGTGTAACATATTAAATATTTATCATTAAGTTTAATAAACTGAAAAATTATTATAAAGGAGAAAATAAGAAAAATGGTGTACAAGTATTTGTTACTAAGTTTACTGCCTTATCATCCAATGTGTTACACATAAGTGAGTTATTTTTTAATATATTATTAACATCTCGTTTCTATTATTTGAACAAACAAATTCAAAACTAAAGAAATAGTAGGGATATTGTACATTAAAAATAAAGTGAAAATAAGTTACAACCTACACTCAATTAAAAGAAACCATGTTCTATTATTAAAATATTTTAATTTTTCAATGTTAATTTCATATATTGTGGTATTGATTTAACATACTACATAACTTTGTTATCCAGATATTACCTGATCATTCAAAAACTCCAGAAATTCGTTTGGAAACAGTGGTGATACTAGGTTCTTTAGCTAAAGGAACTGAAGACCAAGTAAGAGCGCTAGTAGACGAAAATGTTGTAGCCTGTATATTTAGCGCTTTTCTTTTGAACGACGAACCAAAATTTACTGAAGCGTGTCTCCGTTGTATTCGCACTATTCTAGAATTTCCATTTGCTGATCAAAGTGTTGTATTTAGTGACGTTGCAATTATACGGAAATTAATTAAAATTATTGATGAATCAGTAAGCAACAGTATATGTGCCATGTATATTCTCTCTTATTCTTGTCGCACTTCAGTCCATCAAAATATTTTATGGGAAGAAGGTTTTGGTTTTATTTTAGCCAATTTACTGAATACTGAATTAGATGATTTATCCATTGCCACATTAAAATGTTTTGCTCGTGTATGCCAAGACAATTCGATGATATCTTCAGCTTTAGCAGAAACTGAATACAGTGGTAAAACAATGCCAGAAATGTTAGATTTAATGAGAGGTGGAGATCGTCCTACAGAAATGAGATTGGCTGCTTCAAAATGTATAACATATTTGTATCGTGCCGGTGCATTGGAGGTAAACAACTCCAAAGTCATGTTTGGAGCATTACCTACACTTGTCCGACTATGTCAAAACGATCAAAAATGGGAACAGCGCGTTGAAGCAGCTGAAATATTGGCTGTCCTAATTGAGGACGACGCTGAACTACAATCTCTGGCGAGCATATCTAATCATTTATTACAAACGTTGGCAGAATTTGTCAATTTCCCAACTCATCCCGCAGGGGAATACGGCGGTAGTCATTGTGGGGAGCACGTGGCTAGAGAGATGAAACAAGCTGCTTTTAAGGTAATACATGAGTTGTTATTTTGTAGGTAATTTAATTATTATTTTTGATTTCAACGATTTTGTAGGTGTTTGCATCTCTTGGTGCCAACGATGAAGAAATTCGCAAACGTATCATCGAAACTGACAATCTAATCGATCATATTGTATGCGGTCTTAAAGATCCTAGTCCTAAAGTTCAGTTGGCAGCAGTCCGCTGTCTACATTCGCTGTCTCGTTCTGTTCAACAACTGCGTACCACGTTTCAGGATCACTCGGTTTGGAAACCGTTAATGACTTTGTTAGAAGGCGCTTCAGATGAAATTCTCAGTGTCACTTCATCTACATTGTGTAATCTTTTGTTGGAATTTTCACCATCTAAAGAGCCAATACTGGAATCTGGTGCTATTGAACTGTTTTGCAGCCTGACTAAAAGAGATGATCACTCGTTAAGATTAAATGGTATATGGGCTTTGATGAACATGGCTTTTCAAGCAGAACAAAAAATTAAATCACAGATCTTGAACACTCTTGGTACCGATCAAATATTTAATTTATTATCAGATTCGCATGTCAATATACTTATGAAAACATTAGGTTTACTGAGGAATCTGTTGTCCACAAAACCACATATAGACTATATAATGAATCTTTGTGGAGGAGATATAATTCAAGCTGTAATGATGATACTCGAAGGTGAACATTTACCTGAGGTCAAAGAGCAGGCGTTATGTATTTTAGCTAATATAGCTGACGGCGATGTTGCTAAAGACTATATTATGAGAAATAATGATATACTAAAAAAAATTCAAGAATATATGACAAATGGTAATGCTAAATTACAAGCAGCTGCAATATTTTGTGTATCAAATCTAGTTTGGAAAGAAGATAGTGGTGCAGCCGATAGACAAGCAAAACTAAAAGAAATGGGTATTTTTAAACTTTTACAACAATTGATAACAACGTCAGATTCATTACTATTCGACAAAGTTAAGACTGCATTGACACAGTTCTCGGATTCTTGACTAAGTAGCTGCTTAAATTCATCACCTTCGGTCGGAGTTTAAAAAAAAATTGATTGTTCATTTTATTCCTTAAAAGTTTAATAATCTGAAATTGTGATGTATTTAATTTAAAATCGGTTTTCTTTTTTTATGTAGTAAAAAAAAATAAAGAGGCAGTAAATAATAATATATGTATTTACTTTAAAATTGTCTTATTATCTTGAAACTTTATTTTGTACAAATATATTTGTAATTTTTTTTTTATACATATAAATAAATAAATAACCCCCTTAGGTTATATAATAGATTACATGTTTACTATGTATCACTAATGAAAATATTATTACTAGGTGTATAAAATATGTTTAAAATTTCTAATGCATTAAAACTGAGATGTAATTATTGTATTAAATTCCTAGTTTGCCTAGAAAAGTTATGCACTTGCCTGCAGAACTTTTTATTTAATATCTAAAATAAAAAAGTTAATGAGAGATAGTTATCAAGCTTAGGGCAATATTGTTAAACATTTATTTTAGATTTAAAGGTATTTCAGCTAGCGTAGATAGATGTTTTGAAACATCCAAAGCCGTACTTAAAAGAGAAGATAATTATTATAACTATTTATTGTTTGGGGATGGGCGACATAAGAACTAACAAATCTATAAAGGATATTTATTTTATTCAGAAAAAACTAAACATATTACTTAACGATTAGTATTTATCATTGTAAATGTGTTATAGACAGACTTCAATTATTATATAATAATACCCTATATTTATTTTATAACAAATAATAAATTAATCCATCATAACATAATATGTAGTACCATAAACAGTACAAATATTTAAATTATTGATAATCTACGACATTCGATGTCTGCATGTAAAATATTTTAAACCAAAAATAAGAATAATTAATAATAAACTATATTAGAATTTATTATTAAAATACGTAAAAAAAAAATTATATTTTATAATAAATATATATAATAATATAAATAAATAATAATGCACGCTCAGTTTGTAATAAATTTACTAGTCGTACAAGGCTACATCATAGTGCCAAAAACAGGGTTATGCCGACAAATGCTTGGTCCATATTCTTCATAATCTTTTTTCGAATGACACACAGTATAAAACTCGGGCTGAAAAATAAATATATACATATAGACATTTATAAATATTTATATTTATGTCGTATATATATATATAAATATATATATATATAAAATTATTATGATTAATTTTTAGTCAAAGTTATACATACTGAAGAAGCTAGCATACTTCCGCCAAACCAAACGGCGTATCTTTGCATGTTGTGAGTGTAAACTTGCACATCAATCGGTTTAGGCTGTGAATAAAGAAAATACAACTATTACACAGCAGATTTATAGCTCTTGATTAGATACATTTTACTTTAGAAGCAAATGTCAAGTAGAAATAATTTGTACTGCCTTAGGTTATAAAAAAAATACATACTTTTAGATTGTCTCCAGCTATTTTTTCACTTCGCTTTAGCCTAGCATCTACCACTCGCTTAATATCTCGTTGAAGACGCCGTCCGAAATCTTTAAACATAGTTGAGCCACCAGAAAGTACGATATTATCATACAACGGCCGGCGTACGTCAATGGGACAATTTTGTATAACCGTGTCGACCATCTCAGAAATTGGCGTGGTAAAGTCAGGATTTGAAAACTAATAAAAATTATAGTTAAAACAAATAATCTTAACCGGCATATACTTAAATTATGATTAATTTACTTACTTCAGGATGAAAGAAAATCTCCGGCCCCAAGAATCGTTCATAGCCAACGTCTACGGAGAACGGTTGTTTTGTAACACTATTCATTCCATCATATTTCCTTAACCATTTGGAAGGCTCTGCATCATACTTGGCAAACTCTTTAGCTATGTCTGGGCATATGTAAGAGTATTTTTCTTTGATCGCTTTAGCAGTTTCTAAACTTTGTTCGGGTGGAATGCCAATTTCTCTTTCTCTTAAAAGTGACTGAATGAAATAAGTGATGTTGCGACCGGCTATTGGTATATGCTTAATGCAACTGCCAATTACATAACCTTCCGCCTAAAATAATATATTTTTGAAAAACTGTGTGTTAGTTATACTCCAACAATACATCTTTACTAAATCTGTATAATTATTTTAATTTATATAATAAGACATAAGTTAATGTATTTAATTTCAATATATAGTTTGGCTAATCAGTAAAAATAATTTTTTTTTTAATTTTTTATAGATAAACAAAACAAACATAAATAAATAAATTGTTCATTTGTAGAGAATAAAAATTATAAAACTATTTCCAAATGATTCTAAATATATAATATTCATATAATACTCTACACAGTTTAAGTGATGGAACAAATAACAATTTTAATACAAACAAATACACATGTAGAATTGATTACTACAGTTACTGAATCGCTTACTAATTTAGGTAACAAATTAGTTGTACAATATTAGTATTTAAAAACTGAAATTATATTAGCTTTGATTTCTTTGAATATAGAAAATATTTCAAAAGAACATAAGATTACGGAAAGTGTTAAAATGCAAGCAAAACATACCATCCACGCATCTGTTTTACCAAATGGAATTTTAGCATTTAATGAAATGAAAACAAATCGTGGAACACAAAAATGTTTTATGGACAAAATCAATAACAATAAATTTAATTATATGGATAGTACTCAAATTACCAATCGCAATTATATATCAAATCAAAATTGCAATAGAAGTTTCTTTACTACAGCTGATAATATACAATTTAATTCGCCTAAATGTTGTAAGGAACCGGACCCACAACGTAACTATAATTATTAAAAAACAAAAAATCTCTGAGGTATTATTTTTAAACTTAATCAAAATTCACAGCTACATATGCCACTCAAGCTGTCCAAACAAACCCTTGGATGAAAAATGCATCGACTAGTATGAATGATTTGATAGAACTACAACAATCGACAATTGAATGTTCTACTAATATAGGTATCATTTTATAATAAATAATAATAATAATTATGTCTATTTCACGCTAAGTAAGCCACCATTTGATTTTTGCTGAATATTTTATATGCTCAGTGCCCACCAAAAAAAATGTATGCCAAAATTGATATATTCATACATTTTAAGAAAAAATAAAATTAAAAAACTATGAAAAAATAGATAAAAGTGATTCCGCACAATCAGACTAGAACTAAGAACATGTTAAATGATCAATAGAATGTCTGTAATTTTGTAAAACACATGTGTTCAGGCTTTTAAGATAGGCAGTATAGGCAAAAGTTAAACTGGTAATGATTTAGCGTGAAAACACCCTAATAAATATATATTTTTTAATGTTTGCAGATAATGAATGTGAGCCATGTCCAGATGAACAATCAACAAGTAAAATTGGCGTTGATGAAATGGTTAATAAATTATTTATATTATAATACTGAAATATATTTTTAACGTGTATTAAAATATAACATATCGATGCCCCAGTTCAAAACTATAAAACCTCAAATTTGTCATCAATATAAATTATTCCCTAAAACATTATAGTTTTAGTTTTAAGTCATCGTCAATCATTTCATCTAAAAATGCAACCTGCAACTACTGAAAATACAATTTATCTAAAAATAATCGTTTAATAGATCCTAAAACTGGTACATAGAGTAAGTCCAATTAACCTTCATTTGCATTTGTAATTTATAAACTGTGCCGTTTGTATTGTAACTTATGAAATATACTTACAACCGGAATAATATGCGTGACTCCATCTCCACTATCTACTACAAGACCTGTTAGAACACGCTCGTGAAGAGGCCTCGATTTCCATGAAGCAGATAATGCTAGTACTGCTTGCACGGCAATGTAAAGTCCAGGGACGTTGAAAGTCTCGAACATTATTTCTATTAAAGATATCCACAATTAAAATAATCATAAAATTTAAAATCACAAAAAAACCTTACCTGCAGTATATTCACGATTTTCGGGAGTATTTAATGGTGGTTCTGTGAGCAAAAAATGATGGTCTTCTGGTTCTGCTCTCAAATATTTAAAAATACAATGTTCCAAAAACCTTTCCATTAAATCCCAATCTTCAATTAGACCGTGTCTAACAGGATACTAAAGAAACATTTAAAAAAAAAAGATATCAAATAAATAAATATAACTTTCAGTGAAATGAAGTGCTGTTACTTTGACAGAATAGCCTTTGGCATCAAAAGCTTCATCTCCGATATAAAAATCTAAATCTTCCACGCCCTTTGTCAGTCTTCGGACTGCTTGATCACCGCATTTTGCAGTTTCTTTGATAGCTATTGCTGATGGTATGATCATTTGAGGCTCCTTGTTAGGTGCAAATCCTAATTTTGTGTACCTATGAATACAAAAACATTTAAATTACAAAATATTATTTATACGACACTCAAAATTATAAATCCTTACCCTGTACCGACATCGATGACACATGGTGGAAGACGACCTAACATGTTTGCGAGTAAAAAAAATTACTTACTAATATCAGAAAATTTTAAACTAAATTAAATACAAAATTAATCGGATATTCAATTAAGTAGTAACTTTATAATAATGAACAAAACAAAAAAGGAATTACAGTCTCGCGTTCATGATTCAGATAATGAATAAATAAATCTTATCAAGCGGTTGATGAGTCAGTGATAAACTCAAATTCACAGACCACAACTAATGACAATTATTTTCATGGAAAAAAAACCACCAACCATCAGTTATCAGGAACTGTTATCAATTATCGTTTTATCAACTAGCAATATAATTTTAGTAAATAATAATTTATAGCAATGCATATTTTAGTATTGGGTATTACTATAAGTATATTGCCGATTGCGACTTTTAGTAATTTGTGTGGAATAACCCTGTGGTGTACTGGGTTAACTATTCTCCTAGTCGAGAAATTGGCTGTACAGTTAAGAATTTAGTCTTTAATTTTTTTTTTTTTACCAAAAATGGACGGTCCTTCGACCAGCTCTGATATTTGCAAGAAACTCACATACTCCATTCATTCGTGTTCAAGCCACTTACCTTGTTATATACCAGAGTAAGGATTATTAATTAAAAAATTAACCCGTATGATCTCAGCACATGTCGATGTGTTAAATATTATCAGTCATTTAATATGTTCTTAGATATTTTTAATCGAAACAATATAAATATTCAAATACAATAAAATTAAATATTTTTATTTTTATTTTTATTTTTAAACAAAAATTCCTAGATAAACCTAGAAATAATTTATCATTTGTTTTGAAAAATGGATGTATAATTTATTAAAATATGCGATACACTAATAAGATTATTCCTGACTTAACTAGAGACCTCGGAGAATTCTACTGATTTTGTTACTAAATTAATTGTATCTGATATCGAAAATAATACTGGCTTATCGCAAACTTTAAAATAATCTAGTATAAGCTCTTACTTGTTTAGACTTAAGAGTAAATGGGAGATAATTAGTAAACATTCAAATCAATGTATATTCATATATACACTATCACTGATATTTGTTTTGTGTTCTTTAACTTTTCCATATTTATATTTAGTTGCCTATAGTTATTTTTATGTTACCTACCTAGTTAATAGCTAACTATTTTTAAAAATTGTTCAGATTAAAATGTACTAAATTGGGTGAGCAAAATTATACTTAATATAAGTATAATTATAGTTTTTTTTTACTATGAAATGATTATCTTTGCATAAAAGTGTTTTTAAATAAAAAATTGAATTATTTTTATTTTAATGGGTTATATTAGTGATGTATTGAAAATAATGACTGGTCAATTAAAAATAACAATTTGTTGAATTTTTATAATTTACAGTTTTAGGCAAGAAGGCAAGAGTACGGGTAAATAGTGCATATTGATTAAAATAAGATTACAGTCTTCCCTATACCTTCGAACGCTTTGAACTTAAAAATCGAACTTTAATTATTTTCATTACACCATTCTGTGTTTTTATTAAGTAAATCAAATTTGTAAATCGCTATTTGTCTTATAAAAGTTGCCTTTAAAAACTAACTTTTAATTGATTAAATGTAATTTTGATAATTTAATCTTTGAGTGCTAGCATGTATAAAAGCTTAATTACTACTCTTGTGGCTGAAATTTTTTTCAAAAAAGCCGACATACATGCCATCTACACAAGTGCGTAAAGAAAGATTAAATATTATAATAATTATTTTTTATTTAAAAAAGTTTTATCAATAATAATCATTTTATAGAAAAATTACCATTAAGTAAAATTTTGAAAGAACATATTGTATATCAAAATGTATGATAACATGTATTTTAATATTGAAATTATACTTCTAAATTAGAGCTATGTTAAAACTAATAAAGAAAAAAAAAATTGTATTAATCTATTGCAATTTATATTATGACACAACTAAAAAAAATTGTGCAATGCAATGTTGAAGGTTAATTATTTTTGGTACAAAATTATTATGTATTTTATCTTTTAAATCTTAATTAGTTGAACAATTGTCCTTATACAGTTTAATATTTATTTTATAATATAAACCACAAGTGTTGCTTAAGTTTTTCTAGATAAACATTATAGTAATAGTTTTCCATAAAGGCGTTAAAATTAATTATTTAATGCGGTATTATAACTTCACCATTCGTCTCATAAGATTTTATTTTTTATAAAGAATTCAAAATATTTAATAAATAATTACTTCAAAGATAAAGGATATGCTTATTGCAAAAAATACAAAAAACTAGTAGATGATTTAGATTATACAGTTTTAGTAAATTGGTATACAGAAGCTATACTAGTGTTAATAAATCATAAACTTTAGTATAATAGGTTTATGAGTTTTAATCAATTTACTTAAATCACCTTTGCGATAAAGCAAATCTAAAATGAACAAACAAAGGGTAGTGTTGTATGATAAAAAGTATAATAGAAAAATTGTTTTTTAGTACTATGATTTCTGTGATATAAGATATTTAAATATGATCTAGGATGTGAAGATATTTCTATTTATTTAAGTGTATTGTAGCTCACTAATATAAATATACAACATTTTACTTATATTTATACTATAATTTATGTCAGTTTAAATGTTAAAAACAGGAATATTTTACATAATAATCAAGAAGATCAAAGTTCTAGATGGTCTTCGCAATCAAATAGTCCTCCACAAGTAATTCAAACTCGATACTTACAGTAAATGTGTTGTACATACTATATTAATAGTATTATATTTATTTTCAGTATCTGATTTTAAAATTACAAAATACTTCCGTAGTAAAGTTTATTAAATTTGGGAAGTACGAGAGACCCCATGTGTGCAACTTAAAAAGATTTAAAGTTTTCGGTGGACTAGAAGAGGACACAAAAATTGAACTATTGTATAGGTAAAGTTGTGGATATCTATATGTATATGTATATATATATTTTTTTTTACTTGTAAATTTATAACTTATAAGATAAACTTAATTGCTTTAGTGGCCTCAGTAATAACAGTGATTTAGAAACATTTGAATTGCGTCATACTCTTGAAGACAGCTCAATGATACCAATTAGATATATACGACTAGAGCCTCTAGAATCTTGGGGTTCGAATTTCAATTATAGTCTCTGGTATGTCGAACTTCATGGTATTGACGATCAAAATATAATTTCAAATGAAATTATTAAGTTTTACAGGGTATGTTTTTTTTTAATACACCTCTATTCATATATCAATTAATAAATCTAAATTTCTCTTAATATCTATCTTTTCAGTATCGCGAAGAAAGATTGCTTCGTCTGTGTTTGAAACATTTTCGCCGCAACCACTACAACTCGGCAGCTGCCGGACTATTACAAAACTTCAAAATAACTCTGGAACATCCCTTTTTATCACAACTTTTCAATGTAATAGTTACTAACGGGAACTATGAAATGGCTGAAACTTCAATGGATGAAGCAATAAAGGGTATACAATTAAATTTATCTATAATATCATTTTATAATCAGTAAAAATAAAAATAAAAATTAGAACAATTTAAAAAATATATATTTAATGACGGCAATCGCTATTATTTATCGATTAGAAGGTTTGTTAGAGAATTATATGGAGCGCCAAAGTTTCAAACCGATTTGGAAAATAGTACAAGAAAATGAACATGCCGGCAAAAAACGGCCGTGTATGCGTGGCGGTCATCAAATGTGCATTGACTCTCAAACAGGCATTATTTATTTACTAGGCGGTTGGGACGGACATAAAGACTTGTCCGATTTATGGAGCTTTAATGTTTCTACAAGCGTTTGGCAATGTATAGCGACTAATGTTGAAGAATATGTAAGTATATTGGACGTTTTTATATTTTAATTAAACTATAGTGACTAGTTAGTTAATTAAATTTGTTTTGTAGGGCGGACCGAGTCCTCGATCATGCCATAAAATGTGTATAGACATAGAAAGAAAACATATTTTTGTGCTTGGGCGATTTTGTGAGATTCAGTCACACCCAAGTGATTATCCCAAGGTTATTCTACTGATATATTTATTTTGTTTTACTTTTCTATAATGTTTTCATTGTGTTATCAGAGCGATTTTTATATGTATGACATTGAACAAAATTGTTGGACGTTGATATGTGCTGATACAAATCAAATGGGGGGTCCAAAACTATTGTTTGATCATCAAATGGTAATGGACTCCGTTTCATCGACTATTTATGTGTTTGGTGGTAGAATTGTAGCATCCTCTTCTAGGTTTGAACTACCATTAATAAAAATTAATTAACTAATGTAATCATAAGAAATTATAAAATTTCAATAACACTATAATTTATAGATGCAGTGCCGATGAATCTCAAAAAAACAACCCAGATTTCTCAGGGTTTTATAAGTACCATGTTCCTACTAACACCTGGTCGTGTATTTTGCCCGATACCTTCCACGAGGTTAAAGTTCAAGACGGAATCGTTTCACATAATCCACAAACAGTTGCATCACGGGGGGGCCATTCTATGTTGTTACACTCTGTAAATAACTAAACCTATTGTGGCGTTTGCTTATTAAAATTATTCCGATAATTCTCACGACAATACATTTTTTAGAGTTTAAGACGAATTTACATTTTTGGCGGCCAACGACAAAGGTGGGCTCAGAAATGTCCTGAATTTTTGTGGTATGATATTGATACGGGCCTTACACAAGCTATGCCTTTACCTTCTACCGTTGAGAAACCACCTATGGGATATACTCAACGAGCTACTATCGATACTGATCACGATGAAATCTACGTTTTATCGGTATGTTGTAATATTATAATAATAATAAATACTCTTTAAGTTATTCAGCTTAATTATATAAAATTTTAATGTAAAGTCTAATACATTTATAGAGTTTAAGCAAAGATAAGGATCGTAGGGAAGACAAAGTACAAAATGCATTTTGGGTGTACTTCATCAAACAAAATAAGTGGTAAAAAACTAAAAAAATATATAATTTGTAAATAGTTAAGTTACATTATTTTTTTTAGGATGTGTATTTACAGAAATCACAATTCTGATGAACAATATTGGAATACAATGCAACACTTAGAGCCATGCCCTCGTTTCGCTTATCAACTGGTGTACGATCATAAGAATAAAGTAAGTAAAACACTAATACTATTTTATGGAAAAACCGAAAATATGTATTTATCTTCTTAATGTTTTTTTATTTCTTATTAGACACATTATTTGTTTGGCGGAAATCCTGGGAGGTCAGATGCTCAAAATTTAAGACTCGACGATTTCTGGGAACTTCATGTGTATAGATGTACTACTAAAGAATTAAGCAATCAGTGTAAATTACTAATTCGAAAATACAAGCAAGTGTTTTCTACTAAATACGGATGCCAAAATTATCTAGAATCTTTATATTGAGATTATATTTTGATGAATCTTATTTGTTGATATTAGGTTTCATGAAATAAAAAAAAAAGACAAGATAGCAGCCATGCAATTTTTACAAACGTCTGTTTCAGAACTAATTGATCACTCGGATGTTGCTCAAACTCGTAAAGTAAGGACGTATTAAGTTTTATCTTGTTTTCTATTTTTCTTTTAGTGCCATGTCAGTCTAATGAACTTCACCAATCATGTTGGCTAACTCCTATCTACCATTTTAACAACATCCCTATAAATTCTGTTGTGCGATCATACCACTGTTTTAGATTGTTCCAGGAGTTCTGCGTCTCTCTTGTACGATTATATGTAGAATACTATACTAATCTGGGTATCCAATTATATTATGTCCAAAGTAGTTAGATCTTCGGCCCTACCATGTATTGATCACAAACATTAATTATCCAATGCAGAAGAATTCGCAAACATTTTCTTGGCTATCTGAAATATGATGATTTCCAACCTCCGTTAGGAGAGGAATTCCAAGAAGAAGATCTGAAATAAGAACATTATCATATCAGCATAGCAAACATTGTTGATATAGTTTTGTCTCATTTTGATTAAAATACCCAAAGGGTTATTGAATAATAAATCGTATAAAGTTGTTACTATGTATGATTTATTATATGTATAATAATTTTTAAAAAATAGTTTCAGGAAACTGCTGCTTTGTTATTTAAAGATGACAACCAAACTGGTGATATAGCTGATCAAATACATGAATGGCGTTGTAGTTTATTTGACAAATTGTGCGATTTCTTCCCCAAATCCATGGTTCAACCAAAAGAAAATTTAATTGATTTAATTACTTTATAATGTGACGGCGTATGTTATTTCAATTTGTACGTTTATAACATAAGATTTGAAACCAACCCATAGAAATATAATTTCACCATTAATTGTTTTACAATGTTTAGATATTATTGACAACATTAATTAAAAACAGATCTATAATCGTAATCCAAATTTTACTTAAAATTAACTAGTACTACTAATTACAATATTTATTAGTACCTAATTAATTTTAGCTACAATTATAAGTCACTTAATGTGATATTAAAATTTGTTAATTAAAAAAAAAAAATCTGACGTTTATCTTAATTGTATTTTAGAATTTGTTACCAGTATTTATTTACAAAACTAATTTGTAAGACTAAGGTAATAAGGTGGCTTTTAATTTTAAATAACAGATAAAGATACATTATGATGTATAATTTTGCCTTGGCCACACTGGCCATTAAATGTGTACTATTTAATTAGTGATACTCGACGGGCTTAATTTTTTTACAAATATAATAATAACAATATGATCTCTGGGGTTAGTACCTAAAACATTGGTGTTTTACATATAAGTTGTAGGAATAAGTTTATTATTTATATTATTAAATTATATATTATTATGTTACTCAACAGTTTCAGTTTAAATTATTAATTCATTTTTCAATGTAAATTTTTTTTTGAAATACTTAATAATTTTTTTTATTAATTATCATTAGAGTTGTATATGTTTAAGCAAATACAAAACATTGGGTGTTTCTTTATTTATGTATTTTACTTATGTATCTAATTATTGCTATACTATTCTTGTAATATAACAACCATGTAAGTTATTATAATTATAAATGAATCATAATACAAAAAATGTTTTTAATAAAATGTAGAAAATATTATTTTCTTTTGGTAAACTTAACAAAATTTGCATAATGTCACTATCTGTAGTCACTTCACTGATTTACCGGATTAGATAAATAATAAGAACTCTGAACTAACAAGTCATATTAAATCAATACCTCGACAGTAGTAGCAGCTATTAATTATTTAAAAATAATCAATAACACTGTGTATGAGACCTGATAAATATTATGAAAATGTATAAATATCAACTTTTCTAGTATTTGTGAATCGAGTGCTTCTACACATAACAAATAAATGTGTTTTGAAACATGACTACCATCTTTTGGTATGTTGGGTGGAAACTTTCTTTGGTTCGCTGTTTTAGGTGTAATTTTAGGAGTTAAGGTCTAAAAATTAGACTGGCGGTAGATCTAGATTCTAGATTGTAATCAGCTGTAGCCAACATTTTTTTTTTTTTTTTATTAAGGAAACCCCAAAAAAGGGTAAAATTACACTTTAACTATACTCATTTTATAGTTTGCCATGTGTGTTGTGAGTGAACCTTTAGTCGACAGGAGGTCATTAGTGTGTATCTAAAGACTAAAACCCGGTACGAGACTGGAAAGGGCTCCATTCTATACTTCCCGCATACAGTAGTACCAAACAAATTTGAAATTACCTACATAATATTGTACAACATATTATTAAATATAACATTAGAGTTATTACACGAATTACCTTTATAATATTTATTATAAAATTATATATTTTCTTAGCCACATTTGATATTATTATAACATTATCTTTCATAGTGTATCAATTTCCATCCAAAAATCACCCCCGTCACCGGAGATTCCATTTTGGAGACGGTATTTTCCCTAGCCAAGCCCCTATAAAATGATGCTATAATTATTAAAACCCACTTTTTTTTCTAAATTAACATATTTACTTAAAATTAGTTAATAAATTTCAACCATAATGATAGTACCTAAATTATAAACATAAATAATTCGTAACAGACAATATATTAGTGTATGTCATAAATAGAGGTCATTCATAATATGTAAATATCTGTAACATTATTCTGAATAACTTATTCAATAATCTATAAACGCATACGATGCACGATTTATTCGACCATCGAATTGTTGTGTAATCATAAGCTGTGTTTTTGCTGTGTTCGATTGACGATTTTATTACAATCAGTTAGCTGTTAGACGGTGACTTATACTAAGTAAATGTACCGCAAGTATATTTCTTGCGGATAAAGAGGTTCAAGAGATTATAACTCGTAGACAAAAAGGGATTTCCCTCTTTATCTTTCTTCCATTTCCTATTAATATTTTTTTTTTAGTTAACGTTAAACATATTTGGATTTCTATTGATATCTGAAAGCCATTTTTGTCCATATTAATGTTAATTACTGTGTATTGAAAATCATATACAATGCCATAATACATTATCATAGATATTTCAATTATGTATCTGCTATATTATTTTTCTTTCTTAATTTATCAGTATTATCATCGTTACAGCTCTTTTCTATATCATAATATACTCTTAAATGATCTCTTATAAAAAAATTTGTTTGGCCTCTCCATCCTATTTGTGACAGCGCAGTGAACACGCTCATTGCTTATTGTCACTTATTCTTTATTATCGCTTTTTGTTCGATTAATTCAGTGTTTAGGTACATATATTATTAGGTATCTTTATTTCTAAATTTTAATCTGATTCGATAAAAAAATAATTATGGTTATAAAGGACCGCATAAAAACAAATTATAATGAACACAAAACGAGTCGACTAGTAAGTGGAATCCTGATTGAGATGTAATATTAACATATGATATGCTGTTCTTTTAAAGGCAAAGTTCTGCCTTTCACCAGATTCGTCATCATCTGTATGTTACCGGCGTGTATTGTTTCTGAGAGACTTTTTAAAAAGGAACTTGTGAAACAAATTTAGATAAGTAGGTACTCATTAAAACTAATACACACGAGGAGTAATTTAATAGTTGCCACTTACTTAACTTCCTGCGTTTTAAATTCCGTTCCTAGACCCTACGTAATTTATATGTATATTCCATCGTATTAACCTAATTGAATACACACACACGTACACAACTATTTATATTTTATTACAAGGCTATCGGTTTAAATACGATTATCCAGTATAATTTCAATTGTTTTTTTATTGCTTCACTGAAAATAAGCAACGAAATATCAAATAGGTATTTGTGTTCACTCAGTGTAAATTATAAACGGGTTTTAATAAAATAAAAATAGAGCATACCAATATATTATGTGTTGTTCATTGTAAAAATGAATTATCTCCTTTTAATTGAATTTTTAAATCAGTTTTTTATTAATTTTTGCATTTATTGGAGTTGCTTATCTTTTATAATGAACGACCTATATATTTAGTATTTAAATGTAACAGTTTATATGGAATTGACGATAGAATCATATCTGGACCAGTCAGTGTTGAAATTAATACTGACATCATAAAATAATTATAGTTGTTTAAAATGGGTGGGATTTAAAATTTTCGCATGCAGGGTCCACAGATTGGCCATTTCCTCATCCTGCAGTCGATGATACACGCGTATCGCGTTCACAGCGTTACAGTTACCTAAGCAGTCCCTAGGGCTAAAAAAAAATAAAAATAAAAATGAGGGCGACACAAAGGATATGCGTACAGTATCTGTATATGTATACATATATTAAACCGTGCACATGATATTACAACGGCTGTCGGTTTAGTTTAACCGGAATTCAGATCATTTAAATAGCGGTCCATCATATTATAAAGGTTTCTAATTGAAAACCGCGATTCACACGTACTGTCAAACCGTGGCCGAAAACGGGTCACGGTCGTGGCCTATAAAGGCCTTAAAAGACAGACATATAAATAATCTAAGTATTTAACAGGCTATTATAGCTTTATGTGTATATTATTTAAATTAGGGATACGAGCGTTTATAATAGCGTATATATATATATTGGTATAATAATAATATATTAGGTAAATTTCGGTATTTCCGGATGACGCATGAAATAAGAAATAAAGATACATTTTATACTTTTTACTTACATCCAGTATACCTCAAAAGTAGAGAATTAGATAACACGCGTACGATAAACATGCCACTGCTGTCTTAACCAATTGTTGTTATGTTTTGGCTCGTTTTCTCGAGGTAATTTCCCACATAATAGTTTTGTAATACCTGTCTTCAAGTCCTGTAAGTAATTATCGCCCAGTCTCTTGGAATTAAGTTGGTTATCGAAATTTGTTGAAAAAATACTAAACCCAAATTGTTGTATTCGCTTAGTAGCGCTTTATAAAAATAAGCAGCATGGGTTTCGACCCCCCCAAAAATCAACTTGGTCTAATTTGTTAGTGTACTTCACCAATGTGTTCGGTGATATAAAAGGAAAAAGTAATAAATGTTCACTATTGTAGATGATTTAATAGTAAAGAAGAAAATTGTTCTTTTTTCGAATTGGTGTGATGGGAATCATTTAAAAATGAATGTAATACATGTGCCTAAGTTTATTTTACTGAACGTAAAAATCCATTTATGTACGATTATTCTATAGATGGGCAAGAACACAAGGTTCAATCTATCGTTCTTTCCTTTTGCCTTTTAAGATGCTTGTCATATAAGATTGGGACGCAAAGTTTTCTAGTATAAGCTTCGAAATAAAGTATTTATTATTTATTATCTTAAAGACTAACTTTTATAAGGCATTCGATTCACAATTGTATAGGTTTAACGGACATTAGTATGACAACGAAGATAATTCTGGTGCGTAATACCATTATAATTTCTAATTTAATTTTGATAATGAATCTAAACTGCGGTTTTATGTTTAAAATTTAAGCAATAGATTGTACACATAACCTCAGGAATTTCTCTGTCATGTTAAAAAAAATTATTATTTGTATAAATTACAATAATTCATACCTCTTAAGCTAAATCTAATTATTGTAGAAAAAGGTTTTGTTCAGTCCTGTCCTATAAAAGAGCGTCAATAGACAATATTATTATTTATTTTATTATTATACAAACGACTATTATTAGCTGGACAAATGATACATGTGCAATCATTTATTTCAATATTTTATAAAACATTTTTATTTAAGATTTTTTATTAAATTAAGAGATTTAATTTGTTTAAAATATAATATAATTTCTGAAAAGATTAGAGGATATTAGATTTAATTTGACTTAATCAAACACAGAATATTTATGAATTGCTTCATTAAATATTTGAAGACCATTTGATCATAATTGATATATTAATTAATATTATAATGCTAATTATAAACAAAATTGTTTATTTTAACTGTTTAATTGTTGATCTATTTAATTATTCACCTCGAAGTTAACAAAACCTATTGGATAATTGATTGGTTCGGTTGATACTTAATAAACTTCCAAAATAAGCTAGAATTTGATAATTATAATATCATAAGGTTTATTATAATAAACTCAAAAATAAAACAAGATAAAATTTTATGAATGCACGATGCAGTAACTTTAAAAATAGAAATAAATATTGTCAGGACACCCCCCAATCCCAAATAAATAATTAAAAATACGCCAAACTCTGTTTGACATTTTAGTTCAATAATTTGTATTATGTTCTCTATTTTGTCAGACAAAAATGTATACAAGCGTAGTTTTATTGTTTAACACCTAACAATATTATAAGAATATTTTGAGTTGTTAAAGTAAGAAACACTAAGCAAATTTAAAACATATTTTATGCGTTTATCAAGACAAATATTAGCCTTTAAAAAATCTTTGTACAAAAAGTGTAATCAGCTAACCAAAAACAATGAAGTGCGTGAACTTAAAATTTAATATACAAGTTAAAAATATAAGAATATTAGTTATTACCTCAGTAAAAATATGTGGATGACGGTTAAAAATGTGGCCTAAGTCTATACAGTGAGGTCATAATTTGAGCTGTTAGGTACTAGGTAGTAGGTACAGTATAAAATATGTTTCTTGTAATAATTTTAAAAATTACCAATTAATAATAATATTAAACGCTTAGATATTAGTATATTTGTACATCATAGAAAACATATTATATTAATTACAATTAGGTATGAGTAATGAGTATACTAGTATAAACTGTTTTTTAAATACTATAATTACTCATATGTCATTTTTTAAGTGTAAATGAAAAAAATATAACAAAGACTTCTTTTTTACTGTCACTTTGGTTTAGAAAAGTAGCTCAAATGCTAAGACTCTCCAAAAAATAAGTACCATAAAACATTATTGTATTTTTTTTTATTGATTTTTAACGGACTCCAGTCTCTCAAAAATGTTTGGATTTTGGATTTTGCATCTTAATACTATACGTAAAGGAAAAATATTTATATTTCGGGAAGAATAATTTAAAAATTTTTTTTTAATTTTTATTATTAATGTGCAAAAATTATTGGTATGTAAAAAACTTATTTTTACTTTAAGAAAATTTTAAGTTAAGAAAGTAAAACCTAAATTTGGCCCGGAACTATCGGAAGCCCTGTTATTATTACATTAGTATAGATGCGTATATGATTTTATACGTTGTACTCTGTGAAACTATATAATTTTTTTTTAATAAGTAGTTATAGTAATTACTAATTAATAATCGTTACACATTACGATTATTATTATATTATTGCTGACAAATAATAATGTCACTGTGTGTAGTAACGACTAACGGTTGTAGTATTAAAATATCTTGAATGGAGATGGTGTATTGACGGTACACTGCTGGAACACCTTAGCATTTCCGGTGTCGAAAAAAAAAATAAAAACTTTCCGAACACGAATCATAACTAATTAAATCAATCACGGTTGAGCCGGAAAGCTTACTTGAACTGGTTCGTATCGTGCGCGCCCTTTTCATTCTAGTTTGGAATCCGCCGGCGGACGGTTAATATTAAATCATAAATAAATACCAGTCCAGGTTAAAAACTTTTTTTTCATTTTTAAATAAAATTTTGTGAAGTGTCGTGTTTTTTATTATATTATTGTATTTTTCATCTCGTCTTGCGAATAGGTACTCGTTATTTTTTTTTTTACCGTCCGAATTTTGACAATTTTGCGGCGCCAATGCAAAAAAAATGAGTGCATCTATAGGACCTGGATGTTAAATTTCAAACTTTTTTTTTTATCGTCTATCTAATTGTTACGAATGATTTAATTATAACAACATAGCCAACGTAATTGAAAAACATCAACGCAACGTTTTTTTGAAACCTATATATATATATATGTAATAAACATATATATATTGTAAATATACAAATATATTTCCCGTAAGTAAAGAATAACAATAATTATTGCTTTCTACACTAGAGATCAGTGGTTAATTAAAGAGTAGCCTCGATTTCTAATTTATGAAATTATACAGCGTTACTATGTAATATAATAGGTACTTTACAAGTAATCCCTATTTTATAATATCGTATATCGTTATTATATTCAAATACAGTAGTTCACCAGTTTGCCAATTGTTAGTAGTAGCTCTTAATTTAACCTGGTGCAATTATTATACTTTTTCGGCAATAAACTACTAGAGAAATAAAAAAGTATTTTATAACTTGAAGTAACATTTTATCGAGACACAAAACAATTAGTGTTTTAAAGACTAATGTTAACGTACACTATTCTTAGTACATGTTTAATCCATATCAATCACATGTTGGCACATTTAAAACTAAGTTCGTGTATGTTATTTACGCATCTTAATAAATAGTTTATGTTATCAGATATTTAGCAATTAACCACAATTATTTGTTAGTCACGCTGTATACGAAGTCTTCTATTACATAGGTAGTTAAAAATGATTGTGTTTTATACATAAATCATTCTTGCCAACCTGTAGAAAAAATAATTATATATGTATTATATATATACTGTAAATTAACATTTTAAAATTAATTTATTCTTAATTATATTTTTATTTACTAAAATGAACTCATAAAATTTCATTCATTACATTTTCTTTAAAGAAATGTTGATAAAAAATGTACGTTTGTCTAACAATATATTAAAGAGTAGCAAGTATAATAGAATAATTTTTTGTAGTAATGACATTTAATAAATGCATGCTGTCGGATATAATACGGAAACACACCTGTTAGTGAATAATAATAATGATTGTTTTTTGTCAAGGTTGTCCTAGAATAAACTATAAATATAATCGTCTCTATTGAAAACATTTTGATTTATCAGTATTTTTTAGAATATAATATAAATGTTATGATTGAAAATTTAAATGATTTGTGTAGATATAGCTGTAGATACCCGCTTAATCTAAATTCTAGTTACTTTTAAATGTGCAACGCGATAAAACATGCGTTGTAAAACTTGTCATTGTCGCAATTCAAATGTCTCTCGGACATATTAAAATAAAAAAATTAGCAGTGGCGAATTTTACACAGCATAACTGGATATTTGTAGAGTGGGCCCTCGCCCATCACAATTTTGTTTTCAATTACATTTTGTAAGACCAAAATCGAGCCAGATATAATATGGCCAATAACCAAAAAAGTCATAGTAATTAATACACGTATTAAGTACAAATGTATTAAAAATAAATATTTCATAAACAGAACGGAAAAGTAAAACATTATTCAAACTAATATTACGGGAATGAACTGCATCGACTGTGATAATAACTGTAAGTCCCAAACGTATACCTCGTAGGTCATAGCCGCCGCATATTGACAATCAATAGCGGTGTATTTATTTTAGTTTTTATCTTCTAGGATCATTGTAAAATATAATTTACAGATTTTATGTTTTTCAATAAAAGTAAAAAAAAAAAAACTTCTAGGATTGTGAATAATTCGTTAACGTAGAATTTTAAGAATAATATTAATAAATTTAATATTGATTTCTATCATTTTATTTTGTTTTTAAGTTCTTAATCTACGAAATCTCTTAAGATGATATTTCGGATAATGTTTTCTAAGTTGTTGCCATAAGACACAGCTTACTTTTCAGTACAATTTTTTTTTTTTTTTTTTACTGGCTGTATAACGTTCTCTCAATGTACCATAATAATAATAATACAAATAAATAAAATGCTAATAATCAATAATATACAACAATAATCATTTTATACTAGTTATGTAAAAAAAAACGAAGTAAGCAAATAAAAATGAATTAATTTTCCAATATATTTTATGTATAATTTGTAAACATGGTGGTTAATTATCCCTAATGTATCACTGAGCACGACAAGACATATATTGGCTAGCACCTTCATTGAAATGTTGTGCGATTGAAATAAATCTACCAAGAAAAGTGAGGCTGTTCCTCGGGCACCAAACTACAATCCGTAGATCGACGAACAAATTGTTTTAATATTTTTAACAATGTAAACAATGCAGTTTACACTACTATTATTTCATTTACTCAATAAGTTTTGCGTTAAATTTTTATATTAAAACCCGTGTATACACCGTTCAAATAACAAATATGAAATAAACGATTATTCTTCCATATGTTTAATGACAATATTCGGCATTCTGTAGATTTTATAGGATATTGGTGATTGTTATTAGTTACCATTGAGTTGTTGAATTTGTTTAAAGAGTTAATCGCCGTCTCAAAAAGATTTGGTTAACAGAAGTAACTGGATTCTAATACGGTTTGTTTCTCATAATTGTTCAATCTATGATAATTTTAATTAAATAGTTGACGTCAAATGAAAATTAAATAATTATTGTATTATTACATACAACACGTCTAATTTACCTGTTTTTATATAAAAAAGAACTTTCATTATATTAATTTTGAAAACAAAATAATAATCAAAATGAATTGCGGTACCATGGAGATTAAAATTGAAGCGATTAAATCGTCTGATAAGTATAAAATAAACTATATTATATTATTGTCTATATTTTATCCCTTAATCAATAGCCGTGCATATTTGAATAATATTCCAATGCTTAGGCGTATCAAAATTGCATATACAAAACGCCGTACCTCAAATTATCGGTTTTATTTTGCCTACGTTGTTATCATAATATAACGGATTGTTTTTGATGTGTATTGGTCAAATAGTTTCTACGAGAAAATATACTTCCTTAAACGATTTATATTTATTATAATACAATAAAATAATTGGCCGATTTAAAGTTAAAACCTATCCGATAACGACGCACCTCGTCGCTGCAAATTGTGTCAAAATACCGAACAGCATAATTATTGGAAAACCGGTTATTGAGATACGAAGTTTATCCAACGAAATTTGCTACTTTCAACTATTTACTTAAAAAAAATGCCTAATTAAAGCAAATCGTCGCCGTATAAAAATCCACGCAAATGACAAATATATTACTTATTATTATTATTGTTAAAATGCCGAAAGACATTGTTTCTTTATGGGGAAAATTTTGTTTCAGAGTCGTCATAAAATGGGTGACAAATCGCGTAAAGGCAGTGGCCAAGATGCCGAAGCAAATAACACGACGGCGGAGCAACAACGCACGGAAGCCGTGGCAAAAGCCGTGCACGGTCATCCGGTTTCAGAACACCCGACCACGTAAGAACCTTTACACGTTCATAGGGCAATAATAAAGAAAATATAATACCAAATATTATGTGGAACGTGATGGTTTTTCTACTTAGGTACTGCGAGACGCTCATGCATCTTCTGAAGGGCAACATCGGGTGCGGCATGTTGGCCATGGGAGATGCTTTTCGAAACGGAGGTCTGTTGATGGCGCCTCTGCTCACGGTCTTCATCGGCACCGTGTGCATATACAACAATCACATATTGGTGAGCACGATGAAATATAGGGAAACGTTACCTACGGCTCGTGTTTTGCATTTGTATAATATATCGTTTTTGTTAGCTAAATGTCGCGCATAAGCTCAAGAGCCGACTGAAACTCGAACACTGCCCGACGTTTTCGGAGACGATCGAACTGTCTTTCGCTACCGGACCCAAAAGTCTACAGAGGCACGCGGATTTATTCAGGTGATGATAACAATAAGGCTAAACGTGAAACCTTATAATAATTATGCGCTTAGGCAGGCAGTGGAGCAAAATTTACTACCAAAGCAATACTATTAGTTCAAAAAGGGATACCAGTAAAAATGATGTACCATCTTTAAATACCTACATATGCAAAAGTAGATTTAAATAATAAGAAAAACATATTATTTCAATTTTCATTACCTACGATAAATAACTTGTTTTTAATTAGAACACATGGAAAATGCAAAATTTTGCCGAAATAATACAAAACTTCTGATTTTTTAGGGTTAAAAAAATATTGTTCGTATAAGTCGTTAATAATACTTGGTCAAATAGTTGGGTCTACAGATGCCTCTAAGTCCTAACACAAATTGTCAGTTACGCCTAGGGCTATGGCTCTAACTGGTTAGGTCAGGTTAGGTTAGACTCTAACTGGCAGTATCGACAACATGTTATATTACCTACTTTATAGGAGTGTACATACGGTTTGATTGGTCTGCCAATGTGACATGACAATTAATAATAAATAATATATTACATCTATATCCTAACAAACTCGGTTTCGACATTGATTTTTTATTTTTGTCTTAGGACCTTAGTCAACGTGTTTGTCATAATAACTCAACTGGGATTCTGCTGCGTGTACATATTGTTTGTTTCAAATTCTATTAAACAAGTACGCGATACGATATCAATACGAATATTAGGAAGTTGTATAAATATGTTTTAATGCACTTGCGTCAATTTCGTTTCAGTTTTGCGACGAATACGGTGCGGTGATAGACATTCACATACATATGATTTTCGCACTGATACCGATTATGTCCTGTGCCATGATTAGAAATTTAAAGTTCATCGCGCCTCTATCTACGGCCGCAAACATTTCAATGGCCATTGGTCTAGGTATCATCCTATCGTACTGCATAGTGGATTTACCACCGTTGGCGTCTAGAACAGCCGTTGCCCATTGGTCACAAATACCGTTGTTCTTTGGCACGGCTATATACGCTTTCGAAGGCATAAGTCTGGTACGGTACACCCACTTATACTTGATATAACATTTTTTAATTATTGTACTATATTACTGTAGCATTATATATTATGTGTTAATAATTGGGAACAATTTTAACCAACATGTAAGTATTACATACCAAAGTCCATAAATGAAATACTTACCAGTGGGGAAGCCAGTAAACATATGACAAAGCCACGCATTTTGTAAAAGAAAAAAATGTTTGATACATGATTTCTGAAACACTTTGACGACTATGATGAAAGTAAGGGTCGGGTATTTAATAAGAGAGATAAAATAAAAATAGGTGTATGGAGTTATACGGTTAGATAGAAGGCAATATATTATATAAGAGGTAACTCGGGAGTTACAGTTCTGTAGGAAAAATTAAAGAAGATACATTAATACATGATTCAAGAAGTTAAAAAAAGAAAAACATTAAATATATAAGAAATAATAGTTATAAAAAGATTTACAGCATAAATCAGACCAGAAAAGATGATTGAAAGTTATAAATTAAATTACGGAGATGCAATGGGTATGGAGTTAATATAGTTGTTTAGTGTTCTTTTGGATGGCTGGTCCCATTGTAAAAGATAAGACGAGAAAGAATAAGATTTAGCCCATATTGTGCTTTACACAAATATCAACTGTATCATTGGTGTAATGCCGTTATAACGTTTAATGTTATTATTCAATTCACTTTACTCATTAATGAATTAAAATATAAAATTATTAAATTATAAAAGTAATAATAATTATTATTTGTATTGTGTATAGGTATTACCTCTGCAATTGGAAATGAAAAAACCAGACCGATTCGCTTCCACTTTAGGAGTGTTAAACACTGGCATGACTATTGTGACATTCATAATTTTAACTATGGGCTTCGTAGGATTCTGGCGTTTTGGCGACGACGTCAAAGGCAGTCTGACACTTAATCTTCCCCCAACACTCGTGTAATTTTTTCTTACCTTTATGTACAACAATAATGACTTCTTCAAATTAGTTATTAACTGTATTTTTATTTACAGATTATCCAAAATTGTAGTCGGTCTGATGGTGTTTGCAATTATTTGTACTTACACTCTACAATTTTACGTGCCTGTTGCTATTTTGTGGCCTTCAGTACAAGAAAAATATGGACCGTTCCAATCTCCAGCTTTAGCCGAATATCTTCTTCGCGCCGCTTTAGTGTTCGCAACATGTAATGACACCGTTTATAATCAAATATTATAATTATTAAAATGGGCTATACTTTAAATCATTTTTTTACAAAATATTTACAGTTTTAGCAGCCGAAGTGATACCACATTTAGCATTATTCATATCTTTAGTTGGAGCTATAGCTAGCACATTTTTGGCATTGATATTTCCACCCATTTGCCACATGGTTGTATGGAAGGAAGAAGGATTTGGAGCATATAATTGGAAACTTCACATGGACATCCTTACAATCATCTTGGGTCTACTAGGTTTTGTCACTGGTACATATTTTAGTTTACACGACATTGTTGTTGCGTTCAGCAAAGATTTCGGCTTACACCACTGAACGAAATATAATAGAATGTTCACTATTTAGTTTTAGAAAATGCACCATTTTGTGTTTTTAATACGTAATATCTTTAATTTATTATATTATTAGTTTATTTTAATACGATAGAATATATAATTGATAGAATTATCAAATACACGTTTAAATTTCTACAATTACAGACCAAGTTATTAGGTTGTTTGTAAATTATTTACGTTTATTGTCAATTAAATATATAACACATTTAAATATTTTTATTGTTCTAAAAAGTAGATAAATATTTATAAAAATATACCCAACAATTATTTATCTGTACAAAACAAGACAATACTTTCTATTTGGTTTTGATTTTCTTTTGTGTTGTCATTTGTTTAACTTTTTGTGGTACTTCAGTAAAGATGATCGTCCCACCAAACACTAAAATGGTCCCAATCCAATGGTAAATTGTAAATGGATTGCTAAAATATAATATACTAAACAATAAACTAGTAAATTTTCTGAGCGTTAAAACCAGCGTTACTGTCAATGATGAACACTCTGTAGTTAAAAAGTATACAGAACTTATACAAATATATCTGGGAAAAAACATTTAAGGAAAACAAAACATACATGTGCATTTTAAATTCAAATATTAAAAAATCATATCGAATAATTAAAAGGATACTGTGTAGCTACATTACCGATTAGATAAACAACTGTACTAGGTATACCCAATCCAATAAGAGGCAATGGTTCACTTTCAAATGCCATTGTGATATGTTCCTTTAGGTTAGAATAGAGAAACACAAACCACGGTAATGGTAGTACATGCTAAAAACAACATGCCAAAAATTAATTCATACTGATGTTATAGTTTTTAGGCGCTCCTGAACCCAATATTTTCCTGAATTAAATTAAATGTTTTTCTCTTATGCCAAATAGCCTTCTAACCTTTTTAATATATTGGTGTCAATGCCACAATTCTCTATTGATTTAGTAAACATATTGTTACGATTATTTTACGTTTAAATATTTAGCGTTAACACCATTAATTAAGAGTTATGAAGTTATTGTCAGTATTAAAAGACTGGTTTTAGGCACAAACGACAGTTTAAATAATATATGATAAATAAATGGATTAGGTAATATAAAAATTAGAACTTTAGATAAATACACAGCAGAAGAGAACAGAAAAAGTACTGCATTATTATTTTGGCTGTCCTGTAAAATAACAAAAATGTCGTTAATGACCTTTTTCCTTATAATCATTGATATGTCAAAAACTTCTGGTTTAAATTTTGAAAAACTAACAAATCATATTTAAAATATAAATTTTGTTTTTAATACACAATATTTGGTACGCCATTTAGTGTGGGTAGGGTTTCATTAACTTCACATTATAATTTAACATGCAAGTTAAATAAATTTACCGTATAAAATAATGCTTCCTGAGGATGTTTTCCATGTTTCTTGTATAATGTTTCTTGATAAATTCCCATCCGAGCAGAAATAAACAATGCCACAGTTAAACATGATATCCCTGTTAAAGTTAAACAAACTTGTTATTAAAATATTTAAATTATATTATACAATATATGGTTTTCAAAACTATGTAAATAATAGGTAAGCCTATTCTTTAAGCTTGAACAAAATATACATTGTATTTTCTGTTAAATAATAATACGCAACAATAGAATATGATTAAAATAGGTACGCTATCTATAATTTGATAGAATAAAACAACTCTTAATATTACCTAAGCACCACCAAAAGAAATCCTCAAGCTCACTCGTATTTTGTTCAACACCTCGTATAACAGTTTTTTTCTACAAAGGAAAACCAAATTAGATACTAGATAAAATGAAAACATTTTATTTATTTATGTATAAAATAAAAAGAATAATAATATAGTTATAGTAATTAGTTATAGTAATATAACATAAAATAATCTTAGATTACTTACAACATCTTGACTAGAGACTATAGTGCAAACAGAAATACCAGCTGTTATCATAGCAACAGAAAGATATTTGTCGAGTGTATACTTTTTTTTCATTATGACTATTCCCATGATCATATTTGCTATTAAAGAACCCTAAAACAGTATTCGATTTTAATTCAATATCTAAGAGATACAAAAATTCCATTATCATGTGTTTAAGAGCAAAATCTAAGTATTTTTGTTGTTAAATCTAGTCTTTAAAATAGGCCCTTATGAGTATTATACTATTATTGTCTTTGTAATTTTGTAAAGGATTACATCGATAATCAAATCAAAATTATGTTTCATAATAAAATGTACTGCCAAAAATAATAATAATAAAACTGCATAGGTAAATTTAATGTGTATTTTAAATTTGAACAACTTACAGCTCTAAATATCATATGTAGTGGCATAGCAATATTTAAATCAAATGCATAGTTATTTAAAACATTGGTTATGAAAAACATTGAAACTAAAATCAGGTAACCTCTAAAAAAAAATGTTTAAATTATACAAATAATCAGAATTAAAAACATGTATTTTATGTAATCTTAATATAACCTACTTAACGCTAATATTTGGTTTCTTTGTACCAAATTTTGCAGTAAATATAAATCCGTGGATCGCAATTAACAAAAATTGAGAAAAAGTTATTAAATTTCCAATTCCTGGATCTTGCCTACAAAAGAAAAAGTACATTACCCATTGACAATATTATAACTAAAAATTAAATACACCACTATATTTGTGTCACTTACTTTACTAGAAGTTCAAGAAATACAACATTACTCATGCAACCAAAGAACGTAGATCCAACAGCAACGGGGACACTCATTTTAATAAATTAAAAATTATATTTTGATTTTAAAGCACAAAGCGACAAATTTCTGATGATTAAAATAATTCGTAAAACTGCTATTAAATTTTCTTTTGCGGTATTAACAATCCACTTGTAGGAAAGTCAGCGTATGCATAAAAAACTTTAAAGGTTGGTACATATTTACTTAAGATTTAAATGATGTAGTTTTATTAAATTACAGTTATTACGTAAATTAGCAAGAACACAGTTCGCCAGTATACCTATAAACATATTATTAAGTACTTATTAATCATTCTCTCATGGCCATCTAAATTTGTACAAGCGCGGTTCTCGAAGACTATAGATAAGTACATTATATGACTCTAGACTGAAAGCTACGATGATACCACACATCACATGTTTAATCTTATCAAATGAAAACATATGGACCAGAATGCAGATTACGGTCGGAGTGAGATCATTTAAAAATTATTCTAAATAGGTAGGTAATATAATCCGAGAACACCGAACACGGCTTAATGATAATATTAGATATAAAAACATTTTTTTTTTAAACAGCATAGTACATAAACATAGAACGATGTGGCACGGTTTTGTAATTTTAGACGGTGATATCATAAGCCGTATTGTAATTATTAAACGAAGTACTAATTCAAGTGAAATTTAAATAACGAAGGTTACCTTTGTTTCATGTTTTTTTTTCATAACTTATTTGTAGGTACCTTACCTAAATGCCTACCGGGAACAAGATATATCTTATTTTTGGGAATAAAATTGCAAACATTTGGAAGTGTATTTTTACTCGATGATTAGGGTTACATTAGATTAAAATAACATGTTGACAAACCTTTTTGTCGATTGTATATTAGTTTTAATACAGTAAAATCCAGAAATAAAGATAAATTAGAGTTCCCAAGTAACAAAAGCAAATCACAGTATAGATTAAATCTATTCCGTGACTAAATACTATAAATGATTTATCACTTATGTAGGTACCTATTATCTCTGTGGTATAATGGCAAAAGTTGATGTTTCACTTTCCAACTTTTAGGAAAATAGTCAATACAGTTAATTTTTTTAATTATCACTAAAATGCTGCTAAAATATTTTTTAATTGAATCAAATATATGATTTATAGTTAATATATTTTGATGGGAGACGGGTGTATAACCTTTAAACACCAAAATATCAAACTATTTGTTTTGGCATTTCAGCAAATTGTATATTTTTTAAATATTCTTATTAAATATTGCCTTATTTAACTTTTGTCAATTTTTGCGCAATACTTATTTTCAAACATATTATTATAAATGCGCCAAAATTAACAAAATGTAACTTATCAACTTTAGACTTCTGTCATTCTAACACAGATCTACAACCGTCAATCATAATGTACACCATGTCCACCAGTTTATAATCGTTTATTAACTATACTCTATAATATTTTACCATTCAATTATATAGGTTTAATCATGAAGTTGATAGATGCCAAATTCATAAAATAAAAACACGTGTTTGTGAAAAAATCCGGACGGCAAACTCTTATGTAAGTTTAAAAAAAGATAGTGTAAATAAATTATACAAAACAGAGTATATTCCAATAATATGATTGTTTCAATGAATTGTATTAACTTTAAAATGTAAAGAAAAATACATTTCAGATAACACTTAGGTCTACTTTATATTTTTTAATACTGTTATACAATATTTTTATAAGTATACATTATATAATCTTTTTATATAATTATACATATGGTCAAAGGATATTATATAACAATTTAATATAACAGTATTAATGTTTGTCAACGACGAACAGCTGCAGCCTTTAGAGTACGGTAGCTATAGAATTTACTAAATTCAATTTAGAACGTCGATTATATAAATTTAAATAAGGTGATGACATTTTCTTTTAAATAATATCATTAAGTACCTCGGTATAATTTAATTGTTAATGTTTTGTGATTAAATGTTTATTGTATTAATCTAATGTTGGTACAAAATATTGTTGATTTCATATTTGTTGATATACTTTTTTTTTACATTGAATGAAGACCTAGAGGGTTTGTATACTTAACACTAAAAGAAAACTGACACCAGGCGAGGACATCGTTTATTCAAAACTATTGATGATAGGAGGGGAATATCTTTTAAAATCCTTACAATGTCTATTGTCGAAATATGAATTAAAGTTAACGATTTGAATGATTTGAGCTATATTATGTACAATTTTCAAAAAAAGACATCCATCAAAAATAGAAAACTCTACAGGGAATTTCTTTATCTAAATATCAATGTGGTTTAAAGAAAGGGAGATCGAGGAGTGACTGTATTTTTGCATTCGACAAGTAATGGAATACTTTTTCCATACATTTTGTTTTAAGCATTTCTATAAACCGAATTTTGTTATTATCATTTTATAAAACGTTTGCCTTAGTAACGGAAATGACCATAGGCATATGGTCGTCAAATTAAATATCGGTACAGTTTTTATTTTTCGACGTTGTCATTAGGATTTGTTTGTATTTTTTGCACTTTCTTGTTCATATCCATCAAATACAATGATAATATCAGAACTAACATCTATCATCTACACAAGAAATCTATGATTCACAAATCAATAGAAATGTTTGGCGTAGTTTCTATACAACTCTGTGTAGGAGGAATCCAAACTTAAAAATTATACATATATATTATTATCTCGCAAACGCCACAACTTACGTTTAATCGTTTTTAACTGAGGAAATTAAATGTCAATTAAATAATAAATTAATAAAATTATAGTATATTAACTATTTCAAACTAATAAGGAATATTAAAAATTGATATGTATTATGTAGCTCACGTTACACGTGTAATATTACGTACAACGTATAAAACTGTTATGTAAAAAGACGTAATATATAATTTTTTTTAATATGCCGAAGTTCAAATTGTTTTTTTGTAAAACTGCTGGTTTAAATAAAAAAGTATATAAAGCTTTTTTATAGAAAATTATGTCATTAACATTTTTTGTTCAAAACTTTTTTTAAATATTTGCAATATTTCTCAAGTTATTGACAAAAGCTCAAAACTTTTTTTAAATATTTGCAATATTTCTCAAGTTATTGACAAAAGCTCAAAACTTTTTTTAAATATTTGCAATATTTCTCAAGTTATTGACAAAAGCTCAAAACTTTTCGAAGCTTATAAAAAAAAAACTCTAGTCTGATCCATAGGGACTTTTAGTATACTAAAGTACATGTACCAAAAAGGCTTTTAAAAAAAAAGTTTTGTTTGGGAATTTTTTCCGTTATTAGCCTAAATGTTTTCTTCATTGACTGGCCTAAAAAGAGGAAAAATTGTAAATATTTAGCAATTTTATCATTTTATTGTAACCGTTGTATATAATAAAAAATTGGTGAGGATTTCGTTCTCTAGAGAAAAACTATATATAAAATATCAATTATTTTCCGAGAAAAAATTGGTGGACGATTTAGGTTGATCAACCTGTATAAGCGATACGTAACCGTGGTATCAACTCTAAGTTTTAAACGTAGCAGGTAGCTGGTAAAGCAACCGTAATAAACACGTCATCTTATCAAATATATAGCATTTAAACTAAGGTGTGTTGATACTTATGATAACTGTGAAATGGCTGCCAGGGTTTTCGGATGGCCATGCATTTTTTATTACGGTATACAAAACAGCTAGCAGCCATGTTGTGAAAATGTATAATTCCAATTGCTGGAATACCTTTTAATTTTGCCACAGATGATGCAGAACATACCATAGTTACCTCTTACCCGGTTTCCCTTTTCCTATTTCGCTTCTACGCATGCGCTTGCGACTTGACTACGGCGCTACGTTAACATATAGCAGCGACTACAGTCACTACTCACTACGCTACACTTAACACAGAAAACACCCATAATTTCATTTTTGATGTACAGAGGAAGTAGGGTTGGGCGGTTCACGGGCCGGGGAATATGAGACAATACAACAGCAGCTCCTCTCTATCCGCTTATTGGCTTATTGCGTAGTTCGTACTCCGTAGGTTATTTGTTATGTCAATCGCCATTTTTGCCGTGTAAACTGTGTTTAAGTTGTACGTACAATATTGTCCTATTGAGTATGTACATTTTATGCGTTTAGATTTTACCTTAACCGTAGTTTTCTTGTACTTAATTTGCCCGCAAATAAAATATAATCATTCAAAGGATGTTTGCCCCAATAATTAGCTGTTTGAGTAAAACAGCGACTGCACACAGTTTGTTTGTTTCTGTAAAGAATCAAAATGTCTGCCGCTTACACGTTGCACGGCCGTTGTTAAAAAATCGAGACCGTCGAAGTTTTTTATCTTCCGTACCGCCTGTGGACGAGGGTACTGAAGGAGAGAAATTCGTTTCTATCGATTCGGCTATTACCAAGTAAGTTTCACTTTAAAATAATATGTGCGAATTGGGACAGCATTTTTAATTCATAATAATCGTCTGGTACTTCGGCATTGTTAAATAGCATTGAGTATTGACGCCATTTTGTTGTGTTATAAGTTCCAACGCCAAGATGGACTTTTATATTAATTTTTACTAATCTTATTTATCCGTGTGTATAATTAAGTTTTATGTATTTTTGAGGAAAGAAGACATGTTTCCTGATGAAAACACGCCAAACATGTTATTTGGAGGGGTCAGATTTTCAGAAGTACCTATTTGTCATATTAAATCGTCCAAGAACAATACAATACTTCATTTAACAAAAAGTGATGGTAAGTTCTTTGACGTCACCAAACTAATTTGTTAATATAGTTCATCTTCAATGACCGTCTTACTATGAAAATGCTTGGTCAGGAATATGTTGATCTTGACTGTAGCATATTATGTGTCACACAGGGCAAAAAAAGTAGACATTTTAGTAAGCGGCCTAAACATTATAAACTGTTAAATAAAAAGGGACACTGACCTTAAATAAATCATTTATTGTAGGTCAAAAAATAATTAATCACTTATTCTAAATGTTTCAAATTGTAGAAAATGTATTTATAAACGTTCAGAGCATTAGCATTGCAATCAAAAAATAAACTTATTAAAGATATCCTCATACATTGTTTCTTAAAAACAATTGAATTGTTCTATAATGGGATTAAATAATTAGTAGTATATAATTAATACTTTGAAAAAAAATTGTTTTTTTCCAGTTTTCAACAATTAGTTTTTTTAAAACATTTAGATTGAATGAGAGCAGTTAATTATTTGCAGATCATGCAGATAAAATATTACGGAAATTAAATACTTGTGTTATGTGTACAGAGACTAGCAGATTAATATAATATAATTTATTAAAGCAGTGGCCCTATACTGTATACCTAGTTTATGAAAAACTTTTTTATTTGAGTTATTATATAGGTAGTACTGAATAGACATTCGTAAAATTAACCTTTTTAATCTCTATTAAATATTTTAGGAGAGAGAATTCTAATCAGATCCTGTGGTATGGAAGGATTCAAAAATACAAGAAAAGGCACTAACATAGCAGCACAGGCCACAGCTATTGGTCTTGCAATGGTAAGTTTTATTGACCATTAATGTTATACTAAGCGGTCCATACACTACCATCAAATTCAACATTTTTACTCATCAGTTGTACTCTTCGAGTTTAAAATCAAGATTCGACAGATTAAAAACTGTCGTATTTTGTCGTCGGTTTTTGCTCATGCACTTTGGTTTTGACCGACGTGTTTTATTGTGATGATGGAAACTGATGTATTTCATTGTAGTGTAATATTTAATATTATTCAATTCTTATTAACCTGTGTTATGACACGAATGTCTGTGTTAATAATACTAACATAAACAGTCAAAAACAAAGTCTCCACATAATTAACACGTATCCATGACATAAAGTTTTATTTTCTTTCGAATATTTTACTTAAAATATAAAATACGTATTGACTTTGTTACAGAGAGCGTTGGAAATAGGAATTCGGACACTTCGTGTGACAGTTCAAGGTTTAGGCCCTGGGAGATTGGTAAGTATTTTTTAAAAAATACTTAATACACACAAGCAGTTGCAGATTGTATTTATTATCTTTTATAATTTTTTTATATTTTTCTTTCTCTTACGTTTAATGTCCGTTATTCCCTCTAATTGGGGCTTAGACAGTTTAGATTTAGCATTTTTGACCTTACAGCTACCTGCTGACTTAAAGTTACCAAACAAGTTGGTCCCAGAGAGAGGTGCAGGTGGCCATTTCTTCCCCCAGACAGTTGCCCACCTGGATGAATAAACCCCCAGTGGTCGAGATTTGAACCTGCGGCCGTGCGTTGATACACTGCTGCCTTATCTCACTCCGCCACGCGCTTGCACATTATTTATTTATTTATTTGATTATATAAAAAAATATTATTAAATTAAAAAAAAATTAATATAAACTTTGACTGGGTCTATAGAAATATACTAAGCTTTTAAGAAAATGCTTGAAATTAAAAAAAAATCATGTAAATTTAAACACCTTTTTTATTTTATAAAAAAAAGAAATAATCCTGAAACCAATGTTAAGAAAAATTTTTAATTAAATTTTGTTAATTAAAAAAGAAATGAGAATATTACTATTTAGGTACAAGGTACAAATATTTAATTTATTTATTTATTTAATAAACATTCTGAATATTTTGTGATAAAATGTTAAGATCCTATATCTATTGTATACTTTAATCACTTTAAGAAGATACCTAGATGATAAACCAAAACTTGTACACACAGTATGTGGTGCTGAGCTATGACAATGTTGTGGGATAGGAACTGGTCGCCACCGACGTGATGAGGTATCTACTTAAAGTGACTGGAGTTTATTTTTTAATAGTATGGAAAATATATTAACACTTAATTATATATTATAAATTAAAATATTTTTTTTTTGAAAATAGTAATTACTATATTTTGTTTCAAAACATTTACATTTTAAAAACTTACTTATAATGTTGTATATACTATAAGGCTGGTGATTTTAACCCTTCTTTAGTGGTATGATTTTTGGTTACAATTAAAGTGTGACTAACACACTTTTTTTACCTGAATCACTGTGTGACTTAGGTTGACTAGTCTATAAACATAGACCACACGCCTAACAAAGCCTTAAATACCAGTTAACCGTTGTTTTAGTATTCATGATAATTACTTAGTTGCTTTATTTACAGTTATATTCAAATTGCGATTAAAATTCATTAATAATTTTTGACTTTACTTTTTATAATTTGTTACAAAATATAATATCCAAGGTAATAATATGAGTAACATCTATAAGAAACGGGAAATAACAGTATAAGAACGAACCTATGTATATATTTTCCATTAATGTTTTATAAAAGTTCTTTTATTTCTGAAACTAATTATAATTCTTTTACTTTTTGTTTTAGTCTTCCATAAAAGGCCTTACAATGGGAGGTCTTAATGTTATATCTGTGACAGATGATACTCCTGTTTCTTGGAACCCATTAAGATCACGAAAACGACGAAAGTTGTAATTATGTTGTAAGTAAGACTGCAATTTACTAGTTTATTAATATAATTTTTGGAATTTGTGATAATAGAGTGTAAACAAATGTTAACATTTAATAAATATTGTAATTTTTTTTAAAAACTATATGTATACTTTATAACTTTATTGGACCAATATCAAGTTTCTTAAAAGACCTTCAACATAATATTTTTAATTAATGATTTATTAAAATACGGAATATTTACAAGGTAAGGTCATGGTGGTTGGGTCGCCAGTTTTCAAAGTTATATCATTTTAAATTGGTATTGAATTTAAAAAAAATATGTGCGTAACCAATTATGCCAATACGGCTGAAAATGAGTGTACTATTTAAATTGACCATTTTGTTTATTTTCATGTTATTGCATTTTTTTATAAAAATAGTTCTTACTATAAAATTGAATTTATCGAGAATTTATTTTGAAATGGCTTGTTGTTATACCTACTGCGCTTTAACTGCATAATTAAATAAACAAAAAGGGTATATTTAAATGGTACACTCATTTTCAGAATCACATTGGCACAAACGGTTATTCGGTGACCCAATTATCATGACCTTCCCTTGTTAAAACTTATTAGAAAGAAAACAAAGAATATGAGTACTGTTTTAATAAGTTAGGTGTCTACCAGGTCGATGAAACATTGCTTTATGATATGAAAGTCGCTACTCTCAAGGAAGCATAGGACTAATGGAAAGACTTGGTAACTTATGAGTCTCTTTTAGTCTTGTGTAGTATACTTTGGGACTGTTTCAAATTCATTGCCCAGATCTGTCAACCTAGGAAACATCCAGCCTATTTGCCAATCATTTTTATTTTTTAGTATACTTAAGAATTATGTGTGTAATTTTGTTTTACAGTTGAATTACTCTTTTCAAATTCTAGTTTCACTTTCACGTTTTAACATAGAAATGATTGACAATTATTATTGGTATGATTATTTAAGAAATGGCTGTTGTTTTTTTTTTAAGTTTTGCTAGGTTATCACAACTGTTTATTTAAATTTAATGTTCTAGGCATATATCACTTGCGTTAAATTTGGGAATTCCTAAATAGTTACAGGCTCATTAAATACTTAAATTATAACTGATATAATTTAGTATTATGTTAGATATATATATTTTCTAAAACCTTATCCACTTGTATTACTATTTTTTCTATTTATAATTGATACAATTAATAATTATGATCAATTCTTTTTTTGTAATATTTCCTGTTTTCTACTATGTAGTATTTTGTTTGTTTTTGTACAAAACGTCGTTATGTATTTTATTAAATATTTTATGAGAGGGGATACCGTATTACTATGCTGCGCATATAATAAAGTAATGACAATCGTCGCCGTAATAACGAAATTTTCCCACTAAACTCAAATATCATGGAAGAAAAAATAAAATATTACTTTTTCTCTATCGATATGTTAAACGATTTTTTCATGATGTTCAAGTTCACGTACAAAAAAAAATATTGAATTTTTGTGTATAAATTTTGTCAGTATACGTTTTTAATTCTATATTTCCTCATTAAAATAAAAAACAAAATTATTTTCTTTTCCAAATATATCATGTCGTCTACGTCACCCATGCATAGTTGAATGGAGGAGCGCGGGGGTACCACCACCACTCTGTGTAATCTCTACACACAAAATGGCCGCTCATTGTTTGTCTCGCACCGTTTTCCATACATTCGTACACGTTTATGCTTTAAAGTATATTAATCTGGGTGTTATTTTTTTTGCATTCAAACTTTAATTTCAACTGTGTAATTGATAGTCGGTGTTTATTTTCGTGTTAACACTCGTATTTACGATTTTCGCTTGTTAACGAACACGTTTACTGGCTGTGCCACTTCACCTCCTCACCTTGACAGCATTATAATCGCTATATTTGGGTGAAACGAAAGATTTTTATGTTTTTTCCTTAGAAATAATTAAATTAAAAAAATATTTTATTTTCGCGACGTTATTTAAAAAGAAACCAACATTTTCTATTCAGGCGTATTGTCTCGTAACGGGAACAACTGCTCACATCACTTAAAATGCATCAGGTAAGAAATGTCTGCAAATGTAAATCAAACAACCCTTAATGATTTTATTAGCCACCCTAAAACTAAATAATTCCAAATTTGTTAAATAATGTTTACCCATGCCGTTTATTGTTGGTTGTTCCATTCTGGGCTACACAATCTTAGTTAAGCTTCACATCTTCAGTACATGCATAGTCCAGTGATTAATAAAAATAAATAATACAACCCCAATAACACTTTTTACTCAAATAAATAAGTTATTTACTTTCCCAACATAATAGACGATAGTGGACATCCGTAGAATAGGCGTACTTAAATAGGTAATGCATTTTTTTTAATACTTTTTCTCTGATACATTTGTATTCTTTACACACATAATCGCTTTCAAAATACTGTAAGGGTAGTGCATATAGTTGGACAGTTAAATATTGTTCTTTAATGAATTGCCAACGAATCAACGAATCCATAGAGGTATGAAACTTGACATTTTGAGTCGGACCCATTTTTTAAATTTTAAGATAAAGATGATGTCTTCCAAGACTGCAGTATTATTTCAATATAAAATATTGTGCAAATGTGTGTAAAAGAAAAAAGTTGATACTTATACCTAGATTATACTAAGATCATAGAATATCATTTTGTTATAAGATGTTAAACAGTTTAATGTAATATTTGTAAAATAAAAATTATACTTCATATTAAAATAACTTTTAAATGATAGATTTTTAAAGATATCAAATAAATAAATGTTACCAGTTACGCCATATTGTTTGTATACTATAATAACATAAGATGTGAATGTAGAATTACATATTATGCTACTAGTAAATATCTCCTGCATACAATTGACCTTTAATAATAACATTTTCATAATAAATTAGGTAAAATAATTTATTTAAATTTTACATTAACAGTTTTAGCTTTATACTTTTTAAAAACTTGTGGTATTCTTTTATTCTATAATAGGTATCCCAGGCTACCTAGATAAACTATATTTAATATTAAATAGATTAATGGTGAAAAATAATATTCTATAACAATAACAAACATCTCGTTTCAGCTATATTTATCATCTTTGTCTTGATTACGATGAATATTGTGATTTTTATGACTTACGTTATGTAAGTGTCATTTTTTAAATTAACGATAAAATTATTATATGGCTCACATGTCTTCGCAATATATATTAATAATAAATAAGTACATCATTTCTACGACGCCAATCTAACCTCAACAATCATTACTCTATACAAATAAACAATTATTATTGTAAGCATTCATTACTTACATTCATAACTGACATCGAAAGGCTATACAACACTAAAAAAAAAAAAAATAATAAATATGGGTAAATTGGTTGTCCTTTTTTATTTCTATAAGCAACTTTAACTTATAGAATGCCACAGAAGAAGAGTCGTCAGATTCTGATCAAAATAATGACAACCATTCAAGATCATCCTCGTCAACGAGTTCTGAAAGGTAAGTAAAATTAACTAAATTATTTTATTTAATAATTTTAAATTGAACACATTCACTGTGGATCAGAAGCTATTTATACTTCTGTGTGCGGAAGAAAATAAGGGGTATTTTTTTTTACCCAAAACTGTTTCAACTAAAATATTATGTTACCAAAAAATAACTACCACTTATTAATCAAAATATATTTTTACTATTATTATTATTATTATTGTTATTGTTACTATTTAAAAAAGAATATGTTTCAGTGAAATAACCATATTCGATTTCCCCCAATAGGTATATTAGATAAAAACTTTTTAAAAATTGGAATATTGATATATGACAACACTTGTGAATTAATTAATTTTTATTTAATCTTAATGCCCACTGAGTTTAGTGCATTGAAATAAAAGTAGCCAATAATGCCAATTGGTGTCTCATCCACAGGGAATATGTTTAAAAAAATATATATCTACCTCGTAAAATGACTAGCGTTGGTATAAAAAATACATAACATGGTATATAAACTATATAATAATTAACATCAATTTATGAAATTAAGTAATGTATAGAAAAAATAAAATTATTATTATTCAATGCTCAAGTAACTTGTCCAACTAATAAGTCAAGTGTATGTCGATTGAGCATTAACTTATTTTTTATATAAATATTTCTAGTTACTTTGATAAAGTGATTATGATTGTAGTAGGATAGCCATAGTTTAAAAATACATAGATCAACGACACTATAGTATTTTCAGTAACCCAGTTTCAGATACAAATGCATATTAACTGTGTAGCTGTGGTGTCCAATGAGGGTATTGTCAAACTGAGTGAAATGGAACATGCGTCCAACTTGGAACAATTAATTTTTGTTTTTTTAAGGTGTATTTAATGAAAATTTATACCCAGGTTGATGGTATCATAAGAGTTGATGAAGTATAGTATTATAATATTGCTATCTATGGTATTGTACATAGAAGTATATAACCATGGAGAATAAAATTTGGTACATAATTTATTGATTTTTGCCTTGATACAATTTTTACATACAACTGTTTGGTAATTATTTTGGGGTTTTCTTATTTATTATTTGGCATTTATTTTTACTTATTAATTTAATAATTATTAACTTCAGTTCTCATAATAATATTGTATCATATATTTTTAAAAAGTAGGTTCATTTAACAACAATACTAATGTGGTGCTCTATAAAAATTGTTCTACTTTTAAAATTTAAAGGAGTGGTGATAGTAACTAATAATTTGCTGTTAGTGTATATTATTGTGATACGCGTTACATTATACAGGGCCTTTCTTAAATTAATTTTTATTGTGAAACTATTGGTTTAGCTAATTTTCAAATAAAATTCAAATTATTATAAATTGTTGTAGATAGAAAAGTTATTATTTAACCTATCTATTTACAAAAAAGTAGTTTAAGTTTGGATTAAAATGTTATTTTAGAGAGTAAATTTCCTATTAAAAAACAGAATGATATATACAATTTAAATTGGTTAATAACTTATTTGAATAAAGAAATTCTTCCAAGGCAATAGGAGGACTTAGGTGACTTATTTATATTCTGTCCACCAAGAGAACATGCTGCGACCTGATGAAAATTGGTCTTCTACGCATCCTCGCGCGTTACATAATGTGGACTAGTGTTCCCTCCAGGACCGCCCTGCCAGCCTGCCCTAACGGCTGCTTGGTTCCAGTTAATATGCGCAAAACCGGTATGTTCTCTCGGTGGACAGGGTGAATAGAGGTATTCAGGAAATATTTTGGAAGTGGATTATGTTAATTATGGAAAGAACTGTTAACCTCTATGACAGATTGTAGGAATTTGAACGCATGAGTATATAGTACCCTAGTATCTAAGCTCAATATTATACCATGATTTATAATACAATATTTTAAAGTATATACAATTTTCTATATTATATACCGTATAAACCCTAATAAATGTTGTATGTAAAACAGTTAATTTAAGTAATCTAGTCTTTCCAGACATCTCTTCTCATAACCATTATCTATATATAAAAAAATGTTAAATAATAATTTGGCCTTATGATAATTATTAAAATATAAGAATCAATATGATAAAGCATATTTTTTTACCAAGAGTTTGTTAAAAACAAAAGGAGATCGTATTGTAATGTATTAATTCATATTTGAGAACATTTTACTTTACTATACACAATAGTTCAACATTGTTTCATATTGTCGTATGAGTTATAATGGAAATACTGATACTGTCGTGAATTTGAGGTTTAATTTTTAAATTTATAATATTTATAGTCAATCTGAACACAGTGACCCCGAAGCAGCTTCTCAAGACGCAAATAGTTCAGAACATTCGACCGATGAATACAGTCCTAATGAACGACCAAAGAGAGTGACTAAAGTGTCCTCCAAACTTAGTGAAAGTGATGAATCTAGTGATTATAGTTCTCGAGTTACCAAAACTACGTAAGTTCATAGTTTAAAACATTCAATTTATAAATTTATATGAAATGAAATTCATTAATAGTTTTATTTATGATTTTAGTTTGATTTATTTAAATTTTTGTATTATAGTTTGTCATGAACTTTATGCGGCTTCATAAAAAATTTTCCCCTTTTTGAGTTTTCTTTTAATAGTATTATTTTTAAAAGTTATTTATTAATGCTTTTATATAGTTAAAAAAATCATAAACATTAAAAAAAAGTCATGAATATAATTATAATTTGTATTCAATTAGGAAATGGAAAAGTGATAACAGTTCAGACTATGACTCTGAAACTGACAAAGAAGAAGTACCTCGTAGTAAATCATTAGCTGCCTTACGCCGTCAAAAGCAACCAGTAAGACGACCAGCCACTAATGCTGTTAAAGCTAACCCTCGTTATCGACAGAAACGCATTAGTTATAGTGGTAACAGCGATGAGGATAATGACGATTATACCAAATCTAGGTAAGCTACTTTTGAATTCTATGAGTAAAATTGTTAGTATTACAAAGAAATATTTTTCAATATTAAAGAAATGCTAGACGACGACCTGCAGCTGTCAGTTACAAAGAAGAAAGTGAAAAAAGTGATAGTGATGATTATTTGGAAAAAGAGGAGATTGAAGAAAAGGAAGAAGAACCCGACAATTCAGAAACTATTGAAAAAGTCTTGGCTCGTAGAGAAGGCAAGAAAGGAGTCGTAGGTAATATCACAACCATGTATGCTGTTGAAAATAATGGAGACCCCAATACTGATTGTCCGCCTGATGAGAAAGAAACACAATACTTAATTAAATGGAAAGGCTGGTCACACATTCATAATACCTGGGAGTCAATGAACTCGTTACAAGCTCAAAAAGTAAAGGGTCTTAAGAAAATTGACAACTTTGTAAAACGAGAAGATTCAGTTAAATCTTGGCGAGATCTCATGACACCTGAAGATTCTGAATATTATGAATGTCAGTTAGAACTTCAACAAGACTTACTGAAAAGTTACAACATTGTCGAACGAATTATAGGTAATTTAAGTACTTATTTATTATTATTATTTTAGTAACCTTTATATAAAAAAAAAAAATATTGTGACTGATATACATTTATTGTTAAAAAGTAATATAAGGCCGGGTCCAGACAGAGCGAACAATATTAAAACAAAACAAAAATACGATGTTTTTTGACAATTTCCAAATAATTTTGTTTTTTTCAACAAAATGTTCTGTTTTTTAAGAACAAAGCCGTGTCCCGTTCGTGGTGGGAAATTTTGTCAATGTTTTTGTTTTGTTTGTGTTTTTATGAACACTATAGGTCGGTGTGGACACAATGTGTTTAAAAATAAAAATATTCATCGACCATCGTGTCAATACAGTCGGACCATTTCAAGCGACTAGTCCTGTACCGATTTTTCGTTTGTAAATTATTTTTGTGTGTTGTGAATTTGAATTGTATTTTTGTTTTTGAATTATTTTAAAATTATTTATATTTTTTACCATGAGTAAAAAAGAAATGGTCTGTAGATGAAACATGTAAATTAATCGAGTTATACCGCGAAACTCCAATATTATGGAATGCTAAAAACTTAAATTATAAAAATAAATGTTATATCTTTCTCATCTTCGATATTTCTTTTAAGTTTCCACATTGTTATTTAAATTTTTTAAACAGTTTTATTATTAAAATAAAAAAAATAAAAACGAACGAACCAAGAACCGAATAGATCAAACTTCGAAAGCAGACTAAACTAGTATAAAAGTATGAACACAATTTTAAACCAATTTTTTCAGTATGGATAGATGAAAACAAAAACAAAACATAAACATAGTATTTGAACTTTGTTCATGTTTTTTGAGAATTTTTGTCAATTTAGTGTGGACAAATGTTTTTGACAGTTTTGTTTTTTATAAACAGAAGAAAGTTGAGTTTTTGTTTTGTTTTTTTAAAACCTCTGTATGGACCCGGCATTACAACTAAAAACAAAAAATATAATATAAACAAAATTAAAATATGAGCAATAAAAATAATAATTAGTTTTATATTGTAAAAGTAAAATCAAATGCACAAAAATTGATATTAAATTACCACAACAGCTAGCTTTCTGGAGGAATGAAATTATGGCTGTGATGACAGGTAAAGAACACAAATTAAGGATATTGAAGGGAGTTGGAGAGGGAAAGAAGGTTCCTATTGGGTAGGAAAGGACAGAAAAAAATTAAATGAGAAAAGTTATAGAGTTGACATCATCATGTAAGGGACAGAACAGAAGGAGACTGAATTTAGGGATGATATGATAAGCATGTGCCGGAAGAAGATTATGGCCAATTCTGAGACGGAAAAAGGACATTTCTTAATTAGAAAGCTGAAGTATATGGGATCAAAAAACTTAAGGAATTGTGAGGGGAGAGAAGGTCTTTAGTCTTGCCACACTTGAGAAATGGACTCTGAAAAGTTGCAGAGCATCTGTGTGAGAAGGATGAAGAACATTTGGCATAAGAATCTGCAGTTTTATTACTGTGGATTGGCAATGACCGGGATTCAATGGAACTCAAATTTATTCATTTACTATAATTATTTCTTATTTTAAGAAAATTGGTAGGTAATATTTAATAGGAGGCAAATTACAAGCAATATTCGAATTTAAAAAGGTAAATTTGATTTGCTTAGATGATAGACTTTTTCATCTCTCAATCAAATCGGATATGTACTCTTTTTTATCTTAAGTGTGTTAAAACTGTTAACATTTTGACTCATAGCTAATTTTTTTTTTAGGAGAATCAAAAAATTCAGCGCAGAAAGAATATTATGTTAAGTGGCAATCATTACCATACAGTGATGCAACTTGGGAAGATTCTGGTTTAATAGAAAAAAAGTGGCCACAGAAGATAAAAGAATTCCGAGATCGAGAGGGCTCAAAAAGAACACCTTCAAAAGCGTGTAGAGCCTTAAAATATCGTCCCAAATTTATTCAGTTAACTGAAGAACCGGAATATTTTGGTGGTTACGACGAGGTGAGCATTAATTTAAAAACAACATGTCATAGCAATTTTTTTTTTAATTATGATTTATATTGTATATTTAGAAACTTATACTCAGAGATTATCAGTTACATGGTGTAAATTGGTTAGTTCATTCATGGTGCAAAGATAATTCTGTAATTCTTGCTGATGAAATGGGCCTCGGAAAAACAATCCAAACAATTTGTTTCATTTACTATTTATTTCACCATTATCAAGTTCACGGGCCATTTCTTGTGGTTGTACCTTTATCTACTATGCCATCCTGGCAGCGTGAGTTTGCCTTGTGGGCACCTGACATCAACATCGTAACCTATATTGGAGATGTTGAATCTCGGAACATTGTAAGATACAATTATATGACAATAAATTTTTTTTTTTTTTATTAAACAGAACATTATAATAATGTCATTATTGCATTTATAGATTCGTGAAACAGAATGGTGTTTTGAAGGCTCTAAAAGACTGAAATTCAATGTTATACTAACCACATATGAGATCTTGCTTAAAGATAGTTTAATTTTGAGTAGTCTTAGTTGGGCTTGTTTAATGGTAGATGAAGCACATCGTTTAAAAAATGACGATTCTCTTTTATATAAAGCTCTTAAAGACTATGACACCAACCACAGGTTACTTATTACAGGGACTCCTCTTCAAAATAGCTTGAAAGAACTATGGGCACTATTACATTTTATAATGCCAGGAAAGTAAGTATTATGCATATTGAATAATAAAAAAAAGGAAGTATAAAATATACTTTTTTTTAGATTTGATTCTTGGGAAGAATTTGAGCATATGCATGATAATGCAGCCAGTAAAGGCTATACAAAACTTCACAAACAACTTGAACCTTATATTTTACGCCGAGTAAAAAAAGACGTAGAGAAATCATTACCAGCTAAGGTAACAAAAAAAATATTTCATTTTAAAACCTTTTCACTGCTTGTGAGAATAATATGGATTAAATGTACATACCCATCTTGGCACAGTGGCGGTGCTTTGGCTTGTATATTGCCCACAAATTTATTATTTTGACATACTTTCGTTTCCTGGCTTGTAGGTTGAACAAATATTAAGAGTTGAGATGACTCCTGTACAAAGACAATATTATAAATGGATTTTAACAAAGAACTATAACGCATTAAGAAAAGGATCAAAAGGGTCTTCAACAACATTTCTAAATATCATGATAGAGCTGAAAAAATGTTGTAATCACGCACTTCTTACTAAACCCCAAGAGAACGAAAACACGAGTGATGACAATCTTCAGGTAAAAATTTATTCAATTAAATCTTTAAATGTATTTATGACATGTGTTTTTTTATATTGTTTTTAGACTTTATTACGTGGTTCTGGAAAACTTATGCTGCTTGACAAATTATTAGTACGCTTAAAAGAAACTGGCCATCGAGTTCTCATATTTTCTCAAATGGTACGAATGTTAGATATTCTTGCTGAATATTTAAGTTATCGGCATTTACCATTTCAACGACTTGATGGTAGTATTAAAGGAGACATTAGACGACAAGCTTTAGAGCACTTCAATGCTGAGGGATCTCAAGATTTCTGCTTTTTGTTATCTACTCGAGCCGGTGGTCTTGGTATTAATTTAGCAACTGCTGATACGGTCATAATTTTTGATTCTGACTGGAATCCACAAAACGACTTACAAGCTCAAGCACGAGCTCACAGAATAGGACAGAAAAATCAAGTCAATATTTATAGATTAGTGACTAAAGGATCAGTAGAAGAAGATATTGTAGAAAGAGCCAAACAAAAGATGGTATTGGATCATTTAGTCATTCAGAGAATGGATACTACAGGGCGCACAGTTCTTGATAAAAAGGCAAAAAATTCTTCAATACCATTTAACAAAGATGAGCTTACAGCTATTTTAAAATTTGGTGCTGAAGAGTTGTTTAAAGATGACCCTGAAGCAGATGAAGAACCTCTGGTATTTTTTATTTTTTACTAAAATTTTAAGGAGTAATTAATGTTAATAAATTTATTTGTTAGTGTGATATTGATGAAATACTAAGACGAGCCGAGACTCGTGATGAAGCTCCAACAACTGTGGGTGATGAGTTATTGTCAGCATTTAAAGTAGCTAGTTTTACTTTTGACGAAGAAAAAGATTTAGTTGCTGATAAATCGCCCAATTCCCAAAACGATCAAGAAAATAGAGATTGGGTAATTATATATTTTTCTTTTTAAACAAATTACATTTTATCTAATTTGAAATCTAATATCAATCTATTATATTTAATATCGTAGGAAGAAATTATTCCTGAAACATTGAGAAAGAAAGTTGAAGAAGAAGAAAAAGCTAAGGAAATGGAAGATCTTTATTTACCGCCAAGAAGTAGGAAAACTTTACAAAAAGTCAATCAAGGAGATGGTAAAACCAGTAAATCAAAAAAAGGTGAATCTGATGAATCCAGTTATGATGGAAGTGACGATGATCAACCTCGAAAACGGGGCAGGCCACGTAAAGAAGTAGTAAAAGGATTTACAGACTCTGAAGTAAGCATTAGCTGATAGTTTTTTTAAAATATTCTTTATTCTATACATATATATTTTTATAAAACATTTTTTGAGGTGGGTAAGGTGTCAGTGTGCAGTCCTTACTGCAACACGACCATAGGCAACCTCCCTTACTGGCCAAGAAATCATTGAGTTTAAAGGAGTCGCCATCATTCTCTCTGGTGACAAATTAATAATGCTGCGTAACTTTTTTGAAAAAAATGTGTTGAATCTATTTAACTTCTTGTTTGGTATAGGAACAATATTGAGTTGATAAACTCTGAATCGACAAAATTTATAAACCATATTTTCCAGAATCAGTCATTTGTAAAAATTGTATACTGCTCTTCTATTGTTCTCTGCACTTGTGATATTATAGACTGCAGTCTTTAAACCTAAAACACTGATATTGCAGTACAAAGCTACAGCTCCAAGCGAATGTAGCAAACAAGTGCTCAATATTCAAACAAAACACCGTTTTCTAAAATATTTCATATAGAATGTTTATTTATTAATCCCAAAAGACAGTTTTTTATACTTAGATTTAAGGATCAACATAAAGATTGGCAAATAAGCCATTAAGTTAATGTTTTTTTGTGTGTACATTTATTTATGTTTTATTTTTTAATTATTATTAGATTCGAAAATTAATAAAGAGTTGTAAGCGATTTCCTAATCCATTGAAACGAATTGATGCAGTAGCTGGAGATGCTGATTTACAAGATAAGCCAAAATCAGAACTCAGGAAGCTAGTACAAACGATATATGATCGTTGTCATGAGGCATGTAATGAGGATACACAAAAAGAACCTGATATTACAATGGAGGACGGTGTTAAGAAAAGAAACAGAGGTCCTTCAATCAAACTTGGTGGTGTAGCGGTTAATGCTAAAAGTGTATTGGCTTGTAGTGAAGAGTTAGATGTTCTTGATGATATAATACCATCAGACGAAGAAGAAAGATCTAAATGGGGTCTAGATTTGAAACGTGTGAAATCAGCTAATTTTGATTTTGATTGGGAATTAGCTGATGACTCAAAACTTTTAATAGGAATTTATCTTTATGGACTTGGTTCATGGGAAGCAATAAAAATCGATTCCGCGTTAGGACTGAGTGACAAAATACTTTCTAACGAAGATAAAAAACCTCAAGCAAAACACTTATTGGCTCGTGCAGAGTATTTATTAAAAATGATAAAGAAAAATCAAGTACCAGTTAATAAAGGTGAAATAAAACCTAAAAAAGTACGTAAAATTAAAGAGGGTAAATCTAGAGAAATAATTGACGATGACAGTAGTGACAATGAAAATAGTACAAAGAAAAAACAAACTGAAAACTCAATTAGTCAAGATGAAAAATCAAAACTAAAAAAGGATGCAAATAATGCAAAGTCAGGGTTAGTTAATTCTCCAAAAAAAGAGAAAAAACGAAAAGTTATTACAAAATCTGGACCTATGCATTTTACAGCTAACAGTGAACCAAAGGCTGTAAATGTTGATGATATTGTAGAGTTACCCAAAGACGTTTTTCTAGAGGTAAATTTAAATTCAAATAAATAAGTATTGAAGTATGTTTTAAAACTAATTTTAATTAAAAATATGGCGACTAGCCAAGTATAATCGCAGTTCTTAATTTTGCATTTAAAAGTTTATCACTGTACCTTTTTTTATACATCTTATTTTTTTCTAATACTTTATTTATTTATTTACAGTGTAAAGAAAAAATGCGACCTGTAAAAAAGGTATTAAAAGCTCTAGATGACCCAGAAGAAAAAAAGAATGAATTACGTTATGCCAGTCATTTGCAAGAATGTTTAATGGAAATCGGATCACACATAGGAAAATGTTTAGAAGATTATAAGGATCCTGATAAAATCAGAGAGTGGAGAAGGTTAGTATACACTGTTGTTTATTTTCCTAAAACCCTAATTTTTATAATAACTTTTTTTTAGTAATTTATGGTTTTTTGTCTCAAAATTTACGGAATTTGATTCAAAAAAGCTACTTAAAATTTATCGCAAAGGATTACACGCGACTGAAAAATTAGAAAAAGAAAGTAAAACTAAAGATAAAAAGAAAAAAGATAAGAATAAAGAAGAGAGAAAGAATTATAAAAATGTAAGTGCACCAATACATTTGTTTTAATAATTAGGGTATGGAGCAACTCAAGCCATAAAAATACATTTTACTATCTACTTCAAAGTATTATTTACTAATTGTTTGGAGTATTTTAAGGATTTAGTTGATTTTTTATATAATATAAAAAAAAAATTGTCAAGAGTTTCTGCATTACCCTTAAAATGGTTTAAAGTATACCTCAAGTGTATTCATACAAATAATAAAATATATTAAAAATAATAACAATAATATGTTTAAAATTAGGTCGAGTCTGAAGATCTATTAAATCTCAACAAACGTAAACCTCGGGAAGGAGACGATGTAGATAAAACACACAAAAAGCCAAAATTTAATTCAAGCAATCAGTCGAATAATTTAGGTACTCCTCAAACATCTGCTACTGCTACTGCTGTAACTGGATCTCCACCTCCAAGTTCAAGTAATTCATCAAACGCCTCGAGATCGTACGATCAGAGCAGTAATAGATATGATAACAATTATAACCACCACAGAAATAGGAGCAGTGCTCCTTATTCGAGAAGCGATAGTCGAAGGTAAAGTAATTACCCGTAACAATATTTTGTTTATTTTAATAAGCGTTTTAGTAAATGTAAGTAATGGATTGTTATGTTATCAAGGTATTCATCTAGTCGAGACTCTGGTACCCGACGTGATAGGTACGATAATAGTTATCGTAGTCGTCCTGGATTTAGAGACCGTGACAGAGATCATGATTCTGATATGCGTATGTATGAAAAAATCAGGTTAGTACTAAAAAAAAGTATATAATATAGTATATATGAAATCAAGTTAAAATTAAATATATTTGTAAACAGGTATCAACAATATGCTGCATATGGTTCTGCAGCTGCTGGTTTCTATGCACCCGAGTTGTATGGTCGCTCAGGCTCTGCACAATACTTGCCGATGGCATCATATGCCGTACCAGCTGACTGGCATCCCCCTGTATCGGAATACCGAAGAGATTACGAACGAAGGCCTCGAAACAATTCCTAACCATTTTGTATTTTATATATAGTTAAGAAATATAACATTGAAAGCCATGTTTATTGCTAATCTGAATTGAAGAAAAATGCATTATAATGGTTATTGTTATAATGTTTTGTCCTTATAAATTATAGTTGTTTTTTTAATTTTATCTTGTACCAAAATATATTAAATTCTACTTAGTAAGATTCGATTATCGAACAGCAATTGTAAATACTTTATTTTTTTACATACCATTATTATATGTAATGTATTTAGTAAAATTCTGACTAGTGTATAAATATCCTTACTTAACCGTTCACTTTTTATTCTGTTTGTTTTTTATTTTTTATTTTATTTTTATTTTTATGAATTTAAATTTCTTAATACAAAACTTTATACACTTATAATGTATAATATTGTTGTCTATTTCAATAAGTGAACTTTATATTCACTTCGTAAAACAAACCGTTAATGTATTTTTAATTTACGTTTTCCCTTTTTTTTGTTGTGTGTAGATATAAAATAATAAACAATTATGTGATATTATAAAAAGATAGTATATCATGTTAAAACTATCAAATTAATACAAAAATTAATTTGATTTTTTAATAAAACTGACATGAAATTGAAATTAAAATTCTATTTTTAATAGTACATATGTTATCTTTTTGTTTTATCGCCTATTTTTTTTTTTTTAGTTTTATAGGGATATCTGATCCCTTGTAGCATTCTCATACTTCAAAATTCTGCGACTACAATTTTTATTTGCAGACCAAGTTGTCAATTCGCCTAAAAATATTTACTTTACCACTTTTTACAAGGAACGTCTTTTCTGAAAGATTGAATTTCACTTCTTTAGTTTTTAAATTTTAAGTTATAATTTTGGAAATTTTTAGATATGCAAATAACTAGCTGTATTGTGTATCAGTATTTGTTATAATTATATTTGACATTTAACTAATTATTTAATTAAATTAACTAGTATGAACATATAAGTTAAGTTTCGACGTGAAATTAAACTAGCGGAATTTCAAAACTAATATTCCTTGACCAACAAACTATTACCAATATTATAGTAAAAATACCTAAGACCGACTCAATTAAATTATAATTTTGAGTACAATTTATAATTGATCCATGAAATTTGAGTAATTTTATTCTACGTGGTTTTTCGCTGTCTACTATTTATTTGGCAAATATTTTAAGTACTGAAGACGACGCTAAACAAGTATTCTGATAATTTCCATTCATGTTACATCATAAAAAAAACAGTGCAGGACGTCTTGTGTTCTAATTTTAAATTTTAAGTTATTGTACTCAAAAATATTTGGCACGTTTAAAAGTCAATTTTTCAAATGTCATATTTCAACAGGTAAAGCATCAAACTATAGTAAAATAATTAATGTTTACATGGGTTAAACGATGAATCACGGATTGGTTATATTTTGTTATGATTATTATTGGTTTTCAATATTACTTTTAAAATTCATAGCTAAATTGATGTAATGGTAATATTACATTAACAACAAATTAATTGTTTTTTTACAAATAATGAATAAAGACAATGGTTACAAATTATGATGATGTTATTATAACATGTTTATAGTGATAAGATAAGAAGTTTAATAAAGCCGTGAATATGATAAAATCGTAAACGTATTTCTTGAGTGGCGAATTGTTGAGTTATTCATTTTACACAAAAATCTAAAATCACTTAAATTCTAAAAAAATATGACTATGTAATTGAGAACGAGCATCAATTGTGTCATTGGTTTTAATATGTAAACGGGCTTAAACAGCTGACGTTAAACTTAAAAATGGCAGGACGTGGGTTCGACAGGCAAGACAATAGTTTTGAAAAAGAAGTGTTTATTACAAATTTTCAGGTAAATTATACTAATGACCATTGTTCAATTTGTATTAACCTATTATATTATTTATTTAATCTGGTTTCAGAAACCGTCAAGTTGTCACGTTTGTAATGGCTATTATGGGCCTTGTTTCGAAGAACAAATTTGCCAAACGTGTCATTTATTTCTTTTTTCTGAAGATTTGTCTCAAGCCGTTCACGAAGACGTTCATAACACAATGGTGTTTAAAAAAAATTTTCAATATTAACGCACAACTGGTGTTTTTATTTTTTAAATCGTAGGGTTAAAATTTTGTGTTTTAGTTAACCATAAACTATAACCATTTCACCAAAATAGTAGCGTTAATATATCTAATACTATTGAGTTAAACTGTTGTGTTCACAAGTTGATAAAATATCAATTTTAGGGCGTAGAAGATGGTGATAGCGGAAATGATGAACCAGCAGATTCATTCTATAATGGATTTCAACGTCCAGTTCAAGATGTCCCACTTGATGCACCTGGTGACCAGGCAGCAGCTCCGTCTCAAGATCTAGCACGGCGACTTCAATTGTTGTCTGAAATGACAGCGCCACGCCTTCAACCTTTTGACGGGGATAGTGATTACTTCCAAGAGCTTCCTCCTGAAGGTATTTATTTGTATATTTATACTAAGTAAAATCTCATTATTGTTTTTAATGTTTTTTAATTGTACGTAGTATTATTGACTGTGTTTTCATACTTGGACGACTTCAGTCTTTGGTGTGTAAGCAAAGTATGCACACGTTGGGATCAGCTTTTACGTTCTCATATTCCACAAACGACTTGGTATAGATTAGTAGATAAATGTTGGCCACTGTACAAGCCCCTTAAAACGGTTGACGACTGGCACTTAGTGTGCTCATCATTGTTAGTATAACTATATTTCAGTTGTACGTGTTAGAGTATAACAATTGATTGTTTTTTTTATAAATATAGAATTAATAGTTCGTCGTGTATATCATGTGTACGTCGCATGTTCAATCGCCCTTATGCTGAATGTCAAGAAAACTCTTGGAGAAGAAGACGATTGCGCCACGAAGTCAAAAGTTAGTATAAATCAACATCAAAGTTATTTCATATTTTTAACTGTCATTCCTGCAGGTCTAAAAGGTGACCCGCCTGAGGGTATCAGAGCAGTACCATTGGATAGTCATTGGTGCCACTGGCAAGCCACAATTTTGGGACCTGTTGGTAGCCCTTTTGAAGGTGGTATCTTCTATCTTTACATACAAATTCCTTATGGGTATGTCATATAACATAATATTACATTTTTAAATTGTTTAATATTATTTTAATTACATTTTAGTTATCCAATGAGCCCTCCAGTAGTAAGGTTTCTCACAAAAGTTTTTCATCCAAATATATCTCGCCATGGCGATATTGGTCTTGATTCGATTCATCACAATTGGAGTCTAGCATTAACTTTGGCTAAAGTTTTGATATCCATTCAGTCGTTATTGACCGATCCGTTTTGTGATGTCTGCATGGAACCAGATATTGCACGTCTTTACAATAATGATAGACAAACATATGATTCAGTTGCAAGGCACTGGACTCACCAATTTGCTATGAATGATATTCTTTCTTGGCCAAATAATTGAAGAATTGTATACATTTAATTTATTAACTCTATTTAATTATATTTTATTTAAAAATTTAAAAAAATAAATTATTTGCTTTTAGAATCAATATGATGCCTGTTGAAAATTTAATTTAACTAATTCCCTTTTTAATTTTTTTAAAAGTATTTGCATTAACTTTGTTATTGTAAATAAATGTTTACATACAAATGGTTGTATAAAATAATATTACCATTTTTACTTCTTAAAAGTAGAAAAAAAAATAATCGTCACAAAATGTATAAACAGAATCAACAATAAATATTGTTTTTGGATTGGTTTAGGGATGGAAAAAAAAAAAATCCAGATTTTAAGTATTAATAAATAAAAATTTTAAAAGCCATACAAAAGACTAAATATTTAATATTAAAAATATAATGGTAAAATAAAAAAAATTGGTTAATTTTTACTTTAATTCTACATTGTATATTAAAAAAAAATACTGTCATATTTTCGAAAATTCTTATATTGTAAACAGATGAATTAGGATAACAAAATTGAAAAATCAAGGATGTTTTTTCAGTCAACATTTTAGCAAGATAAAAAATAGCTATGTCCATTGTAAGCTATATTGTTTAAAAATTGAGTTTGTTTATCACAACTTCCATAGTGCTACAACTTTTTTGGTTTCTATTAGTTGTTTTGTAATAGAAAATTAATGTAAAGTCGTTAAGTAAAACATAATTAAATTTTTTTTATCAGACTGTAGTTATGCCATAGAACAGACTAAATCTACTTTAATTAATCTATTCTGTGGTTACGCTATTGAATAATTGTTTAGTGTTTATTTTTCTTTATCATATTTAACAAACACCACTCCTAGTGATAAAATAGAAATACATTTGATTTTGTATAAAAATAAAATATAATCCAAAATTGTACTTTTTAACAAACATTTTTTTTATTCCATGTTTCTAAAGTTAAGTAGAAAAAATATGTAATTTTACAAGATTAAAAAGCCTTTTAAATCATTTTATAAGGCAATAACACAAAATTAACAATAGTTTACAATCAATGTACAAGATGAAAAAGTATAATTTTTTAAGTATACAACATGACAGAATAAAATAAATAACATTTTATATTTTTGATATAATTTAAATAATTAGTTTGTATATTATATAGCCTTTTTAAAATCACATTTAATTACTTACTTGTCTAAAACATAAAGATGTAATCATTTGATTTATTATATGCTAATAATCGATTGATAACTAAAAAGTTGCATATAAAAGGATAAGAATAATTAAAGACAAACATAAGACAAGGAGATTTAATAACAAACATGTACTGTCCTCACTATACATAAAAAATTATAATAGTAACTTCAGATATTATCACTTAAATATAATATTCATGGATATCAATACATCTTTATAAGCGTTCAATGCATTAATCATCGAAAGACAAAAACCTCTGGAAAGCGGCAGCAAAGGATACCCAGGAACAAGTTTTTCATCTAAAACACAAATTAAAATTTTTTTTTACAAAATTTTTTTTTTTGTAATGGATAATGAACTAATCATTTTTTTTTTAAACTTTTATTGACTTAATATTTACAACTTCCGCGCTAATTAGTGTAAATATTAAAAATAAATAGACATTTCATATAAATTTTTACCAAATTACAAAAAATTAATAATTTAAACCATAGGTTAAATATACAATTAAATATTGTACATTCAATCTGATTTCTAGGTAAAGCATTGTTTAAGGTAAATTCAATTATAAATAAATCCTTTCTTTTATGTATATATAATCTTATGTATTGGTTTAATTTAGTAAACTTTTTATAATGACATATTGTGATACGAGATAATATTTTCAATATTATGATAGGACTTTAATGATGATAGCAATTTAAAAAAAAATGTATAGTTTTTAACAATTAACAAAATGCCCTTCTTTTATAGATCGTTTTTACATTTTTTATTTATAGCTAAGAACTTAGACATTGTCATTAGCCTGTATTTAAAATTATGACAATTTCTCTACTTTATGGAGAAAGAATTAATAATATTATGTCTTTGGAGACTTCTTTTTTATGCAATCGCATAATGACATTCTTTTTGTGTATCTAGCACAAAAAAATATTCATATTGTTTAACTTAAATTTTAACTGTACGAATTCGTATATTTTGAGATTGTGGTTTTACCTTCAGTTAACTCTCTTTCAGACATTTTTATCCATGTTTCAATTTTATTAATTAACCTGGTAAAATACATAAAAATTAAAAAAAACATCATAATAAATGCATTATTTAAAAAATATTATTTCAAATAATATGCATACTTAAAGCCATGAATTTGTACATGTTCCATAATTTCTTCGTCAAAATAATCTGTATTTGTTTTTGTTTCTCTAAACATAATTAAACAAAATACATTTTACCTACATGCAATACATGAGCATTTCCTTGAATATTATTTATGCTTAGTTTAGAATAGCTGTAATTACAAAATAAACTTACGACAATTTGAGTTTCAACATATTAGTCATCGATTGGACTACTTTAATCAAGGCCATTTCGTTATAAACACGAGAATTTTCTCGAGCCAATTTTTGGCCTCGTTGTGTATCAAAGCCAGCTTCATTGTAGTATGGTTCATTGACTAATATTAAACCTAGTACACAATATTACAATGTTAGTAACACCAAACATCTTAATTCTTTGGGTTTTACAATTCATTACCACTTCCTCTTTCCAAGGAAGACATTTTTCAATGTTATTCACTACCCGGAAAATAAAACAATTACCTTGTATCGATACTATTAGCTGGAGTAGATTAGAATCCTTAGGTGACCACAGTTCAACGCCATGACCAGCCCAAGTGCCTAATAGACTTAGACACACTTTACCATCCTCATACAGGTTTGGGTTTAATCGATCAAAACAATAACTGTAATAGTGGCAAAGAGGTGGCTGATGAGGATACGTAACAGGTAATCTGACATCGAACATAAATAAACCGCCATCGTAAGGAGTTTTTTCAGGACCCCGGATCATAATTGAAAATAAATCCTAAAAAGTAAGTTTGAATTACTACAGGTAATAATAACTAATAAAAAAAAGTGTAAATGTTTAGAATGTTACCATTCGGTTTTCAAAAGTCTTAACCCAGATTCCAGCAGGTAAACTTTTTTTCAGTATTTGTATGTCTTTAGAAATAATTTTTAACATTGTAGGATTCAAATCAGTTTTAATATCTAAATATTTGTGTGTTCCTTCAAGAGCTGTATCTAGCACGTCAAATACTAAAATAATACATATGAGAAATTCATTTTAGATCAAAATTAAATAAAATTAACCGTATTATGTAAATAGTTAAAATTAAGTGATAAGAAGTCCTAAACAAAATTAACTACTTGTTTTGATTTTTTTTATGTAATAGCAATTCACATCAATAGTATTAATAATAAATTTAAATTTAAATTATCAAGCTAAAAAAAATATTTAATTATTACACTTGTTTTTTTACAACATTTTGTTTTATTTAACTAGAGTTGTGTCTTGGGGAAAGAGATTTAAAATTATTTACGCTAATTATTCAAATTAAACTTTTTTAATAATTATATTTGTTTATTACAATATATGATTTAATTTGGTTGTAAGTACAAAGCATTGTATTGACATTATTGGCCAATATCCAATAATTGAGTTAGTAATTAAAAATTATTTATACAAGTTATTTTATTCATTATAATAAATAAGAAATTAAGTATTTCGGGGCAGAGTGATCTAGAAACAATACCTAATACACCATACTCTTTAGTGAGCTGTCCTACTTCTATTTGTAGTTCAAAGCTAAGTAATTCGCATAGGCATCAACAGTCATAGCCCAACTAAAAAGTGTTTTTATTTTACTGCAAATTTGTTTGTTGGCAATTAACTTTGTCCTCGAACACTACAAAAAAGGATTATTAATACAATTCTTACCTCCTGCTTCTTCTGGTTTAACTATCACGCCAATTTCACTTTCTTGTTCTATATCAGTGTCCATATTTTCAGGTTGTTGACTACAACTTACTGGCTGTAATTCAATAATTGGGGCAGTACAACATTCTCTGATATCTGTGGATTCATCTTCCGAATCTAAGTTGTCCAAACCTTGATTTTTTAAATAATTATACAAGGGAAATCCATTACCATTCATAGGACATGATTGTTTGAACGCACAATTAATTTTATCCATAAAATCGGATACAATTTTTTTTAATTTATCTACACTGTCCTAAGAACATAAAAAAAAACCATTAGAAAAGATATTATTATTGGCAATCTATTAAATAATTTTATATTTTCACTTACCCCCATTACTGTTTGATGAGAAACTTCTTCTGTGGTATCGTCACTATTATTCTCTAAAAAAAAAAAAATGCTCATTAATATCAATCTTAAAAATAACACGATAAAAATTTAAGTAATCACCTATTTTTGAAATGATTTTATCAATCATTACTGTAACATTATCCATGAGATCTTTGTAGGATTTTTCTATTTCTTCTGTTTCGTTTGTTGGCAAGTATGAGCTGACATTGAACCCTAATCTAGATATTCGTAATTTAAATGAATATATATTTAATTTAATTCTACACTAATATTTGTGTACAAGTTTCAACTATACTTTATTTGTTCCAGTGCATTTTGTAATTTTGTTGTTTTGTCTACATCTCGATTATTTACAACTGCATCTAAAAATGATTTCATACCCGCAGTCGCTTTTCTCAGTGATTGAAATAATTGTTTTGGGAATTTTTCATTGTTTTCTTGATCGTGACTTCTATCAATCAAAAGTAATACAAATTGGTACACAATAAAATAAAAACATATTATTAAAAACAATATTATATTCTATAACATCAATAAATAAATCAAACTATTTTTATATTAAAAATCAAATACTAAAAATGTATTATGTTTTACAAATAAAGAATCTTACTCGGATGATTTAGGACTTGCCAAAGACATCCAGTCTTCCGATAAATCATCATCATCAGCTAATGGTGCATCATCATCATCAGTGAAATCATCATCATCATCAAGCATACTAAATGCATCATCGTCATCGTGAAGTTTAACTACAAATAATTCTTGTGGCCAACATTCAGTCTTCTCACCATTTACCCACATAACTAGTATCTAAAAATAAAAATATTTTAATGATAAAAAAAACCGCAATAACATGTTTATGAACACATACTTTTCCATCTGGTCCAGCACTCAACACTTGCCCAGCTGTAAGAGTGTTTTTATTTGGATAACTATCTGGGCTAATGTGTATAATAAGGCAACCAGATTTGAAATGGAAGTCCGGATGATCACGCAAATCATAAACACTAATATCAGTCTTTTCAATTCGATTTGGCCTAAAAAAAAAATTGTGTATAACCATAAATTTATTTAATTAGGATGTTTTTTCCCTTACAGTGAAGGATTATCCGGGATAACTTTAAACCACTGTACACGAGCGGTGCGTTCAGCATGATCGACGGATTCTATGACACCATATACATCGGGTAAAGGATATTTTTCAGTAACAAAGTCACCAGGGAAAAATTCAAGATCATCGAGAGTCGGTACGGGATAAAGATCGGTAGAGGACACTCCAGTTTCTTTAGTCCCATCCTATAGACAATAAATTACATCAATATATCAACAATCATTTTTTAAAACTAACACAAACTTAACAAAATGAGTGGATAATTTATGTGGGCAATAACAATTAACAAGCCAAGAAGAATATTTAAAAAAAAATGTTTCCACCTCAACCTAAACAAATAATGTCGGCCAGTCAAAACCTTTCCTGTCATTATTTCTTTAGTCACTCCAGTCATATTTCTATTCATAATATCTACTACCTGTAAAAAAATCGTTTACACTAATCTCTAATAACCGATTTAGAAAAGAACTGAATATAAATGTATGAACTTTTTTCTGTGAATCCATTTTTTTAAACATTATTAATACATTATTTAATCTTACACAACATACCGATAAAAACGTTTTTAATTTTGTTGAATTATATCTGTTCATTTTATTAAACAGAAAATTTTTTACATATTATTAATCTAATTTTGTTAAATAGATCAAACTATGTTGGTAATCATGTGAAATTTTTTTGAGAATATATTAAACTATTTGTGCCTTCAATACTAACAATTAAAAATAATGCATCTCAGTTACTTACTTGCCAAACAACATCAACCACAGATTTTGTATAACAAACTTCAACTACAACTTTTGAATTTGGTTTTGTTGAAACTTTTGGAACGTTGAATTGCTTACTTTTTTTTACTAATGACTTCCACATTCGATTTCTTTTAAGCCTATTAGATTTCAGTGTGTGTATTGAACTATTTCCTGAAAAATTATATAAAACATAATGCAATAGAACTGTACAACTGCTTTCAAAATTTAATTAAAATTTTTTATTTATTACTAAAAATATTGTGGTATTTGATATATAATTTATTTAACCCTAACATAATAAACAGTTTACTTACATTACATTGTCTAGTATCTAGATAATTAAATAGATCTACTATACCTAGAACACTCATGGGTTTAGATTCGCATTTCTTGGGTTGAACTGAATGTTGTTTGTTTTCTCGGCTCAATAACCTTTCTGATCTTTGAGTTAAAGATCCGGTTCGGTTCACCATATTCTGAGCATCTAAAAAAAAAAAAAAAGGAAAATTATTAGTTTAGACTATATAATGTCACGGATTAATAATGTTATTTGTCCTTACATATGTCATCTAAATTATCTATATCAGTTGAAATGGAGTGTTTTAATTTTTTGGGATGTAGTTTACTAGGACGTCTGTCCTTTATAACTTTGCTAGGTAATAATTCCGATTTTAAATTAAATCCTTCGGTACACTTAGCACGCCACTGTTTCATTGTCATAATGTTATCAGTGTCTTTAATTTGGTACCAATGTGTATCTCCTACTTGAATTGAACAAGAATCGAATAAATCTATAGTCTTTAATCTAAAATTAAAAACATAAGTACATGATTACCAAAACTATTAACAATTCTTTTAAAATTCAATTGCTCCTTATTATACTTACTTGTTTAAATTATCTCCTGTTATTAACCTTTCGGGCCAATTCTCTTCACGGGGTTTGGTTTTACCATATGTTTGACAGTACCATTCAACTTCCACAGATAAAACAGTAATATCCTGCACATAGACTTTGACCCACTAAAAATAATAGAATATACAACTTTTAACATTTTGTAGTTAAAATACTAAGTTGAAAGAGTATATGCTGTATAGCCATTGATGAAGTATTAGATAAAAAATATATATTCCACAAAAAATATTTTATAATAATATAAAAATGGTTTACCTTTGTACCATATTTGAATTTTTTTTTATAATTGTGCCATAAGCAGCTCATTAAATTACTAATTTTTTTAAATTTTGCATTTTCTAGAGAGTCTAAACACATTTTTAACTTTTGACCATGGTAAAATACATTATCATCAATGGAAAAACTCTAAAATCAAAACATATTAAGCAACAACAATATTAATTATTTAATTTATAGATAAAAATAAAATTTGTATAATAAAATTAGAAATAGAGATTCTTTCAAATTAAATTTTTAACATAGCACATTTGTAACTTACATCACTTGTAGACAAACTTATAAAATCTTGTCTGTAAGGATCCTCTAATGTAAAAATAGATCCATCTTGAGAAGCAAACGTGACTTGACATTTGACATCATAGACTCCACCAACCCACGATTCATAAAAAACGGATGAATCGATGGAAAACGGCTGTATAAAAATAATACACTATTTATATAATCAAAATAAATACAATACAGGATTCAAGTTAATAGTTACTTTTTTTATCAATGTTAGTATATCATAAAAATAATTTAGTATTTCTGTAAATTAATCTGCCCTCATCACGAAATAATGGCTACTGATTAAGTAGTTTGTAAGTTACTGGTGAAACGGGATAAAATATTATTTACTTGTGTGTTACCTTATTACTAGTGATGAAGTTACTACTGATGCATACATGCAAAAACCAATAATATTATCAAAATACTAAAAATATAAAAAAAAGTCCAATTTTTATTCTACTAAAATGAATAACAATTAACTTAGGATCTAAGTTAGGTTAAATTTGTTTTACATTTCTCTTGCTTGATACTAAACATCTTGGACCCTGACAGAGAAATGTTGAAAATAAACCGGAAATATCGATGTCAAATTTAAAAAAAAATTAATTAATTTTGTACTTATAGTATAATTTTGTACTATGTAGTTGATTGGTTATGTAATTAGCAATAATTAGCAGTGGACTGATGTCTATCCACTTTTATTTAACTTAAATAAATAATATTTGAATACAAATTTTAAAGTGCAATATCTTTTTGTAATCGTCTCTTAAAAAATGTAAAGACTCACGCTCGCTACTAGTAATTAGATTGATTAATTCTAGAGTTTAAAAGGAACCATTAAATAACATACTTTTGTTTGAGTAAAGTTTCGACAACTGACATTTTCAATTACTTTATTAGTATTAAGTACTTTGACAGTGGCATAGATATCGATGTTCTCACAGTATCCAAATTGGGTCAGTTGGCCTTCATTTACTTTACGTACTACATCACCAGGCATCAATGACCGATCAATTAACACAACCTTAAAAAAAAAAAACATATTAGCAATTTGTACAATATAGTATAGTACATATGTTGCACTTATGGTGCACATCAGGTACATACTTTATCGTCGGACATAATTTCCTCGTTGCCATTCGGATGCCACATAACTTTGATATGATTGGAACTCTTGGAACTCTTCTTTAATTCGCTTTCGGTTCGTGACCCATTTGTGTTCAGCACTAACCCATATTTGACGAGCCCAGTTTTTGGTGAAACCATAGCAACCTCGTCTTCGTAGAAGAATTTTTCGTCATCTTTATCCATTATTTCGAATATACTTAAAAAGTTGATTAAAATATATAATTTTAAAAAAGAAATGCAAATAAGCAATTGAAATTTTGTATAAAAAAAATGTGTAAAATTCACTCGAGATTCCTTTAAATTATAAATTTAAAAAAAAATTAAATCATTCGTTCATTTATTGACGCTAATATTTAGAAATTCCCCAAAAGCCTATCTAAAAATGATCTTCATTATGTTCGGAAATACTGATAAACGTTATTTCGCTTGTCGTGAAGTAGGAGATAGCTGATACTAGCTGTTTGATGAGTAATCATATGGCGTAATGGTTCTATGTTATCCGCCAATCGCGTTACGATTACGAATTACTGCATAATAATAATAATAATAATATAATAATATTATGTGAAAAACTTAACACTAAGCGCTACTTTTGAACTTTTAATTTTGGCAAATAAAAAGTTCACATTCTTTATTTTGGTAATTTTGAAGGGGGGAGGGGGTGAAATGAATTAAGCGAAATACCATTTCAATCACCCTTTATGGATTTAAAAATTAAGTATAATCAGTGGCAGATGGCAGTTCTAGTGTTCCGGCCGAGTATGCAGTTGATCGTATAATTTTTTTTTCATTTGTGGATGTTAAGGCAAAAGCAAAATTAGAAATTTTTGTTTCTCCTACTGCTCACTTAAAAGTATACTCTTGCCTGTACGAAATTCGAGTCTTAGAACCGCCCCTGATATTAATATGTTTTGTTCATGAAAATTATGTACAAGTCATTCAAAATACAAAACTTATATAATCCACTTATTTTAAAGTAATAACATATTATTTTCTTTATTTATAAAATCTAATGCAATTTTAGTTTATCAAACTAAAATAATCCTGAAACCCGTCAGTAGTATCATCATTAGATTCTATCAGTATAGTTTTACTGTTAATGATGCCAACGATGTAAATAGTCAAGAACCAAGACTCGAAAAGCGGACTTCCTATAAATGGGAAAAATGTCAAATGAAGAAGAAGATGTAAATAGTTTATTATGAATACATGAATAAATATTTGAATATTTATTTATTAAAATTGTGTAAATAGTCAAAAGCATACACTATAAAAAAAAAAAAAATTGTATTGTCATCATCATTCATTATTATATAATCATTATAATTTACAAATTACAAAGTAATTAATTGGATCATATGCATTTATTTGATTAACTAAACAGTTTAAATGCAAATACATATACAATTTAAATAGGAATAGGGAGATCTTTAGCAACCAATATTAATATACTTTCAGTAGTAAGTCTCCAGTTATCAATATTTTTTGATACGCTACACCATGCTTCTCCGTGATGTGGTTCAGCCGAAATGCATCTCTTTTTTATTTCCTCTTGGGCTTCCTCTGTACCATGTAATAATTCAAATCTATAGAAATAAGCCCAAGCGTCTCCGAAATCTGGATCGATTTTCACAGTTCTGTTAAACCATTCTCGACACTTTTGCAATTTGCGTTCACTCCAGAATAATTTTGAAACAGCCAACAGAACATTGACATCGTGTTCACACTTTTTCAAAGCATCAACACTTTTTGTTTTTCGTTGGGGTCTCGCTTCTAAAAATATAGCTTCTGACCACAGGATCCCAGCATTTGGACACTCCTGCAATGCTTTTGCCATCATTGTGTTTGCAATGTCTCTCATACCAGCCCGAAATTCAATACGTATAGCTTCTAACCAAAGATCTGGATTGTGTGGATTTTTCAAACGACCTTTTTCTAAAACTGATCTGGCTTTTGTTAACATTTTTCGTCTCTCATCTAACCTTGCCAACCATATCCACAAGGGAATAGAAGTTGGACATTTTTTTAATGCAGTGTTGTATGTTTCATGAGATTTATCAGCATCCCCTTGTTGTTCTTCAATCTGTCCTTTCATCAACCACAGTTTGGCATAATCAGGAAATTTAAGTATTGCTTCGTCGAGTATTTGTAGTGAGGTATCTAAGTTATCTAAACACCACTCCAGTTTAGCCGACTTCATCATGACTCTGGGTGTTGGCGCTGAAGCCCTAGCTTTCGATAATAAACGCCTAGCACGGTCAAATTCTGAATTTTCAGATTCTAATTTAACAGCAGCAAGCCAGATTTCTTCCGAATTTGGGTTCGCCTGAAAAGCCAGGGAAAGTATACCTCGGGCTGCTGGAACATCACCGGCTAACCATTTTGATTTTGCTCCCATTAACCACAATACTTCAGATTTTGGACAATGAGCAACAGCTTTTTGTAATAAAGATTCCAAAGATTCTCTTGTGCCATGGTTTTTTTCAAAATATGCTGCTCTTAACCAAATAGATTTTTTACTAGGGAATGCTGTTAAAGCATGGCCAAATATGGCTCGAGCACATTCATAAGCTGCTTGACTAGCACAAGCATCAGCATCTTCCATCCATGTATGCTTGCGATCTTCATCTTCAATACCATGGCCAATAATCGCTTTGATAAGAGCTTGGCATGTTTTAACCGATCCACATTTTTCTGCTTCTATTGCTTCTTTAATCCATTGTTCTCTATTAATTTCCACCCCATTTGCTGTCAGAGAAGAAATTGCTCTATCTATAATTTTTTCAACCATATTGATATTGCCATTAGCTTCTTCAAGCTTAGCAGCCGTAGTCCAGATCTGCCTATCAGTTGGAATATTTTCACGAGCTTTATTCAATACTTTTCGTGCATTTTCATATGTTTCTAAGCGAGCTAAGGCTAGCCATAAATCTACACTAGTTGGACAGCATTCTACGGCACGACTCAACAGAATTCTAGCATCTTCTGGATCTTCTAACTCAATGGCTGCTTTCCATAATCTAACTGAATTTGGTATATGTTCTAATGCCTTTCGGTAAACTTTTCTTCTTCCTTTAGATTCTGTTTCTAAATCAGCAGCTTTGATCCATATACGAACTGATGTAGGAATATGTCTAACAGCTTGAGCAATAACAGCCTTGGCAGTTTCTGGAGGTTGTAACCGAGCTGCTTCTAACCAAAGGTCTTCAGATTTTGGATTATCCTCACAACCTTTCATGATTACATTACGAGCGGCTTGAATTTTACCAGTAACTTCTTCGAGCCGAGCTGAAGCAATCCAAGCAGGTGGATGATTTGGATTAGTTTCTCTGACAGACTTCAATAATAATCTAGCTTTTTTTATATCATTAATATCACCACCATATGTAGGTATCATACTATGTAAATCAGTCAAGTAGCCTTTTGGATCAACAACAGTTTGTCCTTCAACAGAATCTGATACTTGATTAAGTTTGACATTCATTAAAGTGTTACGTGCTTGTCCCATCTTTCTTAAATCAAGATCTCCTGTTGGAGTTAACATGCCAGGAGTAATTGTTCCCTGTGGATACTGACTCATAATACCGCTAGCTGAGTCAATTGAAGAGGTAGTCTCCCCACCAAGGCTTCGTGAAAGTACAGTATCAGGAAGTGGGGTAAATTTTTCCGCTCTTGGATTTCTTTGTTTTCGGTTTCTAGCATCACCAACTTCAGGAATATTCCTCCATTCATCTTCACTAACCATAGTTAACCTAAAAAAATTTCAAAAGTATATATTTATTGAAAATTTAAAACAAGTAATTATTTTCATAAATTTATAATTGATAAATAAAATGGTTGACCTAAGTGGCACAATGAATCTAACTTGGCAGTACCGTAGCCAGAATTTTTTTTTTTGGGAGGGGACACAGTTATTAAGTTATTAAGTTGACAGTTATTAATGCCTAAAGAGTACTGAGTAATAAATATTTTACAATAGTCTACAGTTCGAGTCCGAACTTTTATATATATATAAAACAATACACGAGTTCTGCTTTTAAGAAATTTAAATTAAATTAAAAAATGTATGTTTATCTACTGGGTCATACATAATATAAAATAATTGTAGGCAAAACCAATTTCAAAATTACACTGTTAAAATTTTAATTTATTGCACCTATGATTTTTTTTCTTTTATCTTTGATGTTTGCTCAAGAAGTACAGTAATATTTTGTTTACATCAATGTTATAGTAATAAATTATTGATATACATAATAATATGTTCACTGACAGGCTACCCTAAGTATTAATTAAAAAATGATAAAAAGTAGGTCCCTACCATGAAATATTCAATATTAATTATTACCAATTATAATAAATATTTACCCTCGTTTTAAGTCACTAAATTGTTGCTGTATTTTAGGTCGCTCTTGACGATATTTTTCTAACTCTTCTTTCAATCGTTTTTCTCTGTATTCTTTACGCTTTTCATCCATTCGTTTATCAATTTCTTCGTATATCATATCTGCTTCTTCATCGTCTTTATCGTATGGATCCTTACTGAATAAAGAACCACCATAACCACTGAATTCATCATAATTGGAATCATTTAAATCTTCATCATCATCTTCTTCTTCATCTTTTTTCTTCTTTTTCGTAGGTGGTGCGTGGCGGTCATCTGAGACATCATTGGCATCTCGTGCAGGACCTATATCCGATCGGGTTGTAAACCCTGTAGCTCCTCGTCCAACACCAGCAACATATCCCAGAGGGGCTGGTATACCAATAAAATGTTTTTTAATCTTGCTCACTAATGCTGCCGGTGGCGCAGCCATTGCCATTTGTCGATTTACAATTTATAAATTAATTTAAAACTGCGAATTGTGAATTTTCATTCTTATACTTTGATAGATATATATGCTATTATTATAACAACTTAATAATTTCGATTTTCGACGTTTAAACTTTATAATATTACTGACAATTGATAAATGTCACTATTACAAGCACCAAACACGGCCTTAGGGCTTAGAAGTTAGATTATTAATTATTATAATATTATCTACATACAAGCTGCTGATAACAAGCATTTTCCATTTTTATAGTCAACAAAAATAGTTACCTTGCGTTGTGATTCGGTAACTGGTTGTGTTTTGTCATGCCATGATGATAGTTCTCTAAATAATTTATTCTTCCATGTTTTTTTTGGCAATCACGTCCACTTTAACCGCGGATCAGCTGCAGCAGCTGCTGCTGCTGCTGTTGTTGAGCGCCTTACCTTCACACAATACTGCACTTATAACAATACATTAGATCAGTGATTTTAAATTTACAATCATTTTTAGGTTATTCGTTCAATCACTTAGCGGGTTTTCCCTACTTTAAATTTTGTTGTGTTCAGCTGCTGCTGTCCTGTTACTCGAATCACGCCGTTAGCCGTACTGTAGCGCAGCATACTTGTTGTTTCTCTTCTCGTGACTTGTTTCTCTGTTCAAATAAGTGTTGAACCGTGTACTTTAAAAAGTTAAAAAGCACTAATTGAAATCGATTTGACCCAACCAACACAATTATCATAGACTTTATAGTCCTCTAAATTTGGTAAGTGTTTTCTGGTATCTATAATTTTATAAATATCATAGTGTTCTCCCACAGGTTTTACGGCACCCCGTATGATTTATAATTATACACAATTTGTATTAAAAAGGCCTGATGACCCTATAATAAAAATATATAACCTACTAACAGATTACACCAAATGTGTGGCGTGTAATTTCAACAAGTGTCAATTATGACAGTTATAATCAGTAGTTATTCAATAATTTGGTTTGTTACATGAAAATATAGCCTTTAGGTAAGTCTAAACTTAAAAGTGATTTATAAAAAATATACAAACCCGGTTATAAAACTGATTTTATTGAAACTTATTTTGGAAATATTGCTGAAAATTTTTTTTTTTAAATGCAATGTCATCTTATGATTGTTTATTATAATAACAATAATAAAATAAAGCCGTTCATATGTTATCTCTTTTTAACTCTAAATCCATGAATTTTATGCTTACTTACACGTTATTTTATATTGCATTTGACATTCACAGGGTCTAAGTACATGCCTAGATACCTAGATGAGCATATAAGAGAAAGTTTGAGAGTTGTGTCAATAGCAAGTGAAAAAGTTTTTCAGCCGAGTCTGCAACCACGAAAGAGCATTTTCATGTCTCGTTGAAGTACCGAATAAATTTAGAGTAGTGGTGGAATTATAGATAATGATATAGTATATTAACGAGCGGTAACAAGCTAGTATAAAAAAAAAAACGTCAAGTTTCTGACTAAAATTGTAGTGTTTATTATCTGGCTTAAAACAATTCATAGAGAAATTGGGCCCTTAAACTGTTTTGAATTTATTATTTAGTTCTAATTTGAACGTTGAACGTACAACATATCTCTTATCTCAAATCAGATAACAGCGTAACAGAATAACATTCGAAATAGATCCGAAATGGTCATTCCGATAATTGTCTTTCGTCGTCGCTTCGTAGTTTTTGTTACATTGCGGCGCGTAACAGCGTAACGCTTTTTTGGTAACACTTTTTTTTCGGTTATTTACCGGCTAAATCTCACCCTTATCTCCTACCCCCTATTCCACCCCTATCTCCCGTCCCCAATCCTTTCGCTTTTTTCGTTACGCTCTTTTGGTAACGCTTTTTTCGGATATTTGCCAGGGTTATGTGCCAGAGCTAAGACATGAAAATGTCAAAAAGAATAAACAGATTGATTTGACCATATTGTAAGAAGCTTGGAAAGTGAAATTTTAAAACAAGAGAGATCATAGTAGAATAATTTAGAGATAGAGATAGACTGAAGAAGTGTATGGAGAATACATTTTAATAGAAACGGTGAAAGAGAGATTTGTGGAAAAAGCATTTGGCTGACCAACCCTATTTGTATCAAATAAGCCGAACATACTTGCATTGTAACAAAATTAATTTCTGCTGCAAATTAGTTTACAATTCCCTTAACCAGGGTATTTATGAGAAAATCCTTTAACTTCACTCAAGTTAAAAATGTGATATACCTTTTTTTTGTTTGATTTTTAAATTTCAACCGCTTTAATGAGGTTGTTAAAAATTAACCATCTAAATTTGTCCTTACTCAAAACATAATTTTCCATTTATTTCATTTATTGTACCTACTGTAGTAAATACTACAAGTAATAAATGTTATGAAATTTAACTCGTTGCCTGTTTTATGATAAATATTAAATATATATGTATTTGTATATAAAAATACATTTTTTATTTTACCCTAATGAAGTTTGGTGTTTTATATAATAACTTGAAATTTTATAAAATACTTAAGTTATATTTAAATAAATATAATGTTTTTTTTTACATGGCCTAAAATTGGTCGGTATAATAACTTACAAAATAAAATAAATTATATATATTGTTTAAAAGTACCTAATTTCATTGTGATAACAAGTGATTTGCTGATTTGTATTATGTTACCATCATTCAATAGGTCTTACTATGTATGTATAATGAATAGCTTCATACTGTAGCGCATATTTATAAGAAATTTTTCTAATTTACAATTTATTTTCTACTTGTAATACAAAATCTAAAAGTGGTACAAAAATAATTAAAAATTATTATTATTACATACATAAGGGTTAAAAAAACATCATTTATTACTTTTAAAATGTTAATTTGGATACGAGCTGTGATGTTACAGCAATGTCTCTTTTGTTGTTTATACTATAAATAAGTCACATTATTTGTGATGCGTGTAATAGTTGAAAGGAGAAATATTAAAAAAAATTGTAATTAAGTGTTATGTTTGTCTAATAATACATTGAGTGGTTATTACAGATAGTACTTACGGTTAATTATAATTTTTCAATATATTGATTAAAGATCCATAGTTAGCAAATAAAAAAATATATAGTTTTTTACATATCAGATTGTATTTCACAAAATAAGGTCTTTTCACCAATATCTGATTAAAAAATATGAATGGAATTGTTTTTACATTATGTTCATACATATTTAATCTGAGTCTGTTGGGTTGCAAAAATAATGTCAGTGACCAATTTTTGAATTGGAACAGATTTAGATCGAAAAATGTGTGAAAATACTTTTATACTATTTACTGTATCATATTTTAGTTGTACTGATTCATAGACCCCATAGTACGATGATAGTATACCAAGTTTTAGACTATAGCTAGTACGTAAAAGCCAATGTTTTACACAATGACCACTCAGCTACTTAACACAGTAATTCATTTATATATTTTTAAATACATTCTTGCCATTAATTTTAAAATTTAATATTAAAAAAAAACTATTGATCTACTTAATAAGCATTAGGCACTTGGTGCATATTAAAAATGTTAGGTTTCTTCTATTGCATATTGGATAATAAAGTACATAAGCATCATTAAACTAATTTAGTTGTTCGAATTAATTATTAAGGGTGAATTTCTCATAACTTTTGATAATACTATCCATGAAAAGCTAGTTAACGCACAAAACATCACTGCAATCCATCCTAAATTCACACTCCAATCAAGCGAATAAATTCTTGCTGTGAGTAGTTGTTCCCAGAACTGTATTGTTTGGCACATGTTTCCTCCAGCATTTATCATTCCATCAATTAACGCAAGTGAGCGGTTACAATTTTTCTGGGTATGTGATTTCCTTGAATTATGTTTGTTATGCATAATGCCCAATGTAAACAACCCAAAAGTGGCTAAAACATTGTATGGGCTTATGTAGACTTAATACTGAACTGGGCTCTACGATTTACAAAGCTAACTTACCCGCTAACAAGTACAAAACTGCTGTTACTAGCATAGCGCTGATTTGATTTCGACAAATGGAAAATAATCCTATTAAAGTTGCCGTTCCAACAATAATCACACATACCAAGGCACAGGACATCGATACATTTTGCATTCCTTAAAAATAAATTGAAATAACATTTAGGTTTGTTAAGTTTATGACTTAAAATATTGTGTTGTGACTCATTTGTTTTATGAACTAGTAAAAAATGTTTATAATAAACAGGAAATTAAATAACTAAATTTTGTAAAAATAACTTAATATTTTCATCTCTTTTGTCCAGGCACCAGATAGACAAGATTTTTAATAGATTTTAAATTAGTAAGGGGCCTCCAAAGAATCCCTCTTCCCCGTGTCATCATATTTCTTTAAACATTTTAGCTTACTGTTAAGTTTTAGTGTAAAATTGCCTATACAATGCGCCTTAAGAGATGTTAGTGTAAAAAGCCCTTGACTAAAATCTTAATTGGGTTGTTTTTATTAGGGTTTTCTCGGTAGTCTCGGTGAAGATTTAAAAAAAACAATTACACTATTAATATATATTTATCTAATTTGCCGAGGTACTTAGTTTTATAAAAATGTTAATTTTGTTTTATAAATGTTTAATTGTGCAAAATTAAAAAATGTATGTATATATTATAATCATTTTTTTAGCTTCGTCGCGTAGCTCTTTAGAAAACGTGGGTTGTCTAAAATGTTATTAAGGAAAATAATTGTTGTATTTATAAAATGCTACGACATGAAATATCGTGCAGTGTTATTTTTCGTTTTTAGAAAACGAATCGCGTGACGGATTTTTTTAATAGTCATACAAATAAATTATAATTTTTATTCAGTTTTATTTTTTCTGTATTTCCAAATGAAATGTGAATTCTTCCAATCAATATTATTGAAAATGTATGCTTACTGTGATGCCAATCTGGTCGAAAATACTCTTCGGACGAATAATTGTCATCGTTCAAATAATTGACACATTTCGGAAGTATATGTCCAATTGTTGTACCCGTTTCCCGGTATAGTTGTACAAGCTGTTCATCTAAAAATAATCCATTTTTACCACAACAATAACTATTATATTTTCGGTACGTTATTTTTTCCTCGTAGCGTGGCCTAGATAAATTTCGTACAATTATACCTAACTGTATATTATTTACGGATTTTAGCGTAACTAGAGACTAATGTGCCCAGAAGCAAGACATTTTTTTTGTGCCCTGTATTTCATGTTAACATGTATAGTGAACCGTACAAAAACGCCCTATAACAGAATGCGCCCAGGGGCAGCTGACCACCCCTGCACCCACGGTACCTACGCCACTAAACAAGGTCTAACAACACGAGTATTTTTAGTTGTGTCTCAAAGAAAAATTTTGTTTCTCGTTGACTCGCTTGTTATTATTGGTTTGAGGTCATACGTTTTTTTTTCTAATGTTATTATTATCTTGGGTTTCCGATAAGTGATCTATTTACGGAATATTATTCTAGAATTTTCACGAGGTACAGAGTCTTATACGGTGATTAATTTGATCTTTGGGTCGTTTCTTTTATTTAAACAACTGCCATGAGAAAGCAGGATTTTTAATACGCATACACAGGTGTATGTAATAATCGATGAAATATTTTCGGCTATCTGAATATTATACCCGTCGGCAAATGAAGAATGATTGAAAAACTTTGCCGCCAAATAAAACTCAATTGCAAAAAATTATGTGTTGTTGACGCTTGAATAAACAGTAATGTTGAGATACATAGAGAGCGGGGTTGAAGAAAACAACGTGGGGCGGTAGAAAGTGAGAGGCGGTTGGGGGTTTCTGATCCATTAAGTGGCGCCGTGTTGTCCTAGTCTATAAATTATTAAGGGCTATGCATTTGGACGTTACACTTTGTATACACAATATGACGTATAAAATAAAATTATGTGAGTTACCGCGTTTTTTGGATTAACAAGATTAATCAAGCTGGTGTGTTTTTATACCTGTTAGGGCAATGCAAAGCGCCCAAATGCCTCCGTACATGGGCGCTAATATTACGGTAGCCGTTTCTCCGATTTCGTACAGTAACGGGTCGTGGATGTTTTTGTAATGATTTTGATTGGATGTGGCCAACACCAGCAACGCGTCCCCGTTGTTTGCCGCCGAGGGTCGTGTTGCCGAATTAATCGTTATTTGCACCATGGTCCCGTTCACCAGCCATTCGGTTTGCACGTTGTTCGTCCATTTGGTGGCCGATTGGTTTTGAGTTTTCAACAGCTCAAAGGCCTTGAAAATTAATTTCAATTGCGTTAAATTTCTTACATGTTTAAAATCTTACCTTACATCTTATATATTGTGCCCTGTTCACGCCACCAGCAACATTTTTGGAAACATTAATCGTCGACGACGTAGTTTCTGTGTGACTTGAAAATTGAAACGCTTATTAGAGCGAGGCCCAAAATTTCAAATTTTAGTTTTTTTCAGGAAATATAAAAAATGCCTTAGGCTAAATAAGGTACCTAAAAAAATTGTTTTTTGTCTCCTGAATAAAATCCAAAATTTGAAATTGGGTCCTTGTTCTAATAAGCGTCTCAATTTACCCTCTTAGAAGGACCCTCGCGCCCATAAAGTATCTTCAACACGATCCACAAAAAAATTACAAAATAGTATTAGCTCTAAATTAAGTTTTTGTAAAAAGAAGTGTGTGTGTGAGACCGTCCTCTTAACAGTTGTCGGAATTTTAACTTGTTATTTGTTATGAATAAATTCATTAAAAAAATGGACCGTTTAAGTATCAAAAGTGAGTGAATGGTTATTAAAAGTTTGGTCCAATTCGGTTTATTTTGGATGATTCGTCATCGAAAGTGAACAGAACCGTGTGAACTTGGCTATAGGCGTGAACATAGCTTTGTTTAGACGTCGATGTTACTTCGGCCAAGTCCCAATCCATGCTTTCCCAGTGATCCGTCCACACAGACGTACACAACATCATCGTAGTGCACGATGACAGTATCAGAGTTGCGGTAATCAAAAACGAATGCGGTTGAATAGTAGCACAGCTTTGTGTTTCGGTCGGCCAATAATGGACCGTCACGGTGTCCATGTTCTGACTTATAATATTATAATTATTGTCCTTTATTTAATTGTCTACTCCGTTGTGTTTTAGATTCTAGCCAATTTTTGTCTGCGCGTAGCTTGATTTAAAAAAAAACTGATTATAATTTTAGAAGAAGAAAAAAAATGCATTAAACAAATTGTCACGCACATATTTCGGTGTAATTTTATACTAAAAGCTTATGACACACGGCCGCATTATGTAGGCAGGTGCAGCCTACACTTTCTGTGTAATGGTTAGTGTGCATCTTCATCATACCGATGTACACATTTAGTCCAAAGTATTCTTTCTAATTAAAACAAATGTTGCGATGTACAATTAATAAAAGTATGAAATGTGCTGAAAGTATACCCTATTACATATTATTATATTAGTGTTGAGGAAAACCCGTATTTGCCCTAAATTCTAGGATCAAAATCCAATTATAATTTTTTTTTTGTAAATCCGGAATTCGAATTTTCAAATATTGATTTTGGATTTGTTGATCAATATTTTTGAATAAAACCATTTTTAACTAAATGAAAAGAAATATTTGGATTTATAAATAAATACGACGATGATCGCATAATATATTCGTTTGATGAAATTGAAATGGAAATACCAAAAATTCTATTTTCAAACCTACAGTCCGGATATATGTCATATTAATTATGACTTATGTATGTTACTTGTTTTTATACAAAATGTATGTACTTTATAGTAAATTGTAGTATTGTATTATTATAAGTACTATAAAATTGGTTTTGCGTGACTGGGTTCGATAAAAAAAAAACAAAACAAAACAAAACTGGTAATTTAAACATCCGTTAATGTTCAAGTGATATCAATTTTTAAAATTGTTTTGATAACATAATAAACTATTGTTTAAGGCTAATGGTAACACGGTTAAAAAAAAAATAATTTTTACGTACCATATATTTTTTAATGTTATTTCAAAGCAAAAGGAAGAGATGTTAAAAATTGAAAATCGTTTGACAAACTGATACAATATATTTCTTGTTATACACATTATCATATATAGTTAACCGTTAATCGTCCTAGTTTATAACAATAAGTATAAAAAAAAATCATGCGCCTAATAACTTTGTACAAAGTTTTTTTGTAATTCTAAGTTACACCAACACACAATATTAGTAATTAATATTAGTGTGTGGTAATAAGTTATAAGTTGTTAGTGCTATAGAACTATGGCGTTGCTTTAAATTTATAATTGGTGTACAAAAAAGTGTATGAAGTGGTGATTCGGCCTTTACTGGTTGTATTGTGTCCGACGGTTTTCATCTTAGACAGCAGCTTAAAGACAGAAAATATACCTATATAATTGTAAAGCTTCAAAGCATATATATATATATTGTCATTTAGACACGTGCGAAAATTGAATATAGAAGCAAAATAAAAGCCATTTTTAATGTGAAATCGGCTTACCCGCTAAAATATTATTCTACTATGTTTTTATGTTTAAACGTTTAAAATTATTATCGTTGCGTGTGTTTATTTGAGCAATTTTTACATTTTCGTGTTTTTTCGGTTGACACGCAACGACCGAATTGTACTGCTGAAACTTAAAACTGAATGTGGAACCTATTGGCTTTAGAGCACATTTTCCCTGGCGATCCATAACATCTGGACTGGGGTACACAGTATTAAGGGCGCCAAGCTTTTTTCCTGTAAGTAATGCCAACCTAAAAACGTACAATAAATTATTTCGTTTCAATGGTCTAGTTTTTACTGCAGACGGCATATTATACGCCTCGTTTTCGTTACCCGATTTTTAGGTGAAAAATAATACATAAATATTATATTGATAAATAATATTAATCATACATATTATATGAATTATAATCGTATAGTAACTATTTGTAATCTAAGAGGACGCTAAACTAGTCAAGTTTTTTGAGAAATATAGTATTTTTTTTATAGCTTTTATTAGAAATGTTTCAGCTCGACAATTAGGTGCATAGTTTAAAAATAATAGATACAAACTAAAATAAGAACAAAATATAAAACAAAAATAAGTAATATGTACATTGTTTATGGTATTTTTTAATTTGATAATAAACCTAGCATCAAGGATGGATGAATGATAGGTACGGAACGGGAATTAAGAATATTGAAGGAGTTAGGGTCATTAATACCCATAGGAAGTTAAAGAGGATAAATTAGTAGGGAGAGAGTGTGGGGTAATGAAAAAGGAGATGAGCAAAATCAACAAAGTAGTATTCCAGACATAAATAATAAAGCGTATAAAAAGCGATAAATTTATGGGTTTTGTACAGATTTTTAAAAACAAATTTAAAAAAGTGAAACAATAATAATAGTAATACATAACCCCGATTATTGAGTGAATTAGGCTTATTTTAGTCCACATTTATGTATCCCCAGTCGGTTTTTGATAAAACATAATTCTCAATTATAATTAACCTAATTAATTTTTAAACGTTAATTATATTATTGCTGTCGGTTTATTCAAAAATGTATAATACTTAAATATGGTCAAAAGTTATTATTAATTTATAATTACTTACTTTAGCTTAAAGTTTAAATTAATTTTTTGCGAAAAATTGCCTATATTCCAAACAATTGTGCAAAATTGGTTTCAAAATAGTTAAAAGTATTCATAATTAGGTTTTTGAAACAACTACAATTTGTCTTACAAGCCTAACGATTTTTTAATTGTTTTGTTTTATAGAATTCGAAAATGCCTTCTGAGGTTGTTCAAAAAGAAAACGAAACCATTACCGAGAACACCGTGGAATCCAAGAAAATAGTTGAAAAACAAGTAATTAGTGATACAGTTCCCATAAAAGAAAACAATGCAGAAGAGAATATAGTTATCAACGACGAACCAACAGTAACAGATACCAAGGAAGAAACGGAAAGCGAAAACAAAGAAAACGAAGAACCTGTTGTTGAAGATGAGGAAACTAAAAAAAAACGTGCTGATGAACTTCTAGCTGCTGGCAAACGTAGTTTAGCACTCAAAGACTACCAAGCGGCGGTTGATGTTTTAAGTGAAGCATGTAGTCTTTTTGGAACTGTTTATGGTGAAATGGCTGAAGAATGTGCTGAAGCATATTTTAAGTATGGATGCGCACTTCTTGAACTCAGCAAGGATCAGACCAGTCCAGTCGGAATCGAAGATAAAGAAGATGATGACGACGAAGATGATGAAGATTCGTCTATGGTACAAGATGAAGGCTCTGCCGAGGCAGATAAATCCGTAGCTAATGGTGAAGAAGACAAATCTGTTGCTAATGGCAAAGCAGATAAACCTGTAGCTAATGGCGAAGCAGATAACCCTGTAGCTAATGGCGAAGCAGATAAAGCAGTAGCTAATGGTGAAGCAGACAAACCGGTTGCTAATGGGGAAGAAAAGAAATCAGTAGCCGACAGTAAAACAGAATCGGGGAAAGCTAATGGTGTAGACAAACCAGCCAATGAAGAAGGAAACTCAACTTTAGAAGCTGACAAATCTGTTACAACTAATGATGTTGAAGATACAAGCATGGAAGAAATTGAGGAGAAAGAAGGTAAATTAGAGGATATGGCTGTAGAAATTGAAGAAGACATCGCAGAGGAAGATGTCAATGACTTGCAGGTCGCTTGGGAGATGCTGGACTTGGCTAAAGTAATTTATAAGAAAATGGATACTGAAGATGCTAAACTTAAACTAGCTGAAGTTTTAATGAAATGCGGTGATGTTAGTATTGAAGATGAAAAATTTGAAACTGCTATTGAAGACATGACAGAAGCTCTAAATATCAGAAGGTAAATGTTTTTTTATTTTTTTATTTTGGTGATTTATTAAAACTCTTTTCCTTTTTATTATAGGTTACTGTTACCCGAAGATAGCCGCATTATAGCAGAAACTTTGTTTCAATTGGGCATTGCTCAAGAATTAGGCGGAAGTGGTGAGCGTGCAGTTGAATTGTTAAATGAAGCTGCAGCAGTTTTGGACCAGAGAATTAAAACGCTAGAAAGTAGTGACAGTAATAATGATAAAGTCAAAGAAGAGGTAGCTGACATAAAAACCGTTATTCCTGAAATTCAAGAGAGAATTATTGATATTAAAGAGCGTAAAAAAGCAGCTATAAGTGCATTGCTTGCAGCAGTTGCTGGAGCAGCTAATGGAGGAGAAATCGCTAATGGTGGCGAATCATCTGCTAAAGAAGCATCCAATATCAATCATTTAATCCGGAAGAGGCCCAAACAAAGCGAAGCTGATGGAACCCCAAACAAAATTCCAAAAATCGAGGAGCCAGAAGTTGTTCAAAAATGAATTTTGTTTTGTGCTCTCGCAGCGGACACTTAATTTATTGTATTAATTTCTCTCATACTATTAGGAGATATTTTTTAATTTTATAACTTTCAACTGTAAGTCTTATTATTAAGTGAATTATTTGTAATTTTTTTTTTTCTGTAATTTTCTTAAAAATAACAAAAGACTGTTAGGGAAAACATATTTAATAGTTATAATATAATTTTACACATTATTTACAATATCAACATAGTCTTATTATTTTATCTTATATTTTCACTTATCACTAATATGTAATTTGCAAATGTCCTCAAAAGGCAATTGTGTAACTGTTTTTCCAGTGGCGGGTCCGTTCTTTAATTTAACATCTACGCTAAAATTATCTTGATCTAATTTTATTAATTCAGCTTCTCGCCCTGTGTGCATACCATTCACTATCATTACTTTTCCACCAACATTAGGTATAACAGTCTCTAAATGATTTTGATCCAATTTGAGTTTTACTCTTGGTTCAAACAACTTTACCATACAACCATATTTTTCCATTACTTGGACAACTACACCTTTTTTGCCAACGTAGTCGAGACCTAATGTTTTTGTAGTAACTTTCACTACAATGTTTTCCATTAACCAATAATCTTTTCTCATATAATTTTTCTTTTTCGTTTCTTGTTGTATAATTTCTTCTAAAGCTGACATTTTCCGTTTTTCGGATTTTCTACTACTAGATCTTGAAATTGTTGACATTCGGTCAGAACCTGCAGTGCTTAACACATTTTTTATAGGGACCACTGCTGGTTTTTTAAAAGTATCCATTTTTAAATTCAATTGTAATTTACTATCTTCTTCTCTGATGAGTTCTTTAGGCTTCTCTTCTTCGGGCTGCTCAGCGCTGTCTTTTTTCTGACCTTCCCTGATTTGTCTTTCCAAAAACTCCATCTCCCGCTCTTTTTCATCTTTTTCCGCTTTTTCTTTCTTTCTCATTTTTTCTTCGAGTTCAATGGTAGCTGGATCTCTATCAATGTACGTAATAAACCATCCCTCGTCTGTTTCATCAACTACACATTTTCCTGTAACAAATAATTATTGACCTTTGTAAATATTTGTTTGTTTATCAGTTACAAGTTTTAGAAATTAATTATTTAAACTAAATATTTTAGAGAATCAAATATGTACCTAAGTAATAATAAGATAATATAAAGTAAACTATTGAGATTTAAATTTAACAATAGTTGACAACATATAATTAAGGACAACAAGTTGAAGGCAATACTTTTTGTTCAAAGAACAATATGAACTAGCGTTAAACTACAAGAGAGTAAAATGTGACAATATACAACATTAAATTATAAAGCATTTATTTTCCTCAAATTATCCTTAAATTTGGCATACAAGATATTTTCTGCCAGCAAGTTTATAGACAAAAAACAAATGGTATAAAAATGATTAATTTTCAATTCCAAAAAAAATCCAATATCGTTTTACTATTAACCATACTAGAACAATTCTGTGAAAAGAACTATAAGTTTACACTATTTACATGCATAACTATAAGAATGTGAACTTAAGAAACTGTGGGGATAAACTTATAACATGAGTATAAAAAATAATTATTTTTTCATGATTGTAAATAAAAACTAAAATTTTGCATATCGACTGCCCCAACGAAAAGGGTGCTATAACATGTATCCAAATTTTCAAACTTATATGTTAAAAACAGAATAAGAATTTAAATTTGAATATTTGTTTGGTTCATCCTGAAAAGTTACAAAAAACGAGATACGACCCTTTTTGTTGAGGCAGTCGATATATTATTAGGTATAATATATTTACCAGTTTTTCCAAGCCATTTGACGAATCCGGTAAGTGTTGTCCATTGGGTAGCATTCATATGCAAATGGGTACGATCAGAAATGTATTCTTGGTAAACTTTATTGGCTTTTACTCTTTTGGTACCGAACTGACGTTTCAATAAAAACAGAAATCCTTTGGAGAACTCCAAACTAAATTCGCTTAGGTAACGGCCTGCATTATCGGCAAATAGCAACAATTGCCTCTGATGTGACTCTGACATGGTATGACATTTGAACCCGTTTTCGTCTCGACATTGCTTGCTGCACATTTGACAAAACCATCTCAGCTTCTGTAATCCCTTGGATTTGATCTTGTTAGCTATATACTTGGGCGTACCCGGCTCTGCACGTCCCTTGCCCATGATTGATTACTTGTTAACAGACAATAATTACCACTTGAGAATGTACCAGTAAACCTAACGAAACCGTTTTAAGTAAAAAATTACAATTTGGTAGAATAAAAATAATAAACAATGTATTGTTTTATGTTATCAGTTGTGCTTATCAAATGTAATATTGGCTAGTATCTATTCAGTTTTACTGCAGCTGTGGTTAGTATACCACCATGGTAGAACTTGTATACCACTAATATCATTGGGTATAATCACTGAGTCGACTGTTTCTATCTTCATACCTATCACCGCAGCAGCTGCAACTGGCCTAAAGGGACCGGACTCGACTCGGCTAGCCGCTAGTGTATATTATGTTGCCTATTGAGTCGAATAGTACGGAGATAAATTTACGCTGTGAGCTGATGTAACATTTCTTCTACCGACATTAATTATAATTATTATATTATACTATTCTCCAATCTACGCATTATACTTAATTATTACTATAAATGGATATTTAAGTGAAGGATTTTTAGATTTTTTTTTATTAATATTTCTGTACATTTGTTAAAGAATAATATTATTTTAAAATTAACTAAACGAAAAAACATATCCATTGCCAAAACAATACTACGTATCTCCAAAAAAATAAAAAATATGATAGTAGATACTAGGTATTTCGACAATAATATTAATAATGGATATTCGTGATAATTTTTCAACGTTTATAGTCTCTTTAGATTTTGTGTATTATACGTGGTATTTACACTAAATTAAGGGTTTTTTTTCTGAATTATTTGATGTATACAACTCATTTTTGATTTTTTTGACAATACGTAGTATTGTTTTGGCAATGACGATATTACAGAAAGGGTTTCGATACCCAAAATACTCTCTAAAATAATATGGCCTTGATAACGATTAAGTATTTTATAATAATAAAATCGTAACTTGTTTTTAATTGCAAACGGATCTATACATATCTAAACACATAAATTGTGTGGCTGTCCAGATGGCACCGAGTTTAGGCGGGATTAGTTTTTTTTAAGTTTCGACAACTTAGGCTATTAACTATTAAAGTTATTGTTTGTCTTCGGTGGTTAGCATTGTAAAAATATCTACTATTGTGCATAAAACTTTACTATAGGTAAGATTAGAATAATTCAAAGACAAATATTTATTAAACACGCAAGGCGTGTAAATAGTGTAAAATATTTGTTTTGTAGATCACCTAATATTATCGCACGACATTATTTTTCTTATTAAAATATATTACTATTTACTACATACTATCCAGCTCTCACAATTTACTTAAGGAGAACGGAAAGCGTCAATTTGTTTTACAAATATAAAAACTAAAACACGAAGTCACTTTCTGAAGTGTCTACCGGGCCGATTTCAATTTTTTTTTAAAAGCTTAACATCTTTTTTATGGGTGCTAAAATATCTCCTATCAAATTCAATTATATTTATCCTAGATCACGATGTAGAGAAGATATTTTCTCTACATCGTGTCCTAGACCCTAGTCAGTAAAGGTAATTGAGGCCATTTACATAACATACTACTTTTTAAAAAAAATGGTCGTATTGACAAAATTTTAATTTTAATATAAAACGAAAATAATCTATCATCATGGGCGCAATTCGAGAGGAGATATAAGTGTTTTGCAACCACCCATTTTTTAGTAATTTTTATGCCCAAAATTGTCTACGTTTTACGTATTCTCGAGAAAAGGACTTCAAAGTATTATTACTTTTTTAACCACTCGAATTTGTTTAACTTGGGCTCACATGGACCAAATTACTCGTGTAGCACCTCTATAGATCCGAAATCGTATGTAAATGGTACTTTAGTAGAAAAAGTCAACTCCTTCATACTTCTAAACCTAGAAAAGTAGAAAAAAAATTCAACCGTCAAATTTAATTTGCTATATATTCGCGAAAAACGGTCGGATTCAGTCGAATATTTTTATAAAATATTGATAAGACAGGCATTCACACATTGCCTCAAACCAAAATTTCGACAACCCCCGAGTTCCATTACAAAAGAGGTGAAAAGTCTAATAGCAGTTGACATTTTGCAAGTAAACACCTATTTAAAATATAATTTATAAATTATGAAATACAGTTTTTTAAATATAAACCCCTTCCAAAATTAATGTGGAGAGTCGAGATATTTACTGTTAAGTATTTAGGACTAAATATTTAAGGATTTTTGTTATCGGAATTTGTTTAGTACAATTGTTTATTTTTCTCTATGCACAACAAGGAATTCTATAAATAAAAACCAGGTACTAAACGTAAAATGAAATATATTTTTTCAATAAATTATTATATGTATATTATATTTGGTTACCAGTAAAATAAAAAAAATAATGATTATTAATACTTTATTATTTTGTACAATTGTTGCATTTTTTTTGGTTTCGTTTGAAACATGTACCTAAATAGCTTACACTGTATAAATATTATTATAACATACAATCTACAATGTAAACATAATCGTCTAACATAATTATTTATAATATAGAATCTGTATTATAGATTATAAACAATCATTTTTTTTTTTCTTAAAACTAAAATTAAAATAAAACATATTCTATAATAATCTTCTTAAAAGTTTTTATTTAAAATAGGAGAAACCAATTTATATGAACTCAATAATAATATAGACATGTATTAAATGGTATACCCTGTTTAATATACATGTATAGTTTAAAAAAAATGTAAACTTAAGGTGGTAAATATTTATACCAATTACAATGGAAAACAACAAATTTCATTAAAATTGTACATTATTTTATTAATACTTAATACTACATTTTTTAAATTACACTCCATTGACTAATAATTTTTTTATCATTTACAGTTGTCAAAAATTCTACCTAATGTTCGAGAATAAAATGAAATAGTCTGTTGGTATTATTATAGGCAAGTACACAAAACTAATTTTCGGACCCCGATAAGTCAACAAGAAGCTCACACACTATTATGACATTTAAAAACATTTATATATTTATGTTTATACTTTTTTAAATTATGACATCCTTTAAAAATCTTTTTAACCAACAATGAAATGATAATAATGTAGATGTAATTAGATAATAATGTAAATATATATTGTTATTTCTTATTACATATGACTTATTGATATACTACAACGAACACAAAACAAAAAAATATAATGTTATACAACACATTTTTATATTAAAAATGTTTAAATTATTTTGATTCAATAATAATATAATTGACTTTCTATAAAAAGTTGTATTTACTAATAACAGTAAAATAAATCAAAATTAACAAAACTTTTATTGTATCAAATATTGTAAATTCATAATTTAATCTGTTTAACATGACAAATAGAGAACAAAAATACCCTGATGTAATTAAAAGTTATTTTCAAGTTTGAAAATCTGTTTTAATTACTATTAATTTGTTATTGACAAAACATTTAAGAAGTATGTATGAACTACCTTTTATTGTACACTTTGCCAGATGCTTAAGTTTTTAATAAATTTAACTATTAAACAAATTAATTAAGATTATACTTAAAGTATATATACCTACATGTAATTATAGTATAATTAACAATTAATACCTTATAATAAACAAAAGACATATTTTGTGCAAATATTATTTGTAAAACTGAAATTCTATGAATATTTATATGGTATGTTATATTTATTAATTAATATAAAAACCAACAAAAATCTTTAAATCATTTTAGTTTTTTTTTAGTTAAATCCACATTGTATAATATGATACGTTAAATTCACTAGTGTTTAGTTATGCATCTATTAATTAAATTAGCCTGAAGAACAATGTAATTTTACAATCTAACAAACGCCAATACACTTCAGGTCGTTTCTTTCTCTTTTTAATTTTTGTTCCACGTAAAATCTTATCACCCAATGTCTTACTCAATATTATGTACATTATTAAAGCACTACGTAAGTATAACATTTTGTTTTAATTACAACATTGTTTTTATAAATTCCTTTACCCAAAAAAATCAGTAACTATAGCTGCCTTGATACTTTTTCCACTTCTTTTAGACATTCACTTACCAATGTTTTTGCCTTGTGTATTGATTTTTTCAACCTTTCAGTTGAGTTCTTGCAGCCAGTGTAAATCGGTCTGATCGAGCCTGACATTTCTTCAATTACACTTAATAATTCTTTATACTTGGCCCAACCATCTTCACTACTTAACGAATCAATGTCAAATGTCTTTTCAACATTTTCTAGTTGACCCGATATTCTGTCCGATGTAATTTGAGGAGGCGGCATATGTTCATGTTTATAATGTTTTGTTTTATTATGAGTATTTTCTTTATTATAATTCACAGCAGTCTTTTCTTTAGGTTGATCGTAGGCATATGGTTTTCTTTTGTTTACTTGATTAAAATTCATAAGAAATTCAGGATAGTTGAGGGGTAAATTAAACGGCCATTGTTGTTCAGGTTGAGTATTATAATTTGGATAGTGTTTACGATTCATGGTTAAGTCTAAGAGAGGATTATAACTGTTCATATCATAAGGCATGTGATTTAAATTAGGTAAGCTCGTCTTTCCTCGTTTCCGAGGAGCACCACCTTGCGAGTTGGATGGTAATGAATGCTTTTTTTTGCTGCTTCCACCACTCGCATTAGGGACTAATGACAATGAAACTGTGCTCTGAGGAGATGTAGACGAAACTGCATACTGACTGTTACTACTGGTTTTTGAACTTTGAGAAATAGGAATAATGGTTAACTCAGAATGGCATCCCATGTTACCAGATTTAATTGCCTCCAATAAACTATTTTCCATATTTTCCTTTTTATTTATCTAAAAAAAAAGTAAACAAAATCAATAAAGCAACTAATTCATAATGTTATTATGGGATATAAATTAGAAATTCCAAAATATTTTATTTTTTAGGCATCTCCAAAATTAAATATCTACTTGCAATAATAAAGTGAAACTAATTAATAGAAAACAACCAGATACACAAAATATACATCTATATTAACTTATATCCTGGTAATATATTTTTAACTAGTATAAATTTACCAATTTTTTTTTGCATAACATAAAGGTAGAATCTGAAATATTATGATTTCCATATAATATGCTACCTACTGTAGCCATTTATTAAATTTATAAGAAACAATAAACTCATATAAAAACAATTTGTATAAAAATATCCAAGTTAAAAATATTTGGTAAAAAAAAATGATTAAAAAGTTATTAAATAAGTATTTGTGGCGATATTGATACAAATGTGACAATGTATAATTCAAATTTTATTGGTTTTTTCTTTCAAAATTATTATTAAAACGTTTAATAACATGTTTATTATTGTTACATTTCTTCAATACTTAAAAATAGCACCATCTATGTAATGTAGATGTGTTTTTTGTTAACTCGGATTTTGAAAGTCCCAACCCTATTGCATACAAATATTCTAACAATTTTCATTTAGTATAATAAAACATAGTGCTTATTATAAATACAAAATAAAATCTTTGTGTGATCTATTGTACGGAATCTAAGTAATTAATGTATTAGTTGATAGTAGGTCACCCCACTGTCAGGTATAAGATATTTTCCATTTTATCGATAATAATATTCGAAAATATATAATTCCAAATGTTTTTTTAGCTGATTCCGATTAATTTAAAGAACGTTACGATTTTTGTTGTTAACTCTACTTACTGTTAAAATAAAATTTGGAAAACAAATTGTATTAAAAACTTAATCAATCAAAACGAGTTTATAATTGAAAAGTTTTAAGCGTATACTATTGTATTGAAGTTTAAATTAACGGATCGTACATTAATTGATTGATGTAAATTAAATAACACTTTCATCCGTTTTGAAATAATATAATAAATAAAATAAGAATTATGTGCTAACCAAACACTTAACAGCTTTGACACTCATTTGGTGGTAGATGGTATACACTATACTATCCGTATCTCAATTCTTAAATAGTCCAAACATTTGATGTAGTATGAACCACAACAAATAACAATGAACATAATGATGTAATGTGTACCATGATTGATACTTTTCGTTATTTACCAATTACCATTATACCTATATTGTTACTACAGCAAGAGTTGTTTCTAGGTTCAGTCTTTATTTTTTTTTCACAATCGTGTGATAGTAGATTTACGCCGATAAGTGATAACACGCCGGCAGGTCTTGTTCTCGGATGACTGGTCTCTTCCTTAAGTAAAATAATATTGTCTTAGTAGTTAGTTCAGCCTTTTCAAAAAACAAGTTCATAATACGTGTGTTGACGATTAATCAGACTCTAAAGACAGTATCGCACGATCGTGTTACTTACCGGCAAATGTTAAATGTTTAAATTTTTGATTCACAAACCCTTAATACAAAACAGTTTTTGTAAAAAAAAAAGAGAACAGTATTATTCGGGAAATTTATTTTTGTTATTAAATATTAAGTAATAAGTGGCCATCGATAACATTTTATCAAATAATACAACATTGAATTATATATAATATATTATACTGTTTTTTTAAATTTTATTTATTTATTTTAAATGGAACCAGTTTTTTTTTAAAAAGAACTGAATAACTAGTAAGTTGTTTCATAACGTCTTTGTACTTACCACAATACTAATAATCTTAAAGCAAAATTATTATAAGTTAGCAAAACAAAATAGAAAAACTAGATTACTAATTATTTATAATGAATAGTATAAATACATACAAAAATATGTCAAACTTTACATTACCTCAAATATATTTTTCCAATCAAACAAGTCGTTATTCTTCAACTAATTTTCATAATTCTTCCTCGCAAACAATGATGAACCAATCAGCAATACCACAAGTTCTTAGTGATTCTAGGTAAAATATATTAACAATGTTTTTTATTAGACCTTTGTTATTATTATTGTATGTTTACATTTGTTTTATAGATGTCAATCAAACGATATATTATGTGACCATAGGCACATAGACTTTCAAAATTCATTAAAATTGAAAACTCATTTTGATACTTATGCTGATAATATCAGAAATTTAGATAAAAATGAATTCCATCAAAACTGCAAGCAAGTAGAGATACAGCAGACGTTTTATAAACATGATACTATAAGATCGCAAGATAATGAACTAAAAGCAAGACTATCTTTAGATGCATCTACAATGACTGACCCATTAACAACAGAAGAACTGGAAAGGCTTGGTCAATGGGAAGGTTTCGCTGCATTACACTCTGACAATAGAGTTGCTGAATACTTAACAAGTTTTAGAGAATTTCTTAAGGTAAGAATAATTTTATATACATGTGTGGATTTTTGTAGGATTTGCCTTAAAACTGAAATAATTTTATAACTAAGGACCCACTACACCTACTTTTACAAGGTTTCTTTAATGACATTGTATTTAGGATAAAAGGGTGAAAAAATATGTTTTTAAAGGCATCAAATTTAATCTTTGAGAAATTTAATGGGGTACCTAATGTAGGTTTTTGATTAATTAAAAATTTGTATTCTGAAGATCTGCAAGTAATTACTTGCAAATAATCACAATAAATTGATAACAGTAAATATTATGCTATATTTTGACCAACACTTGGGATCTTCATTATTGTGTCCTTGCAAAGGCCAAAGAACAGCTTTGAAATTGACTTAAAATGTCTTGCGTCTTTATATAATTTAACACATTAAAGTGCTATTGTAATAATTATTCTTTTGTTTATTGTTTAGATGTCTCCTCCACAAGAAGGAAAACGAAGAAAAGGCCTAGGTGATGTAAAAATAGTTACATCCTCAGATGGGTCACGATTGTATTGTTGTTCTGAATGTTTAATGGCTTATTCTGATAAAAATTTGTTAGAGCATCATCTTGCCAACCATAAAGTAATTATTAATCTAATAATCTAAAAATTAAATACAACATAATGACCCCTGTTAAAAAAAATAACGTGTTTCATTTCTTTACGAAAATTAGTATGTTTTGTTTTGCCTTGAAAACTAATATATTTCAATACTTATATTGAATAGTATTACATTAATCTATACTGCAAAATTAAACATATTAGTTTCAGCTATTGCAGAATACAGACACAAGATGTATACTGTGAAAAAAAAACATACTTTTTGCAAGACAAATGAAACTTATTAGTTTTTATATATTTTGCATGTCTCGGCTCTCTAGTATATTATTTATTATTTTCCGTTATTGTCTGTAAATTATTATCTGTTTTCTAATACAGGTTAAATCTAAGTCACATGTTATCTAATTATTTATTACAGGTAGCACGGAGATTTATTTGCAAGGAATGTGGAGCGGGCTTAAAACGTAAAGAACATTTAGACAGGCATCTACTTAGTCATAGCATTACAAGACCATACACTTGTGAAGTTTGCTCCAAAACATTCAAACGTAATGAACATTTGGTACGTCATTATGTAATTCACTCTGGTGAAAAGACACACGTTTGTGTAGAATGTGGGAAAGCATTTTATCGTCGTGATCATTTACATAACCATGTCCAGGGTCACGTTGCAAAAAGATTAAACTCTATCATTCATGCTGTTATTTAAGTTAAAAATAAGTATTGTCCCTAGTATTGTTAAAAAAAAAAAAATTCTGCATGTCATTTATACTCCTTGTCACTCGTGCGATTCATGGTTGACATTAGTATGTCTTATGTCTGGGGGTCAAAAAAAAAATTTGTGTAATGAAAATATTGCAATGTTTATTGGTGCACTTCCCGTGGTGCTAAAAACTTGAACCATAGTTTCCTTATAATGGTCTCATGCAAAGTTTAAATTTAGGAGTTGAAATTCATCCCCCTTCATCCTTTGGGATGAAGCCATAAGACATTGGCCTGCCATAAGACATATTAATGATCTTATGTTTTTCTCAAAAGGGAAAGATTCGATTCTTTTTTTAATATATATTAATTGTGTAAATAGGGCTAATACCTATGTTAAATTATTTGATCAATTGTTTTTATAAAATTCATAATAGTATTAGTAATAGTAGTTTCTTAAACTCTATGAAAATATCTATATTTTTGTTTTTTTTTAGAAAATTCTAAATGCTATTTGATTATTTATTGTAATAAGCAATTATCATAAAAATTAAAAGTATCAGCTAGCTGTATTTCTTGAAATCGAGGGACAAATTTCATATGTTCTAAGAATATATTATTTATTTAGTTTATGACTTAATGTTCAATATTCTTTGTTTTGTTTTCAAAACAATGTAGGTACTTATATAAATTATTGTTCGTTATAGTAAAATGAATTAAGATAAAAATGTATCTAAAAGTATAAATAGTTATGTTATGTAAATCATGAGTTTTACTTCCCCAAATTATGTCACTGATTGCTTTATTATCAGTAAATATTTTAAATTATTTATGTGCAATTTTAACAAATTAATATTTTCTAAGTATAAGTACTTACCATTTTTATTCTAATTGTGTTTTTTTTTTAATGATTCTATGTAAGAACTTTAGAGGTAGACGGTGTACCAATCAGCCAAAGAATAATAATTGAAATAGACACTAGTGGCCTTTTTGCATGTGTATACATGATGTATAATATATATCATGATATACATAGAATATTGGATTACTATTTTTCCCAGTTCAGGGGCAGAATATATATATCTTAAGCCAACCCAACTTGTATGAAACATTTATTATTATACTTATTCACTCATTTATTGTTAATCTCATTTAGTATAAAATAAAAAATAATGAAGGATGGGCAAAATACTATAATATGTATAGCAAATTATAAATGTATTAAAGCTTTTTCATGGATTGAAATAGTAGATTGATCCACATAATAGCTCATTATGTTACCCATTGTAATTTAATATATTAATGTAAAACAAATGTAATTAATTATTAATATATGAACCGAGATGAATGGTTGTAATTATACTTTAAGTTGAAATAAGTGAAAATATTTTGTTTTGCTTAAAAATAGATGTTAGATGATTCTGTTTTACATCATTGAGAAGAAGCCCAATGTACATTACTTTTATATATGAGCATTGTGTATTAAATCGATGTTAATTTTCAACTAAGCATTGTTACAGTACAAATTTTACCATTTAAATTGTAATAAACTTGGTATTGAAGAGAATCGCATCCTAATTGGAAGCATCAATGCTCATTAATACTAAGCCTCGATACATTTTTTATGGTTGATTAAATTTCACTTCTCTTTTTTTTTCTCGTTAATTAAATAATCATTTATTAATATTTACGATAAACAATGTATACTATAAAATTACTTTTTAAGTAATAAATCATAAACAGAATTCCTTTTAAAATCTTCCCTAATCCGTTTGGCTGTAACTTTGTTGTTTCCACGGTAGCCTCTTTGATAGGCATCAACTTCCAAAAGTTTTCTTCTGGGTATATGTCTTAATGCATTCGTCCAATCGTTGTCTATTTTTAAGTCAGCCATAATCATTATCATCTAAAAAAGTTGTATATATGTACAAATAATAGTATTATAAAAAATAATTTTTCATCATCATTCTATTCTAATGTCTATGGACGACTGGTAAAATAATAATTCTATTATATTAATTTATCTTATAAACAAGTAACAACAGTACAAATATTAATAGCATATAATATTATTGGAGGAAAATTTTGTACTACCGAGTACAGAATTAATGTGTATGTGCAATCATACCAAAACAATGTTTAAGATAATGGGATAAATATTTTAAACACGTCTAATAATAAATATAACTATGGAATCAAGAGTTTTATAACTGTTTAAGATTAAGTAAAAACTAATAAACAACGTCATTTATGTTTGTGAGGAAATAAAGTAAACTGTTTTTTTTTTCAAATTTAATTTCAGACAAACATATTGTAGAAACTAATCAAAGACCTAATACTATTGGTCAGAGCATGATGTAATTCTAGCATGCAGACTTATAAGCACTTTTCTTCTTGACCTGGTGATCTTTGCACATGCATATTAGTCTCCCCATTACCAAAGTAATAAGATATTCATAAATGTATTTTTTTTAATTTTATGGAAATACGACAATGATTGCACCGCCCGGATGCTAAGTCTATAAGTATAAGGTCTATGTTAATAAAACAATTTTCTATTACTTGGTTGATAGTTAAATTTTTTGTTCCTTGTTTCCAATCCAAGTATAAATCAAGTGGTAACTTGGCCATTCTTAATTTATCTCGTTTTGCTTTAGCTAATGATAATGGTTCAACTTTCATCTTATCGACCATAGCACCTTTACAAGAGAATTAGATAATACTTGAATCATACTATTAAATAGGTTCATAGTGATACTTACCTATAATGTAAACATCATCATAATTGAACTTCTGTAACACATTGTTACAATGTGGTGTAAGATAAACTAATTTTTCCCTTGGAAACAAATCTAAGTAACTTTTGTTGGTATAGTTAAATGGAAATGATGGTTCATCGACATTAATTATTGTTTTGCTCAAACCTTTAAACACCTTACCTTCTTTATCAACGTTACAAAACGTCATATTGAATGGATCACAATGCGTGCGATTATAAGACCACAATAATAATAACTGCTTGGCACAATTTGATTGTTCTTTAAGCGACATATGTCCATCATAACTACAATCAATTATAATGTTTTGGCCATATAACATTGATTCGCATAAACGATAATTGTAATAAGAATTTATCTGTTGTTCATATATTCTATGGAACATACTATTTCTTTGTAACCCATATTCAATGTGATCATTTTGAGGAGTATTTGCATAACGTTCCAAACGTTCAGCCCGTTTTTCTAATTTTCGAACAACTCTATTTTCTTTTTTTTTTTCAATCAAAAACAAATATCTCAAATGTTTCATACGTGCTGATCGAGAATGTAATTCTAACAAATTTATCCATTGATCAGTTCTGAGTTGGCTCGGTATTTGTTCACCACTCTCATAAAGTAAGTCAATTTCAAGTATTAAACGTTTTAATTTTGACAATGTTTCTTCATCACCACCGGTAATTTTGTCATAGTCAATATTTTCATACAATTTAACAGAATGGTTTTCATCATTTGACGTTTCTGAAACCTCAGATTTCATACAGTAATATCGACTAACATTGGGTACATTAGTACAAACTTTTAAAGAACTAAAACACTTTTTAGGAAGTTTAAAGTTTTTGGTACATGGCCTTAAGTTATTTAACACTATTAGCCCAAACCTGGTAAAAAACATTTTTATTTTATACAGTTTAATATTCTAACTTCTGCTTTCATAAATTTCGGAGCGCTCAGGCTTTTATATACTTATCTATGGCTTAGGCTTCAGCAACGGTGACCGGCAGCGTGAGCCGTGAGCTGATAAGTCTGCAGTCTGGACAACAAATTAAGATATTGATTGTTATCTTATTATTTATATTATCTTAAACCGTGGTTTGGACCACGATTATGGTCTATAGATAGTCAGTATGCGTTAAGAAAGTTGAATAAAACAATTAAAAATATCAAAATAGATCCCTCTTTCCTGTGCTAATTTAAATGATTACAATATTACAATATTATAACTTAATGGTGTTTTTGTAAAACAAATCAAATATATAGCGGTTTGTTTTTTGTACGTTTCAGACCAAAAACCTTAAAAAAATAGCCATACTTAGGATGGACCGATTTCAATAATTTGAATTGAATTTGCAACAAATATTTGAATTTATCTTTTCTAGGTTATTGTGGGAATCGATTTTTGAAATTTCAATTAAAATTGTATATAAATCTCATTTTATTTTCTCAAATTCTTAGTATACATTTTTAAGTAAATAAAAGAGCTATTCAAAAATCTACTTTCGCAATAATCTGGAAAAAAAGACTATTATGAGATCAAATATGTAGCTTCTAAAGTAACATTTGTTACATATTCGTTTCATTTTAAATTTATAATAACGATATTTATGTCTAATAACCTCAGATGTTGAAGCCTCTTAAATATAAAAAAAAAAAAAAAATAACGATATTTATTTTATTTGAATTCATTATGTATTTTTTTTTAAACATTATTTAGTTTATATTTTTTTTATTATGCATTATTATTGCATAAACAATTGGTATTGGCTAAACATATTTATGGTGTAACGGCCGTAGTTATAACATTTAACAATATATTTTGTTCATACACAATTAATAAGTGGAAGATTAAGAATCATCTAGACAATAAATAAACTATAATCATTACTGTTACGTCAACTCAAAACAATTTCTTTTCTTAACGAAGTTCAGTGATTTCTTCGGAAATTTTATTTTGTGTTTACTGTGACTTTTCAAATAAATAATTAAGTAATAAATAAATAAGTATTATGCTTATCTAAAACGACAGAATTTTCGCAAACGTCGAATATTTCCATTTGTCGACTAATTTAAATGTACTCGTATGTTTATACAGTTTTTATTATTATTATTATTATTTATATAGTATTTATTTAGTACCAAACAGGAAAATTCAAACATAAGATTACACGACTAATATCCTTTTTTAGTATTCTGCATTACACTATTTGTGTCTGAAGCGTTTAACCAACAAATATGTATTATTTTTTTACAACTACTTAAATTTTTTCGACCGGTTATTGTCAAATGTTATTTAGACCATTCGACCATTTTTGTTTAAATAAATACTAAATTCTTATACAAATATTTTTGCCATTATTTTATCCAAGTTCGGCTCTTACTATAGAACTGCGAATAACACTTACATTGTTTTTCAAAAATTGTATAGCTGGTTTTGGAACTAGGCGCCTCATATATAAACTGTACTTTTTTTTGGTCAAAACTCAAATGTGTAAAATTATAATAAATGAAATCGAATATTTATTTACTTTTGATATGTTTAGCACCTGTACCCTGTCGGGCCAGACCGATAAGCTACCCTCAGAGTGTTACAATCCGCCCACGCGTCCGACGGTCGTTGTGGAGTCAGACAAAACGATCCGTGGACCGTGGGATAAAGAACTCAACACAGAGATACTGTTGTTTTGGTGCGGCATTCATATGAAAGGTATTTATTATGAATAATATTATGAAATCGGTGTTAAACGAGTGTCTTGGACCAGAGCGTCGCAAACTATTATTTTATGTATCATGCAATAATTATAATTGTATATATTTGGCTTCCCCTCAACTGGCTGTTATTTTTCTCGTCCTTACAGGGGTTTATATTTATATATACAGCGGAATTTTAGATTTGTTCAGCTTCGATGCGCAGCTTAGGAATTAATGTTTTTACAATGATGTCTTTTTATTTTCATTTTCTATACTGCTAAACCAAATCGTTCTTCTTTCACTATAGATCAGAAATCGTACCTGAACACATGAGACAACATTTTTAAAAGTTCACTCCTTCACCTTTTTTAAAATCGAGCGAAACACTAAAAAAAAAAATGTAAATATTTTTCTTACTTGCCCTTCGAGTCATAGTGGTATTACATTGAAACTACCTATTTTTTTTTTTATTGAAACTACCATCAAAATAATTCGAAAAAACTAAAAGAAAATTAAATGTGTGCCTCAAAGGGTTAAATTTAAAAAATAATCGAATTAGTTCCAAATTTGATAACGTTCAACTAATTGTCGGTCGACATATGTTCTGCTGTAATTATTAGCTCATTTTTTATTAAACCCTCGGCCAAAATGTTTTAATCTAATCTTAGTATATAGTTATTTCCAGATCGGAGACAATCGAAAGATTGAACTCAACGTGACAGACAAAGAAGACGGCGGTCGGTGACGCAGTGACATCGCGACTCCAGTTGTTGGTGCCATCAAGCCATCGCTTCTGGATGGCTACTACCATTGAGTATATATTACTCAATATAATATATACTCAATGCTACTACGTTTACTGTTCACCTTTGGCCGTCCGTTAAAATATTATACTTGCCTGTTGATTAAAAAAAAAAAATAGAGCTGCAAAAATCATTTTTCACGGTCAGAGCGAACTGTTCACACAGCTGACTAAGCAGTGAGGCATTTCCTATGTATATATCAACATTTTTTCACTACTATTATTTTTGCCTTTTATAATTGTTTTGGGGTTTTCCAATATTATTGTTTTAGCTTCGATGCAGTTTAATTATTTATTTTTAATTGTATTTTTTTTTATCGAATTACGTCTTATTAATACTTATTGTTAATACATGTTAATATTATTTATGAACAAATTAAATATATAATACATTTTTGTAATTTTTTTATTTTACTCTGTTTTTTTTATACTTATTACTTATTAGCTTATGAGGCTTTTTTAACACATTTTTGTCATTATAGTGTTTTTATCGATATTTATATTTATACCATTACAGATTCAAATCGAAGTGTTTATTTGAAATTTATGTAATAATTCATTATTCATATAGACCTGTGACTATTATAAAATAATTTAAATACAATAATTACTAAAAACCAAACTCTTTTACTCTCCTCTACTTCTTTTATAAAAAAGCAAATTCTAAATTATGTTGAATAAATAATTGAATGTAAAACATACAAACATTTTTTACAACCACTGAAGCCGAAGAAAACATATTGTAAACTTAATGTCGTTTGCACCAGCTATACTTGAAATCTAAGTAGAGTTAACGGTTTAACCTATAGTTTCAATACCATTCAACTACTCTTAAATTTTAAGTATAGTTGGTGGTAAACCGTCATTAATCCATTTACACTGATCTCCCTAATGACTTTTACTATTTAATATCTTTCTTTTCTTTTAATATGTCCAAACCATGACAATTTATATTTTATTATCTATCCAACCTAATCACTTCACGTTACCCACTCCACGCATAACATTTCAACATTTTAAAGTATTACTTTAGCACCTTTGCGTGGTTTTAAGCGAATAGCCATTTAATATTGAATAAATTAAAATTTGTTCAACCGAGGGGGCTAAAATCAATATTTATTTAGGGAAGTTGACATTTTAGGCCACTTGCATTTTTCTGTGCCAATTATTTTTATAAACATAATATAGTTCGAAGGAACGAATCATATAATATATATTAAATATATATATATTTATATTTAGTCTTAGGTATATAGTATACTATATAGTGTATAGATTGAAATAGAAAAAGCGTAACTTAGCAATGAAAAATAATTAAAAATCGCTGTAAAAATTAATAATTAAATCGAAACGGTTGTCTTGTGATAATATATTAATTGAGGGGGTTTCTTACTTTTTTAAGTGGGAATTTATACTTAAGGAGAACAGAAAGCGCAATTTATTAAGGGGAAAAAGATTTATTATACAAAATATTTTACAAAATTTATCTAGTAACACTTTTAAGTATGCCGACTAATTTTAATGTAATAGCATATTAAGTTTTTCTAGTTATAAAACTTTTAAAGTTATTTTTCTCGATTATGGGTAAGGTTGATAAAAAATGACTTTCGTAGAAGTCATTTTCCGGCATATCTATTAGACGGAATTCAATTTTTATATTTTTTATGTGAACCTTACTTTTTTCTCTATGTGGTTTATAAGCAGATTTTTGATTTAGCTATCAGAAAATGAAATGGTTGTATTAGGAAATACCATAAAAAGTAAAAATATAAACGCTTATAATCAAATTTTGAAGACAAAAATAAAAAATCGGTCTTTTAGCCTCCATAGAGAAATGTTATACTTAATAAAAAAAATAATTGAAATCAGTTCGGTAGACACTACAAATGTGACTTTCAGAAGTAGACTTCACGTTTTAGTCTTTATTTGTATAACATTTGAGTATTTGACGCTTTCCGTTCCCATTAATACTTCGGGACTGATTTAAAACCGACTCAAACCGCTTCTGAGAAGTTCTTATAGTCCCGCCCTCGAGACCTTCACTATAGTTCGCTTTAGTTTTTTTTTTTAGTATAACGATGCTGATATGGGTGACGAGATGCGTGACAATATGTTGGAGAAAAGGCGCATGCACACTTACAAGCCAGTAGTGTTAGACAATCGATCGACTGTGGTTGTATAGAGGCATGCGCTCATTTGCAACACGCCTTTCATTCAGTATATAATGTTCATCCGAAGTGTTCGCGCAACTGTTGAGTTTTAGATCGACACTTTTTTTTTGCTTTTGTTTAAATACTCTTTAGTATTTAAATCGAGCATCTTGAAAGTGAACACCCACCAGGCTAGACCGTGTTGCGTCAAAAGGAAAAAAATAACATAATATTATCTTTACGTTTATATCCTATAAAGAAAAACTTGTGAACCATGTCATTTTTTCAAGAAGAAAACGACGAGTGAGTTTTTATTTTTTAACTAAATCACCATAATAATTAAAAATAAAAAAAATGTTAATTATTTAATATTTTTATTTTACATTTTATTTGCGAGAAGAGATATGTAGATATGTAGATTTTTAATTATACTAGCATATATTTTATAAACGTGAAAAATGTTTTATTGTTTAAGGCATAATTTAATTTTAGCGAAATTTTGCTATCATTACCTTTTAGTTAAAACTACTATTATTTAATATTATTGTACATAGGTATAACTATTATTGTTTTATTATGAATGGTACACAGGTCACTGCGACAATTAATTACTTTATAACTACTTATGTTTACTATACTACTCATAAACTATTAACAGATTTCGAACCATACTAATTCATAAATAATTGAATAATTATATAATAGATCATTTAAGTAAAAAAAATTATAATTTAGTATAAAATGTTATCGAAGTAAAGCGATCAACTAATTATAATATTGCGAATTTCATTGTTTTTTTATGAAAACATATTGGTTTATATCGCTCCACAATATTATAAATAATTTCAAAATATTCATATATTTTTATATTTTTAAAAGCTCTGTATCACTCTTGAAACTTAAATGAAAAGGGTTTAATTATAATCGGTGTTGATTTCTCCCGTTATTTTTTTTGTCGGTCCATCAAGGATTTATTTTAATTATTTCTCGTCTCTTTCCTTTAAAAATCTTGGCTAGGCTAAGCTAAACTACATTGTGTGTGTGTGTGATATTTTTAAAAAATAATTTGACTTGTCTTTTTAATTGTTGACGTTAGTTACAGCAATGTCGTTATCAACTAATATGCTTTTAATATTCACAATTATTTATACAAATTAGTAGTTTACATTGGCAGACAAATTTTTTCTAATAGGCTAAAATATTTTAATTTTTAAGCGTTAAAAAAAACTATAGAAATATGTTTAAATTTTAACGCGTAAATAATGAGAATTTTATTATTGGCTATAGTGCAATATAGGCACTTTAAACAGCGGCCTTTTTTTTTGTATTTGGCGACCTAATTAATGATTTATGATAACTATATAGGTAGATATATATAGGTATGTATGTATAACATAATAAAATATAATACAATTATTACTATGTAAACAGGTATGCATTTTTTCATGAATATTAATTATCTTTTCTTTAAATCATAATAGAATTTACAATACCATTCGTCTAAAACATGATGATAATTTTTTCATATAAGTAATAATCATGTAGAATATAATCGCATGGTTATGAGAAGAAAAATAAAAAAAATAATGTGTTTTGTTACGATTTGTTTTTATCTTAACATATGTATGTACACGTGCTAGCTAGGTTAATTTTATTTACGATTCCATTCGTGGTCCATACACTCAAAATACGATACCTACGTTATGTTATCTACTTATATAACACATATTAGGTATTATTATTATTATTATTATTAGCATAATATCGATGGTACACGGCAAAAGGGTCTAAGCGACATATTTCATAGTTTTCAGGATGGCCACTAAACGTTCTTTTTTTGATTTTACTATTGGAACGAAGTTCCTTATCTCGGGTTAGCGAGGGGACCTAACCAAGAAAAAATGTAACGCGTTATGAAAACTATATCTCCAACAAAAATCTAACAGTGAAAAAAGGCCAAGTTTCAGACCCCCTCCCAAAAAAGTCAGCCTATCAAAGTATTGATATCTACATTGTGGCCAAGTCTGCTATTTCTTTAGTTCATAACCACATTTCACTCCTACTTTCATGAGCAACACTGCTCTTTTATTTGTATTGTTTATCACTTGGCCAGTTTCTGAATGAAATATGACCTTTCTGAATGAGGCATAAAACAGAATTGGCCGCAATTTTAATATCACTACTTTGATTGGTTAATTTTTTCGAGAGGGGATCTGAACCTTTTTATTTTTTTCTGAGTTCTCTTCTTCCCATCTCCCACATAACTCCTAAGTGAGTACATTTGATAACGATGTTTCATGCTTAATTCAGAAACTGGCCAAGTGTTAAGCAATACAAATAAAAGAGCAGTGTTGCTCATGAAAGTAGGAGTGAAATGTGGTTATGAACCAAATAAATAGCAGACTTGGCCACAATGTAGATATCACTACTTTGGTAGGCTGACGTTTTTGGGAGGGGGTCTGAAACTTGGCCTTTTTTTACGGTTAGGTTTTTGTAGGGGATATCATTCCTTTTGGCGGGCTTCAGTATTATGGGCGAGGTTTTTTTTTTAAGAGGCATTGAATGTATATTGTACGTCGTACATTTTCTCTTGTTTTTACGTGTTTTTATATCAACTACGTAGATATGTACATAAAACTACACTTTGTAGTGAAGCTACAATTTATACAAGTAGCCACTTGCATAATGATTAATAATTTATTAATTATTAATAAACCACGATAGTAATTAAATTAGTCATAATTAATATAGTGTAATTTAATTCATAAATTAGTGAAGCAAGAATTTATACAAGTAGCCACTATAAATCTAGTTTAGTTATATAAACGTATAAACGAAACCTAAACGTTTAAGTGTACAGTTACACTTTATAATAAACCACGTGACAAACGTAACAAGAATAAAGAACACTGCTACACTGCCATACATGTGAACACGAATTAACAAAGGTACAAACAACGACCAAATGATGGCTGACTAGAGACGTGGGAATCAACAGCGCCCTGTACCGGCTGTAGTGCGGCGAAGGTCATTAATCCCCACCTAGCGCATTAATTTTGAGAAAATTGCAATTTTCAGATTTTTCTCTGTACTTACACTATAAGACCCACTTTTGTGCCAAATTTCACGTTTTTACCTATACTGGAAGTGTCTTATAATTTTGATGATGAGTGAGTGAGTCAGTAACAAAAATGCAAATTTTGAAATCCTCCCATTTTGAAAGGGCTGAATATTAAGGGCTCATATTTTTACAGTGTCCTAAGCTACATGATTTTAATCTATGTTCCAAATTTCAAAAGCTTATCTTAAGAAGAAGCAGAGATATTAGAGTTAGAAATACCGGGTAAATTGGTTCGCGTAAAGATACATTAGCATTGCTAGAACTTGGCCGGTGCGCTAAAATGTGGTGCGGTCGAGCGTGATCGGTTCCCAGGTGTGAGAGGACTGGGTTCAAATCCGGCTCACCTCTCAACACATTTTGCATTTTTTTACAACTTTTATGGTAATTTATATTGCAAGAAGTCTAAAAACTTATAAAGTATAAATATTTTGTTACTACAGAATGCAATGTAGGTTATCAAGTACTTTTAAGGGTAAAAATGTATTCTGTAGTAGTAAAATATTTATATTTTATAAGTTTTTAGACTTCTTGCAATATAAATTACCATAAAAGTTTAAAAAAAAGTTGTAAAAAAATGCAAAATGTGTTGAGAGGTGAGCCGGATTTGAACCCAGTCCACTCACTCCTGGGAACCCATCACGCTCGACCGCACCACATATAATTTTCATAACGAAACCTGCATACGAAAGGGACTTCGTTCCAAACGCGTGTCCCGCGACACGGACCAGTTTTTTTTTTTTTGTTGACAATAACTTTTTTTAGTAAGAATTGAGAATTATTCAATCATATAATTATATTATAGTATATATGAATTATAATATATTTTTCTAATCAATAGTTATAAGCCGTGTGGCTTAGATTTTTTGCCGTGTCACCATCGATATATGTTATATTATAGATTATAGATTATAAGCAAATGCGTATTTACGGGTAAGGAAGGAAGATTTAGGGTATTGGACCCCCCAGACTAAATATAAATATAAGCATTTATCTGATGATACGGTTTTTTATGTTACTATACCATTTAAATACCCCTCCACCGCTCCCCTCAAGACTATTTTTGAAAATACGCTACTGCTGTTATTACAATTAAAAATTGAATTTAGGTACTTTTTTAATTCAAAGACGATTTACATATTTGTATTAGTTTATTAACAAAAATGTAAAAAATAAATTTTAATTCATTTTTTGATCTTATTATGTTTTTCAGTGTGTAATACATCTATATATATTTTTAATTGTCTAAGAAACCTTTTAAATATTTAACTTGTATTTTGATTTATCCGTTAATGGTCACGAACCATTCTATTTTAAGTAAATAAAAAATAGTATTTAGCAAGCAGTATATTAATTTATTCTAGAATGTTATTAATTTGTTTCCAAGAAAAAAATGTACTGTGAACATGCTTTATGTAGGAATTAAACAATATTTTTTCTTAATTTAAAATTATCAAAAAAATATTAGGTCTACCATATACCTATATATGATACGCCCTTCGTAAGTAGGCTACAATGTTTTTGCATTTTAGTCACTATTTAGCTAGTACTTATTCTTTGTTTATTTCTGGTAGATATGAAGACGTTAGTACCGTTTTGGTTAGAAATTCGCATCTCGATCTTATGGATCAGGATATCCTTTATCACTTGGCATTGGGAAGCGGTTCACACGATTTGAGAGCAATGTTTGGCGACGTAAAAGTAAAGTATAATTTTTTTAACCGTGTAAATATGTCTCAAGTCTGTTTTCCCTAAGAAAAAGAACTAAATAAGTACACGAGTAAATATATATTTATAGGAGTTATTTACATTTATTTTGGTAATACTGAAATATAATTCGTTTACAGTTAAACCAAGTGTCTTATTAATATAGTTAACTATGCTCTAAAATAATTATTAACCAATGGTGGGCAGTAGTTTTTTCCTATTTGTAGATATTCTGACACAGTAATATTCCAATACCTAGATAATTTTAACTAAAATGTACTCACTTGGTTCGTTAACTAACTATCATTCTCTTTAGTCTTTAATAAAAGATTTTGGAATATACAATACACAAAACTCCTTATAGGCCTCTTCACAAATTTTTTTAAAATTAATTATGGCTCTACAATTAACTATTGATTTTCAATTGGCAACCTTTTTTTTTTTCAACCAAGTAATCGCTAACCTGGGAGGGAACTGTTTACACACTACTTCCTCCCTCAATTAGCAACCTACCTATTTAATTATACAATTAATTTAAGCTAATTATACCAACCAGTTGTGAATACGTTTTTGTAATTTGTAATAGAATTAAAATTATAACTGATAGATATATTTGGTACATAATTAATGGTATTTATTTTAGTTGTATGTACATTTTTAAAAAATATAGTTTGTGTGTATGGGTGGCACGCCAAAACGTATGGAACAATTTGCATACCGGCTGATGGAGGAAATATCGTACAAAATACCGACGGGTACAACATTACAAGATATTAGTCGTTACTCTTACAGATACTCGATGTACAAAGTAGGACCAGTATTATGTATAAGCGTAAGTAAATAAAGTATAATTTAATATTGCTCTGTTTTGGCACAGAGAAAAACTATTTATTATATGTAAATTATAATTATTTAATTTTGAAATTGATATGTAGCATGGGATGGGAATGCCTTCAGTTGGCATACTTCTACATGAAATCATCAAACTCATGTTCCATGCTAAGGTCGTGGATCCAATTTTCTTTAGAATAGGCACTAGTGGAGGTATCGGAATAGAAGGAGGCACTGTGGTCATCTCGGACGAAGCTGTTGATGGAATGCTTCAAGCGAATTTAGAAATAGTAAGTGAAATAATTTAATTATGCAACTACTAAACATACTTGGTATTTGATATATTTTATACACATTTTGAACAAATTAAATTATTTATAGCAAATTTTGGGAAAAGTTGTAAAGAGGAGCTCAGTCTTGGACAGAAAGTTGCAATGGGAATTAAAATCTTTGGCGGAACCAGATGACCCTTATCCAACAATTATTGGCAAGACTGTTTGTACTAGTGACTTTTACGAAGGTAAACTTACATATTATTATTATAACATAATTAGTATTTTATTATCTAGATCGGTTATTGTAACTTCTAATTCCTCCACTATACACAATTTTATTTATGACTCGTATACCGTAGGGCCTATAACTTCTTATCAAAGTGCACCAATTTTTATACTAACAAACCCTTATCGAAATTTCTAATTCAATTAATGTGTCACAGGTCAAGGGCGCATGGACGGAGCATTTTGTGACTTTTCTGAAGAAGAAAGACTTGAATATTTAGAAAAACTTAAGTCAAGTGGCGTGAGAAACATTGAAATGGAATCGTTGGCATTTGCTGCATTCACACATCACGCGGGAATCAAAGCAGCTGTGGTCTGCGTTACTTTGTTGGATAGACTGAAAGGCGATCAGGTACATAATATTAGTACCTAATGACCTTTTGAATCAAAATAAAATGTTAAGCATTTTTAATTTATACCTATCAAAATAATAGTAAAACATTTATGATTTTACTGACTTTTTACAGATTCATTATCCCAAGGAAGTGTTGGACGAGTGGCAACAAAGACCACAAAAATTAGTATGTCGTTATATAAAAAAATATTTATCAAAAAGGGGCCTGATATTAAATAATCATTGTGGATCTATAAATGTTAAGAGTCCTAGGAGGTTTAAACTTGTACAGCAGGAATCTGAAAGCTATGATTAACATATTTAACCACAATTTAAAATTTTACTATTTATACAAATAATACTCATTACTCTTTAAAATTTAATTACTTTTACTAATTTTTTATTCTATTTCTATATTTATTATTAAGCCATTAAGTAAATTCATTGTACTTATAGTTAATCTCATAATAATATTATAGTAATATTTTTTCTCTCTATAGAATCCAGTTAAAGAATCCATTAATAACTAGATTATAAATAAATATATATAATAGGTAATATTAAAACATTAAGTTCCTGTTGAATACATTTTAAGTTGAATAAAGTTATAAAGGAATCTATCAATTTAAACAATCTAATGTTAAGTTAAAAATATCTCAACAAAATACTTTAATACATTACAATTTATTGTCATAATAATTGTGATAAATTGCAATGCTGTAGAGCCTATTATAATACAACTAGCTTTCATATTAGTTACTTATATTTATGTCATTATAAAACAAAACTGATATTAAATACTTACTCAATACTAGAGCTAACCTCTCTCTGATCTTTTGATCCACTTAATCTGACAAATATACTAGGCTATACAAATCTCACAAAGTTATCCCTGAAATTGCCACACGTTAAGAATTTATTTCAAGACAGTGTGAATAACAATGCCAAATACTTTAGCACTGACAAAAAAACAAAGATTTAATAAAATAATCTTTAGTAGTTAGTTGGCTACTAGTAAATTATACTAGACCTAATCACTACTGGTGAACAATGTGCTTGGAGGCTATAACATTTAAGTTTAATTAAATGATATAATAAGATGCCAATAAATAAGTTAAGTAATTAGAATTATTTTTAAGATCAGTGTTTTTGTAAGATGTTTTAGTACAACAATGTATTACATTAAGCTTTCATACTGACAATATTTTTGCTCAAAAATAATTTGTGCGTAAAATTAGTTAACACCAAAATGTAACAAACTAAAATATTAACACAGTCATAAAGCATATTTAACTAAATTGAATACCATTTTATTATTATTGTCTACAACATAATCAAAATAATTTTGACAGCCATAGTAATAATTTAATTTTTTTTTTAATATATTTAACTTAAATAAGTTTAGTTAGTAAATAGTTAATTATTTAGTCTTTTCAGTGTAGATTAATTATATATTTAAAATAAATGTCAAATGATAAAGAACAAATGGAACCTCCTTATTTAATATGTATAATTTTGTTAATAAAATAAATTATTGTTAACTTATTATTTATTACTATGTGTTTGTTTATTTTTAAATAATTTATTATCCCATATTGATTATTGATATTAGCCTTGGTTCCAAAAACCACAAATTCACTAATATGGGTAATATTAGCATTTTGATTATATCAGCATATTTTTAGGTTAATCTGTTTTAGTTTTTAGAAAGAAGAAGAATAGGTACATACAAAATTATACTTCTTTAATAATAAAACAACATTGCAGTCAGTAAAAATTAAAAAAAAAAAACAATAGAAATTGTTATATTTTTTACATTTAAATTATTATAGCTTTTGGAAACAGAAATTTTAGTCCAATAGGTTGAAAGTTGTCTCTTAAACTAAAACAATAGAAATTGGGCTACTTTATGAAGAATAGAAGTTTTTCCTGTAGGCATGCTTATGATAAAAAAGACCAGAGTAATAGCAAGCCCCTTAATAATTTAGATATTGCATACATACTACGTAAATTTACTCAATTTAGATTTTTAAACTAATGTTTATAGTAAAGAATAACATGATGAAATATTTTAATAAACCCTTATACACAAATAATCTATAGCATACATGTATTTTGGCATACATATTACCATAAACAGCACATACAACAGATTGAGACCAATTACCAGCAATCTCCTTATACTATCTAAGTTGTAGGATTGTATGTTTTACAATTAATCATTATTTAATTGAAAATTTAGGTTCTTATTAGTAATTTATTAGTCAAAAATAAATATTAATAAATAACATCAATAACTTTTTCACGTTAATTGTTTGTAATTTTGAGGTGGGGGTGTTATAGTTGCCTAGACACACACATTAAGGTACTGTGGTATCCCACAGTGCCATAGAAATAATTATTTAATTTTTTTTTCCTGCCTAGCATGGGCAGAGATTTAGAGGGGCAGGGGGCTTGGTATTCTATTAACCTTAAAACTTAAAATTAGTACTACATTCATTTTTATTTCAACAAATCTCTCACTACAAAATAAATGTATTAATTATGAAAAGCACCAATTTTAAGGTTTTTAGTACCCCGAGCCCCCCAAATCTCCGCCCATGCTGCCTAATTCAGAAAACCACTAAGAGGGAACTATTGACTTCCTATAATATATTCTATTACTTATATGAAATAAAATGATGAAATAGATCAGATTACCTTTGTAAACATTTATTATCAATTATTGTAAATTAATGTACTTATTACAACTGTAATTGTTTAAGTTCTTTTAATAAATCATTCTCCAAATTCAGTCTAGACATTTGATTATGGTCTAATTCTTTTCCAGAAGCTTGTAAAGTTTTAATACGGTTAATTCCTTTTAAATCCTGTAAAATATTAAATTTATTTTAAAGAAACAATATAAATAGAATAAGTTTTATGTAGTATACATAGGTTAAGTCTGTACATTGATTAGACGCTTTTTTTTTTAAGAATTATTAATAGTTTTACAACTATGAAATCCAGAAATATGTGTATAATATGTTGCCTAACTACAGAGTGATTTATTAAGCATAAGACACTCATTCTTTCGGATAATATTACATTGCAAACATTTAGGAAGGGAGGAGGGTTTGGTGTTATTTTTTTTTGCGTGCATTACTCTCACAAACTCTACCTCACATTCTAAATTTTTATGTTTAATAACTTCAAAGTAACTACCCAAAACTGGTCATCAACCAGTCAACATTTTTAGAAAATTATTCTTTGCTTAAAAAGTTAATTAAATTCATACATTAACATTTAAGTTTCAAAAGTTGATAGTGCTCTAGAAAATACTAAAAAAGTTAAATATTTAGTTATTTCATAATTATGTATAATAATTAAAATAATGTTTTCAAAAAGAAAAACTATAAAATTGCAGTTATTTTAATAGAAAATAAGTGTCTTATCCTTAATGAATCACCCTGTGTAGTACATTCAATCTATGATAATAAAGTTCATTTAAGGTTAATTTTATTACCGATTGTACTTTTTTCAATCTTGATTTTTTTTCATCATCTGCAGATGGTTCAGAATTATTGACGATACTTTGTTCAACAATATTTGTGCCATTTGTTTCTTGCTGTTGTTTTGCTTGACGTTTGGCTTCACGCTTCTTTTTCATTTTTAAGTATGCTTTTGACTGATTTTCTAAAAAAAGTACATATTTGATGTTTTAGAGTGTTATTTATATAATTTATGTAAAAAAATAATTACTAGTATCAATCGGGTCTTCGTGTAATGAAGTTGGTTTAAAATCTGAATTTCTAGCATGTGGTGGGCGATAAACTTGTTTGGATGCTAAATAATTTATTTACAAAAAATATAATATTTGTAATAAAAAAATATAATGAATAATTATTATGTACCAGTTGGTTGACTTGGAGCAATTCCTTCAACAGCTTTATATACTACAGTTGGGGTTTTGAATGTTCCTTGTGGATAGCTTTGCCAACTAACTTGAAACAGTTCGTCTTTGCCCCAAGGTTTTTCATGTAATAAAGCACCACTGGAGTGCCATACTTTGAACGTATTGCCTACTTTAAGACGTGGAGCTGTTGTAGCAGTAATAAAATGTTGTCCATCTGGAGACCACTGAAGAAATGTTGTGTCGGGTATGTCTATCTTTTTAATTTTCTTTTTGCCATTAACATCCCACAGTTCTGCATTTCCTTGGACGTTACCAAAGCCAGCCAAAAGAAGAAGTATTAAATTAGTTAAAGAATATATTACGTTAGCCTTTTAATTTTTGTTTTTTTCTCGTAAAAAAAAAACCCAGTTACAATATTCTCAGTTCTAAGCTAAAAATCACTAAGTACAGATCGAAGTTTATACACATGGTTTTTAAATGTTTCTAAAGGATATTATTTCCAAATTGGTTATAATAAATAGCATTAAATGTCCCAGTTCCAAATTCCATAACGACATCACATTTCAAGTTATATAATGTAGCTTTTGATGGCATAAAACCATATACAACACAAAATTCATTTGACGAAGGGCTCCATGAAGCGGTATACAAAGGTCCTTCTCTATCTTAAAAATGAAATAAAACACAAATAATACAATTTGCTTAAAGTACAATATATATTATGCCATACTACTTAAAATAATTTTTTTAAACTTACCAACTATAACTTGAGAGGTATCTCCTTTTGTAGTAATTAAGTGAAGACCTTGTTTACCATAATAAGATTGACCCGTTTTATCAACATCAGTACTTGTTAACATCAGCGCAGCTGAACCTTTTTGATTCCAAAACATTTCTACTCTATCGGCCTATAAATTAGGCTAATTAGAACCATTTAGTTTAAACAAAAATTACGTTTTACTTGGAAAAAGCTTTTATTAGCAATAATGCTATTGAAATCTGGATAATGAAATAGACGACCATTTGAAGGACCTGCTTTTGCTGTAAATATTAAATAATTTTATTAATCAAAAGTTAATAAAGTAAAAAAGAATATCAATAAACTAAGGTTATCATTATCACCTGGCAAAAAGCAAAGAATACTAATTTGTTGATTGGCTGGAGAAATTGAATAGTTATTTAGCTTTAATCCTTTTATTCTATGTACTACATTTTCAAAATTAGAATTTTCATAGAATAACACTTCACCATTCAGAAATCGAGCACAAACTTTCTCATCAGAAGACCACTGTGGAGCCCTAAAAAATAGTGTATTATATTCATACATATTTTCAAAATAGTATAATTGGATTTTCTTGCATAAAAAATAATGTTAATTATGATATGTATTTAAAATGTACACAGAAATAGTTTAGCTTGAAAAGTCAAATAATTTTATTATCAAGATGTAATAGTTTTTTTTTTAAGAATAAAAATTATTTATAGCTTATAAATATATAATCCGATCACTTTAAGAATATTGTTGTCGTTGCGTTGGCGGCAACTGGTTTCTACTCCTCAACATTGTCAAAGTTTGTTACCGCCTACTGTGCAAACAGATACAACATGCGGCGGACTATTTTTGGGTTACCCCGGCCATCGGTGTCTTCTTAAAGTAACCGGAGTATACATTTGTAAATTAATATTTAAAAATAATAATAAAAATTCCAGGAAAATGTTTAATTTTAATCAAATATTTTACGAGTTACACTTTAAAAGTATTTTTGGTAAAAGTTTCAGTTAAATTTTACTTTTTTTTGTGACTACTTTATTCTTAAATTTTCAAGAAAAAAAAAGCATTAAGTTCATACTTAAAACTAGGAATAATTGCTCATTTTTATTTCTGTTAATTATTATTTATGTATATTAAAATAAACTAAATGTTATAAAAATTGTACAAATAAAAGAAAAAATTAAAAATTAAGTGTGATTTGTTAATTGTTTAGACAATGTAAGCAATCATAGTAATTACAGTATAAATATATGTATTTTTTTTACCAAAGTTTAGAGTCTCTGTATTCAAAACTTTTAACTAATTCACCATTAACAGTCCTTAAAATATGTACATTAGGACTTCCTTTTGGGTTGCTAGGTGTTGCTAAACAAAAATGGTACAAAGTATAACAAGTTATAGTAAATCAAATATTGGTTTTACTCTATCTCTTACTCATAAAGGGTTCATAAATAACCAGATAGGTTCCTTTACTGCTGTAAACCAACTGTGTTGCTTTAGGATAAACCACTTCACTGATAACTTTCCAGTCGGAAGTTTTTGTAAGTATAACTCTTTAATAATATATAAAATGATAAAAGAAGTACATATTGATAAAATTTAAGTTATATATATATATATATATATATATATATATATGTTTGGCTTACTTGGAACCGTTAATCCATGCAAAATGTTTTCCATTTGGACTAAATATCATAAACTTACAAGCAGGAGATGAGTCAGATGGGAAATTCGGAACAAGATTAAATGGTGCAATACCTTGATAGAGTGCTAACCCTGTTGAACCTCGAACTTAAAACAAATTAAAAATTATCAAGTTGTATAAAATCTTTTTATTTTTATTTTAGTTACCTGCTACGTTTGGGACTGTCATTTTATAATTTGTTTTAATACGATATAAAATGTTATGTATTTATATGCCAAAAATAAATATACTATATAAATAATATTGAGTTATAGCTTAAAGCTTTAGTGTATAACTCATTTTCAATTATATAAATATCTATTGTACTATTAATGGTAAGTTCTAACATTTATGAATTAAACTTTAAAGATAATAGAAAAATTAAATTTCTGACAATAATCATTTTTAAAAATGATCAAAAGTCAAAACCTATACTTCAAATTTCTCAATTTAAATTCTATGGTAGATAACTACTAACAAGTAACTACTCTTCGTATTTACAAAGGTCCTATTTTACTTTTGAGGTTATCTAAGAACCGAATCATATTACTAAAATTTTGCAGTGTGTCTTCTTACACAATTTATGTATTTTATAGATGTCATACAATATAAAATGTACTTTTTTTATTAGAACGAATAAAATTTTTTTTAGGGGTAAATTAATTGGCCAACCATTATTAACCAAAATGTTATGTTAAAATGTATAATATTAGAAATTTCTCTCTTTTTTATAATAAAAGAAATTGTAAACCTATAATATATGTTGATTATCTACACCCCATTGCAGGAAAAATAATCACCCAACGGCCACTCCCTCCTTACCTTTTATTAAATTCATATTTTAAAAATTAACTAGAGATATTCTATTTGAGAAAATTTCTTTTTAATTAATTAACAAATCATCATACTGTCTAATTATATCCTTATATTTAACATTACCAAATATTATGTTTTTATACTATATTATAATTATACAATCACTATATGTATTTAAATATACAAATCTTGTAGTTATACTATTTTTGGGAATTTGAGGGGTACATTTAATTGTATATTATATTATAAAACTCAAATGTCTATGGTTATAGCTAACAAATAAAATTGATACTCATCCTTCGACCTTCACCCCACTCAGAAAACTATTTCTGTTCGATTTGAACAAATAATAAAACATTGGGATAAAATGACTATATAACTTTTAAATAATAATTTATTATAACCTATTATTAGGTTATTACTTCAAATAGGTGAAGTAAAGTATACTAGTTTTATATATTTCAAAGTACGTGTTTTGCTAATTCCTATTTTAAAATTAAACATTTAAAAAAATTGAATAGGATTTACATGAGAAAAATGTATAATATAGAACTTTACCGAACACAATGAATTCCTATTTTAAACTTTTAATAATTACAACAGCATAGGCGCAATTTCAATTTTTAATTTGGGGGTTGGACATTTTTTTTAAATATATATATATAAGTAAATATATTTTTGTATTTCAAAATTGTATGCATAACCTAATTTTTTTTGGGGGGGGGGCTAAGCCCACCTTAGCCCCCCCCGTATTTGCGCCTATGTACAACAGCCTACAAAGAGTTATTCAATCAATGGGCAAAATCAATTTTGATAGTTTCGGGTCTTTGCGATTCGTTAATTTCCACAAATTATCTAGAAGTAGTCACCATATGTTCTAACATAGTTTTGTTCCAAATCTTCCAATAATGGCAGCCCCTCCTCTCCCCCATACAAACTACTAAGTTGATATAAAAAAATAAAATAAAAATACGTTTTTAGAAAATCTTATTGATGTAAATAAATTGTAAAATAATATGTATTATTAGGGACCATGATTAAAGATAAGATTACCTTTAATCGAGTTAGAGACAAATAAAATGACAAATAATATGGTTGTTTACAGCATGAGCTGGACAATACTGAATAGTGAATACTGATACAAATCATAATCACTTAATTTTCCATTGTTGTTACGTTGGCTACCCTGTTACTTGGCCCGCGGTGCTGCTAGCTGCTGTTGTCGATTTGTTTTGATTATCCGATAATGTAAAAATGTTTCTTTCGTCCCTACAGTCAATCCGTTTTTATTTTGCGCGTTATTGTATATGCCGCTTGTTTTAACCCGTCGCCGTTTCGCGTTGGAGTGGCGACCGTTGCCGTGATTTCGACGTATGTCATCTTGTCGCCATGTGATGTATCTTCGGTAAAAAGCTCTACAGAACGGATAGCGTCGCCCCCTCCCTACATCCCGGCGGCTACCCTGTCTTCGGATTATTATGCGTTTTGGATCGACAAAAGCTGTAAACCCAAATCAAAGTAAGTGTTTGTTCAACCTAAGTTTTTTTCACTCGTATATTCATTATACCTTGGGTAATTAGTAACCACCGTTTAAATGGGTGTTGTTTTAGAACTTGGTACTTGATTAAGGTAGTGGGGATGCCACTATATTGATTACAATATTGTTTATTCAGTAGGTATTTGTTCAAAAATGCTTAGTTACTACTGGTTTAAGTAATTCTAAGACGATAGAATATAATCGTTTTTAACACCAATAAAAATAAGTAGTTTGCATAAGTGAATTTGTTTAGTATTCTTGCTGTTTCTGTTGAATAAATAAAAAATTCTCTAAGATAATCGCTTCGTAAATTCGTCTTTAAATTTGGGCTCTTAAAAGAAATTAATTTAAGAACAGGAAAATTAAGTGCCAAGGTAGTTGGTAAGTTTTAAAAAATAATTTTCCCTCTAAATTTAAATTTGTGGTAAATAAGTTCCAGTTTGTTGTGCTTTAAAGAACCTTAAAGAACTCAATAAAATGTAAATTAATATCATTGTTTTTATTTCACTTAATTATTATTTCTGGAGAAGTCGACGATTGTTGTAAATTTTGCGATTGAAAAGTTTTCAAAGTTATCCGTTTCTTGCCAATAGCCACATTTGGCCAAAGGTTAATATTCGTTTTTTTTTATTCTTACCTATTGTTTCTGGGCAAAAGTACCAATTTGTATAAAAGATTTGTAAGTTAACTTCGTAATTGATTACTTTATGTATGCATTTTTTTTTTTAAATTTAATATTTGTTATTATTGGTGTTAATGAGAAAATTAAGAATCTTAGGTTAGCATCATTGATTTTAGAACTTACAGGTGCTGTACATAACAACGGCTACTGAATAGTACATTTTTACAGATATCATGTCATTTTCAAAGAGGTATCTCGCTATAGTTCGATAGGAGGATGTTAGAATCCACGAGCCACTTATGTTTACTAAGATAAGATGGATGTAAGATATCTTTGGTAATAGCGAAGGATGGTATAACATAGTAATTTATAGTTTTTAAAGCATATCCTGTTTATTTGTGTATTCTTTGTGATAGTATTTGCATTTGAAATTATAATACTCATTTAAAAATTGATTTATAATGTTCGATTAAAATGATTAATTTTAAAATTAGTATGACGTAAATGGTTTCTTTTGGAAAAACCTAATAAAGCTAGACAATTTTTAAATTATAATGAAATGGAAACCATGAGTAATGAAATACGTACTAGTAGAATTCAATTTTGAGTTAAATTTAAACTTATATATTTCATACGATAGGGAATTATTAAGAGATAAAACTTATAGGTAATATAACTTAAATTTTATAATTATCTATGCTTAACAATTTACATTCAAGTTAAAACATTTTTAATGAAAGGCCATTCTTAGGAAGAATCAACATTATATAAAATATTCTGTATACCTTTATAGGTATGTAATATAGTAATAGCGTTGAGTATAATTACAATATATACCGGGTTTATCTATATGTTTGAGTATGTTAATAATTAATAAAATGTTTGTTTTAATTTAAAAACAAAAAAAATTGAAAATCAATTATTTAAAAATAAATATTATTTTAAGTATACATTTATGTTAAAAAATGTTAACTGTAGGTATAAACTAAAAATAAAATACATTTATTTTGAATTTATAAACAAAACTTGAGAAACATAAATGTGTTTGAAGATTTTTAAAAACCTTGTGAGTAAAAAATGTGATAAGTTGATGAGAAATAATATTATTGCGTACAATTTAAGTTAGATAATAGTTTAATTACAGTTATAATAAATAACAATTGTTTCCAGTTATTAGGTAATGGATGATAAATTAAAAATGTCTAAAACTTCAGTTGATAAACCTGATGAAATGGACATGGATGATGATCCATGTTCTGAAGAGGATGTTGATAATGGTGCTACATTATTAGATGAAGATGATGACGAAGACGATGATGATGATGATGAAGATGATGATGATAATGAAGACATGGACGATGATCCAGATTATCAAGAAGAAGATGATTCACGAGTATCTACAGGAGCTGCTGTTTCAGTTGATGAGACCTCTTCTAATCCGACTGCTATGGATGTTCGCACTAAAGCAGATGGTATTAAAAAAAAAATATATATATATGGTTTTTATAACCCCAATAATTAGTATGGTGTGGTCTTTAAGACTGCTTATTAATATAAACCTCATGATGTGTTTTTTATTGCCGTAACAATTATGGGTAAAAGATAAAAATTAAACGAAAGTTTAAATACTCTTAAATATTTAATAAAATAATCTTTAATATTTAATAGAAGGTCATTTCGAAGAGACTCCATCATGTTCACCTGCTAGAAGTACAGCAACAGCACTGACATCTTATGAAAATCCATCATTACAAATGAAAAAATTCAATTTAAAAATTAAACGTTGGAAAAGGTAATTAAAACTACACAAGTATTCCAATTAAATGCTAATACAAAATTATTTTTAGAGAGGATACAGAAGGAAAATCTCCATCTGTTTCTCGACCAGAGGAACTCGGAACTCCTACGCCATCATCGGCAGATCCTACTGTAGATGATAGATGCTTATTGTATCAAGAAAGTTGGTAAGTTCATCTTTTTAAGTGGTTTATTCACGTATCATAATATATTACCTAAATTTTTGTTGCAATAAAATAGTTATCTAATATTATTGTATTTTTAGCTTCATTGCGGAGCTGAGAAGGTATTGTTTTTACAACAATGTGTTTTTTAAATTAATTTTATATTTTGTGAACCCACGGTACTTTCTACATCGTTCATGGGTCAACAAATTAAAAAGTTCATCTCTTCTCTTTAAAAATTGAGAAATACACCCAACCTTTACAGTGGTTATATTAATATTTAATATTTCTACTATCTACATATTCACAACAAAACGTTTATTTGAAAGTGCATCATCACTTTGAGTTATAATAATAATTACTGTAGACCTGTGACCTCTCGTGCCTCAATATGCTGAGCCTCCACAAAGCCTCACCTTCACTGGTTGGCTTTATTTTTTAATTTTTTTTAATTTTTCAGGCCAGGAAAAATATGTGCATTTTGTAACTTGGGAGAGAGAAGTCAGCTTGGACAAGGATCATTTTTAAGACTTGAATGGGAAAATGATTTTAAAACAACGTTGGAAGACTTCACAAAACAACTAGCAAGTAAACAACTAACTCCAATGCCATTACAGTCTCCAACTGCGGAAATGGCACCCATTATTCAGTATAGGAGACAAAAGTCTGCTGCCAAATTCAAGTAATAAAATAATAATAGTTATAGATAAATTGTTTTATTATTATTTAGTAAAAACATTATATTGTACAATATTTCGTTAAAAACAAAGTTTTTAATTTTTTAAATGATAATTTGATCAATAATGCTAATAATTTATAATAATAATTTAATAATGATAAACAGCCAAGTTGAAATTTTTACCTTTTACAATTTACTAATGATTTTGTCAAATTATGTTATATTCAAATTAATGACATGATGACAATGCTTGATTGATTAATAATAATTTTAGCTGTGTAAAAAAATTAACAATTATCCAACATAACCCATCAGAAGCTAATGTTAATATTATTCATTTCTATTGATTTTAACCGCTATAAATTTTAAATTGAATTATTACACTATAGTTAAATTATAAATTTTTTATTTGAACTAAAAAGATTCTTGGCTTTAATTATTATTATTAACTTATGTAGGTACTTTTGTATATTTTTACAATTAAGTGGCTCTTTGTATTTTTATTTGTAATTTAATTTATTTTTCACTTTAGACAACAATTTTCAACAAGCAGTTTCGAACCTGTAGATGAGCTTAGTGTTATTGGACATTTGGATGTCCCCGATCTAAATACATTATTTGAACCATCTGAGTCAACTGGTGGTTATGTATATGTGCATCACTTTTGCGCTACTTGGACTCAGGGAGTGAAGTGTGATACAGCTGACTCTTTAGAAAATGTTCCTGAACTTATTTTAGAGAGTTTAATGCGACGTTGTTCTTATTGTGGACATTTGGGCGCAAGTGCTCCATGTACTTACACAAATTGTTTGAAATTCTTTCATTATCCTTGTATTTTTGCCTCGGCTTCATTCCAAGAAATGAGTGTACCAGCTCTAATTTGCAGCTCTCACCTTGACCATGTTCCTCTTATGGGTATTTATAACAAAATAAAAATATATGTTTACTATATTTTTTTAATCTTTTTAATCTTTTAGAACTATCTGCAAATGTTGCCTGTGGTATTTGCGCAACGCTTGGTGATGTAACAAATCTTATGATGTGCACATCATGTGGTAACCATTTTCATGGTGTCTGTATTGGATTAGCTCTACTTCCAGGTATAAATTCAATTTTATTTTATTTTTCTTAACCATACTTAAGTAATATTACTGATAATACAATATTGTTAGGAGTAAGAGCTGGATGGCAATGTGGTAACTGTAGGACGTGTCAAGTTTGTCGGCAACCAGCTGAACAAACTAAGGTTATGTTGTGTGAAGGATGTGACAAAGCGTATCATCCTGGATGTTTAAGACCTCAAGTGACAACTATACCAAAAATTGGTTGGAAGTGCAAAGTTAGTATATCTTATTATATAGTCTGGGCTAAACAAACATGTGGTTGTTGAACGCACGTTTGTTTGCCTCCGACATTAAATCTAGTTTATTGATTAGGAAAATATATACTATTGATGTCATCTATTTAGTGTTGTCGGATATGCACTGACTGTGGATCTCGTACACCGGGTGCAGGACTATCCTCTCGATGGCATGCTCATTACACAGTGTGTGATTCCTGTTATCAACAGCGAAATAAAGGGTCTTCATGTCCATTGTGTCATCGAGCTTATAGGGCTGCTGCACATCGAGAAATGGTTCAATGCATAGATTGTAGAAAATATATCCATGGTGCTTGTGATCCTGAGGCCGAATATATAACTAGTCATAGCAAAAGTTCAGCTTCTGACTATAGATGTCCAATATGCAAAAATGCTGGTCAACGAAGGCGTGATGCTTTTGATGAATTTGGAGATTCAAACAGTTCAATGGATGTTTTTCAGTTACCTGATGATCATGATTCAGAGTTTAAGGTATGTAGTTTTTATGGCAAATTACATGTAATGTAGTTTGTCTAATGGAATTATGAACTTCAAAACAAATGAATGGAATTTGTGGAAATAAAATAGTTTTGTATCATTTATATATCTAATATTTTAGTTTAAAAACTATGCTTTCAAAAATGTAGAATTTGTCCATGTCAGTATGATTTATAAAAAAATGTAGGTATATATAACGTTTATATTATATTTTGCAAGAATTATCATAATTTTAAAAAGTAAAAAATGTACTTATATTTCACAAATAACTTTGTAATATTAAAAAATAAAAGTATATTTTAAATAAATTAATTTAATTGAAGTTGCAAAAAATTATAACTCTTTAAGTATAATGTACTCAAACCAGTAGCCCTTTTTTTTTGTTCTAGACTTAGGCCAGCGTATAGTTTTATAATAAAATATAATTGAAAATTGTTAACCTTCAAGCGCTTGTGTACATGGTGTTAACATTGTGACTTTTGATAAGCACTTTTTAAATAAAAATTAAATGGCGGTGTAGATACTGCAACCCCAACAAGACTTTTTTAAACCCGACTGCTTGGAGGTTACTATCCTATCTTTAATTTTCTGTATTTTTGTCTAGTGCAATAAAGATTTTGAGGATGGCCGTATGGGTGGTTTTGGTTTGGGTAAAGGAAAACCATATGCTGCAAGTAAGATAGCTAAAAAGCGTTTGTTACATTCAGCCCATGCTGGCCGTTCTAAAGGATTGGGTAAACTAAATGCTGCACTAAAGCCCATGTATCAGAAAAAAGGACAACGTCAAGTTGATTTTCCCAGAAAGAGACCTCGTGGTAGAATGCGAGGTATTTTTGGTGTGCCTGGTCTTGGATTACAAGTAAACACAACATATTTTAACTAAAATATATGAATAGTTCAGTAATTATATTTGTCTTTTTCAGAGACCATTAACTGACATGAGCTCTAAAAATTCATCAAATGAAATTGATTTTAATAATGAAAACCGCATAGTTTTGTGTTCTGCCAAAGATAAATTTGTGCTTGGTCAAGATATTTGTGTCATGTGTGGATCGTTGGGTACAGATCAAGAAGCCTGTCTTATTTCATGTTCTCAATGTGGTCAGTGTTATCACCCATTCTGTGTAAACGTTAAAGTAAGTTGCAAATTGTTCATTCCTTTTTATTAATTAGCCTAGAGTTACTGAAAAACTTTTTTATTTAGATAACAAAAGTGATTCTACAAAAAGGATGGAGATGTTTGGATTGTACCATATGTGAAGGATGTGGGCAACGGAATGATGAATCTAGATTAATACTATGCGACGAATGTGATATTTCATATCATATTTATTGCACTGACCCTAAACTTGACTATGTTCCTAGAGGGACGTGGAAATGCAAATGGTAAGTACCTGAATGTAATTTTTAGTAATTTATATTAACTTATTAAGCTCTAATTTTTCTCTTTAGGTGTGCACAATGTTTGACTTGTGGTTCGAATGACCCTGGGTTTAACTGTACTTGGCTCAATAACTACACAGAATGTGGGCCTTGTGCTTCTCGGAGTGTTTGTCCGTCTTGTCAAGAAACATACAATGAAAATCAATTAATTATCAAGTGTTATCAATGTGACAGGTAAATATTACATATATATTTTACAAACAATAAAACAGTTTTAATTATAAATTAATATTATTAATTATTATGTACTTACATTTGTAGATGGCTCCATGGAAAATGTGATAAAATTGAAAACGAAGATGAAGCAGAAAAATGTGCTGAAGATAGCTATACATGTCTATTATGTCGTCCTCGGGGAACTGCACCACCACATTTATACAGGATTTCTAGTCCTAAAACTAAACAGAAGGCGTCGTCACGTGATAATAGTCCAGATGGATCTAGAGGAACAGTAAATGAACACTTTATGGATGGTGTTTATTTGTCTGAATCTGGGATTCAACATATGAAGTGTCTCACCAGTGGAATAGAAATATGTCATCAACGTAAAAAGAGAAAAGATTGGAGAAAAGCACAATCAGACAAAGAAGCTGCTATAATGGCTGCAATCGAATCTGTCGTGTGCAGTAGTAGAGGTAAGCTATTTACTACAAGTAAAATAGTTTTAAAAAATGATTTGGTTTTGTTTAATTTTAGATACAATTAATGATTCTATGGATCAAGGAGACGATGCTTATAAAATGGATTTCGATGACATGAAAGAAGAACCAAGTGAGCCTGAACCAATTTACAAAGAAGGTATGGTAATACAACCACGAGAAGACGGCCGACCCCCAGAGCCCCCAGAAGGCTTCAGTATTTTAACATTAGATTCGGGTGTGATGGTTTTACGTCGTAAACGAGTTCGTAACCTCCAGAAGTTGGGAATTGGTGGATTTGTTGTTAGGGGTCGTATGCCTAGATCTAAGGATAAAGATGAAGAGAATACACAAGATGGTGATGAAGAAAATAAACCAAGAAGAAAGCCAAATAGATGGAAGAAGCCAAAAAGTAAAATTGCTGAAAACTACCCAAATTATATACAGGATGCGTTTTTTGGTCGAGATTTGTTAGATGCATGCAGTATTGCTGCACAGATATTAGACAGTAGCGAATCAGAAGAAGTAGAAAATAATGAAGAAGATAAAAAAACAATTGAATTATCTCAGGTATGTGGTTTATGGTAACAAATTTACTTAAAAGTTGGGAATTATTGTTCAAATTAAAAATTTATATAAAATAACGTTTTCTTGTTGAAAGCACTTGTTAGAAAATTTACTGTTATACTAATAATTCTTCATTTAATACAGGCTGAGCTAAAAATCATGGAAGATGTTAAGGCAAAACAAAAATCAAAACAAGAAGTAACTAAAAATTGCTTGGAAATTAAAGAAGAAATAGTTGAGCAAAACGAACCACCTAAAGTTGTTGAAAAAGTATTATTTGATTTACCATATCATATTTTGATGTTGAGTTGCAAAAATATTTATACAGTCTCAAACATCAAGTAGTGATTAGCCGTATAATTTAATTTTAATAAATTATTTAGTTAATACAATTTTTGTGCAATTTGGCATTGAAATAATTAGTATTCATTCCTATTTTATTTAATTTATTTAATATAAAAACTGTATTTTTTAGAAAAATGAGATAATAACTTCTAATGACCAAGATACATTAAAAGATATTTTGTTGTCCGATAATTTGTTGGATTCTATAATGAATGAACAGAACAATAGTATTAAAACAGAAATGGAAGGTGACCGCATTTTAAAATGATAAATATAGTATTATTATTTTTGTTCTAGTTGGATATATTTTTAATACTTATACATTTTAGATGCTGGTTTAGTGGTACAAGCATCTCACCTAAACGAGGAAAGTTCTTCTGCTCAGAAAGATGAATTTAATGAAATTTTGGGCTCTCATTTCAATTTAGACTCTATGGTCAGAGAAACTGGTAAGATAAATTGTTATGTAGCTTTAATGTCGATTTAAAATATGTATGTTGGTTATAGAGTGGTGGATGTTATTTTTGTTAAAATTAAATTTTTTCTTGCACACCAATGATGAATTTCATGTCACAGGTTTGCCTAATATGGATAGTAAAGATGTTGAAGAAATATTCAAAGTTGTTTTAACTGATGATGCCTCTCAAGAATCTCAAGATCCTAGCAATTCTAATATGTTGTTAATGGGCAACAATAATATAAGTGCACTATCACAACCCCAAAATAGTATTGGTTTAGTTCAAACTCAAAATCCAAATCCAAATCATGCACCTATCATGTCACCATCACGTTCAGGTAACTTAAATCTTAATTACTTATACTTGAAAACCTTCAAATGTCAGGCATAACAAACTTTGACCAGATTAGTCAGTACAAGTTATCCAGCATTATTCAATCTAGCCTTTTATTAGGTTTCTTTTGTTTTAGTCAGAATAGGTTAATAAAAAATAAGTGCTCTGACTGACCGAGCTATTTATAAGACATTCTTGACATCAATTTTTTTTTATCCTGCTTGGCTAAGTTCCGTGTATGTAATGTCAGTAATTTCTAGTTTGTAATATAAATTAATTTTTGAATTATTAGAAAAACTAGCGTGTGTTATAATGGTGACTGATTTAATTTAATTTTCTTTCTGCCAAGCCATGATAAGATATGATATGACCTCTGTTGTTGGCCTTATCTCTTATAGACCTCCAATAACATATTTAAAGAAATAAATAACTGAACTAGGTCCTTGCAGGTCTAATAATTGTTTATTAATACACTATTTTTTTAATTTTACATCTAAAATAGCATAAATTGATTTTGATAATTTAAGGTTTACCAGCTGGCATGTCCCGTGGTAAAGTTCCAGCTCCAGCACTACCCCCTGTAGTTACCAATATACCATCTTCTCCTATTTATACACCAGGGATGTCTCCGTATCATTCTGAATATAGCAAGTATGTAATTTATTGTATAGTAATTATTTTATGTCTAATTTGTATATTAAACATAATTTATGTCATTGATTATGTTGAATGATAACAATATGTTTTATATTGTCTTTTATTATTAGTAGTCCATCTCAATTCAGTCCAGCATTTTCTGAACCCCATAGTCCTTGGGTTCAAAACAGTGGAGGTGAAGACAGCCTAGAAGGTGTTGGATCACAGTCATCAGCTATAAATAATAATCAAAGGAACTCACAAAAAATGGAAGCTGATGAAGCACTTGGTTCTAAAGCCTCTATTTCTGCTGTATTATATGCAAATCTTACTCATCCAGAATGGAAAAAAGAATTCCCTTGTAAGTTTTGAATATTAAAAATATTGTTTGATTTTGGTCTTATTGCTGATTTGTTTTTTTTAGCTTGGCCAGAAAGATCAAGACAGATATTAAAAAAGTGGAGAACATTAACGCCAGAACAAAAAGCTCCATTCTTATTAAAAGCCCGTGAAAATCGTACTAATCTTAGACACAAGAAAGCGCAACAGGTAGGCGTTAGATTTTATAAAGGATCATTAATTTTAAATAATTGTCTTTATTTAAAGTCAAAAAATTATAGGTTTATGAATTAGTATTCATCACGGGAGCTTAGTTTTTACCATTAATTGGAAAAATAACATCTAGATGTCGACAAAAATTATAATTATGAAATGTAACAATTTTCATTTCGAAAGCTTTTTATGAATGGGCTATCAGTAAAATACTGATATGTGTGTGCTTATATTTGACTTGGCCGAAGTGCTTTATGGGATAAAATTCAAACTTAAAATATTATTAAATTTAGTATGTGTTTTAGGCCAATTATAAATAAGTTCTTGCTTTTCGCACATTTTCGGGGTGTATAAATGCCAATTTGGTGAATTTAAAGAATAATATTTTTGTTCTGTTATTAATTATTATTAATATTATTAAATTTAAATTTGTATAAGAACTAGTTATTGATACATTTTGAGCACTGGTAATTTTTACACGTTGCAATTTTAGTTTATAATGACCTACACTAATACAATTATATAGATCATAGTAATTGAACCCAGTGGTGCATGCAGGAAAATTTGAAGAATCACAATTCTAGTCATAATCCCCTGAGACTGCCACCAAGGAAAGTTTGATTACAAATATTTAAAAATTAGGTCACAAGACAATAATTTTACTATAATCCTTCCCTTTTAAATAAAAACCTGTGTGCGCCATTGATTAAATCCAGAAATGTATTTTAACTTAAGCATAAAAACCTAAATTTGTATATTTTAAAATATACACATAATTTAAAAATTTTTATCACAAATTAGTATTAAGCACACTTAGATGTTTTTTGTTTAGTTTAATAAGTCATATTTCTGTATGATTGATGTTGATGTCTCAGATATAAGTTTTTAAAGGATGAAGTATCAACTTTTACTTGCAGTGTACTACTTTTCTTCTATTTCTTACTCTATAAAAATACGAATCCGCCAGCCAAATCCTCGTAACTTCATATTTCTCAGTTCATCACCATATTTTTATAATTTCACATACTTTCATGTTTTTATCTCTAACATCCATATGCTTCTTCTATCCTTCTACACTAAAACTTCACGTTATCCTTTTTATTATATAATTTTCTCCTCTTTTTTTTAACGTGTCCAATCATAATTTTCTTTAAAACTACATTGCCCACTTACAATTAACGCCAATGTGCTTCGTCCTCATATATATATATATAGGTTATCGATTACTAAGGAAAAAAGTACGGGCTTAATGATTTTTGATGATTAACACTTATTAGAAATTCTTATGTTTCAACATACTCACTCAAGTTCTTATTTATTCCTTCATTCAATGTATCCTCTATACAATTTAACTGGGCCACTTTTCTCTCTTAAAACTGGTCACAAAATCTCTCTTGGCACTTTGTTGTATTTTTCCATATCTTTAAAATCATACTTCAAAGTAGAAATGTTCTTTTCTCCCCGTTTTTTTTTTTGTAACTTATTGCTTCATGCAAATTATTGGCTATATTGTTGACCTTACTGGTATAGAACCAAATTGATTTTCTGGTATCCCATTTTTTAGTCCTCAATTATTATATATTTTCAGGAACTGCTTAAGCAGCCTATGTAGGGTTAATATACTTTATTAAACTTATAGCGATAAATGGGAAAAAATCGCTGCCATTAAAAATCCTCAAATATAAATCTGTGGTTATTGTAAAAAAAAAAAAAAGTTATATTTTTGCTAAGCAGTGGAGTAGTTTAATGATTTGTATAAGTATAAATTATAATTACAACAATATGTTTCAATAGTATTACATAAAGGGAAAAATTCGAAATTAAAATAAATTTAAGTACTGCTAGAGTGTTATTGTCTATAAGTTGATATGTTCTCATTGTGTTGCTTTTGGGATTTGTTTCTTTATTGGCGCCCGTGCTATAACAACAAACAGACCGTGAAGGATGACAGTGCCAGTAGCGACAATCGGACCAGCTCAACGTCCAGTGCAACCCAGAGTCCAACAATTAACAGTGGAGAGGTGTGTCCCACTAAAGAACTGATGCAACCCGCAATACTAATCGCCGCTGGTGATGGTCATACTAACTCGCAATCTCCTCCTCAGTCTAATGATCCTGAGCCTGAACCCCAACCTGAACCCCAAACCAAAACCCAATCTCAACCTCAACCTCAATCCCAACCACAACCGCAACCACAACCACAACCCCATCCTCAAACACAGCCTCAACCTGAACCTGAACCTAATCCTCCACAACAAACATTTCCTACGACTATTCCTACTCATCCATCAACAATACAGTATATACCAGTTATACCAAATCCACCATCTCCTAATCCTGTAAATTTACGCACTATACATATAATTCCTACTGAGAAAAACCCATCTGAACAAATCCAATATCAATATGTGGCATCAGGTTCATCAGAAAGAGGGACTCTGCATTATCCTCCAAATAGTATACATATAATACAAACAGTTCCTTCTTTAATAATGTCTAACTCAATCATAGCTACATTAGATGCCAAAAATCAAAATGATACACGTAATAATCTATTGCATATAATCACATCACAACCAACTGGTACTATAAGAAACGTTCAGTTGGTACGAAATGATTCATCATCGGCAGGCACTGAGGGTTCTAAAACTAATATTACCGCTACCAGTACTAATAATTCGGTCAGCACTTCACCTCCGCTGTCTGACCAACAAATACGTGTACTAACACCGTCCGAGATAATGCGCACACTCCCGTCCCTTGGCCAAGAGACCTATGACCCTGTGGTGAGCGTTCACTTGCACGTTCTGGGATATAATTTTCTTTGGAGATTGTCTGTCCAGCATAATTCATTTTTCGTTATTTAATTAAACGTTTTTTTATTTTTTTAGTTATACCCAGCTACCAGTATGTGCTTTAAACCCAATGTAATCTTGGTGTGTTTCTGAGACTTGCAAATATATTTGTGTAGTTTTCAATATTTTTTTAATTAAATCATTTGCAAATGCTGTTCTAATTTAATAATTTTAGAATTATTATTTTAAAAAACCATATAATTTTTCCAGTAGCCGTTATAAAATATTATATACAATTTATATGCAAATTTGGTTTTGATAGATGTTACTTGTTAGGCTTATAATTGTTAGTGGTAATGGTGGTGGTAATTAATTAATTGAAATAATGTTAAAAATACTGTAGTCAGAAAGTGTATACCATATGTAATAAATTACTTTTAAAACAACTCGTTATTTGAATATCTATTCAAGAACCTTTCCTGTAATAGGAATTATGAATTATAAGGTTAAATTTTTTTTATATATTTTTGGTAGACACTTTTGATACAGTAAAAAATTAACTATTTAATTGCTATACTAAATAAATTACAGCATGGTGTGAAGTATGTAGTTTTTGTAGAACAGCTTATTATTTTAGTTTTTTTTAGTAGTTATTGAATTAAGTTGTTAGCGTTGACTAATTAAAGAAATCTATATGTTGTTTTAAAACAATACATATTTTTACTTATAACATTAAGGTATACATTATACATAGTGTTAAGAATTTATAATTATTATAATAAAGTTATGGTTTTACGGTGGTATCTTCTTTTTAGTAAAAAATACATGTATTATTAATGATCAGTAACCAACTTCTTTTAATTTTCTCTGTATGTTTATAGCTTCAAATGTACAAGCTAATTTATTAAGTATGCTGCCAGTATATTGTTTTAAATTTTTAAATTTAGGTATTCAAACTCTCGTTTTGGCATAACAGTCAATTAATTTGTTTATGATATGAGTTTATGTTGTGGTTTCTAATGTGAATTTTTAAGAGGACATTATATCCCTTATTTTTAAGGTTTTTTTTGTAGGCAACTTCATAAATTCTTATTTTAAAGCTAAACATATATATATTTATTAATAACAACTTATATATTTTTGGTAATTCAATTTTTGTTAAGATCCCTCAAAACTCCGTTAAGCCGCCCCCTTAACAAAAAAAAATTCAACAATCTTAATTATAATTTATCTAATCAATATTTTTAAAAACAATTTGATTGATATCGCAGACGACTTAAGACATAATAAAAAAGTTATACTATTCGGGCCATCAGTTTTACTTGTTTTTTTCACCTAAACATACTTATGTAGAATTTCTGTATTGAGCTATATTCTATGCATTTGTGTGTTTCATTTATATTTTTCATTAATATTTATTTATTATAGTTAATATTTTTTAATTTTTTAACAGAATGTAAATTTTGTTTAAGGGGTCTACAATGTATTTTATACGTATAAAATAAAAAATTTCAAGTATATAAAAATTATTTTTTTCTGTTTTTATAATTTGTTTAAATATTGGTAGACATACTGGATGAACGTCGCTTGTGTATTGTAAACTTTCTTAGCTTTTATACTAAATTTATTGTTTATACTTTTTTTTTTTAAATAATGACTTAAAATGTATGATAAAATTAATATATTTTAAATGTGGTGCGATAGGATCAAGATAAAATGATATCTCAACAAAGATCAAGGGAAGCTGAAAATGAACGTCAATGGAAACATTTGCAAGCAATGCGACAGCAACAGGCTCAAGCAGCTCAACAACAGCAAGTAGTACAAGATCCACGAGGTCAAGGTAAATAAAAATTTGTTAAATACAAACTCACTGTATTTATGGTAATTTTTATTGTTTTTTTTTTTTTTTTTAATTTGAAGTTTATCAAAGATTACCAGTACAGCAAAGAAATTTATCTATTGACACTAATCAATTTGCTAATTCTGATCAACAAGTTCTAGTTCATTCATCACATTTAGCTACTCAACTACAAGTGTCTACGAATCAGGTATTATATTGAATATGATATAATATACAAATAATAATATTAATTTATGTATATTAAATAAATACATATTAAATTACATAATAACTTATTTAGGATGGTTCACTTACACCTCTGCAGAGTCCAGGTAGTGCGAGTTCACAACAACAATCCAGGTCTCCATATCCTTCACCTGTTTTAAAAGTGACTCGAGTTGTAAGTCCGGCATCAGCATCACCTTCACCACAGTATACTCGTGCTCAACCAACGCAAGGTGCAACTGATTTATTTAGTCCACCAATATCAACACCTTCTGTTGGTCAGCAACAGAGAAATATTCATTTCAATCCTACATCACCACGTGGTCGTGAAGATGTGTTTTCATCGCCTCAAGCTAACCAAGAAATGACTAGACATCTAAGAGAATTGCTTCAACGTCAGCAGTTCAAAAAAGATATTCCTGCTGATCAGCGAATGTGGAATTCAGAAGAATCTCAAAATCAAGATATTAATACACAAAATGTTCAAAGTCAAGAATTTGATAATACGCCACCCACGTCTGGACCTACTTTCCGGCAACCATTACCTCCAAGTGCTGTTAAAACTCAGCGAATGCCTTTCCAGCAAATAGGTGCTCCAAATGCACAAATGGTCATAAGACATCGTATTACAGACCAAAAATATCATGTAAAAACCCACTATATTTTTAAAACAGTATTTAAATTTATAATTTATTTGCGTGTTATTTTGGGTATTTTTATTTGCGTTATTATTTATTTACTCCATGTTCCATTTTAATTATTTAGACGGATCCTCGTTTTCGATTGTTAATTCAACAACAACGATCTGCAACGCCAGGATCTGTGATCAGCAATAACATGAATGCTGCTCATTTTAGTGGAGGTGGTATTAAAAGTCCAATTACACAACAGGCATTAACTCAACAGAATCCTAGGCCTTATGAAGTAATACAGCATTCACAACATCAACACACAGCAGCAGCAGCAGCAGCAGCAGCAACAACAATTACAACAACAACAACAACATCAGCATTTTTCAGGTATATATTAATAAATATGTTTATGTAAGGAGATGTGTCACTAATTTTTTTTCATTAAAAGATACTAGCGAAAATAACATGGATCAAAAATATGCTCCTATCAGTGATGTTTCATCAGTTATATGCGATCCAAGTTCATTGCCACAGAACATAGTTAATCAAAATACTGCATCTATTGGTAGAAATAACGATGTTCTGCAGCAGCAAACTCAACAAAACTCAATAAAATGTAGTAGAATATTATTATAATAGAAAACATTTTTTTTTTTTAATAATCGCTGAATATTTTTATTTAGGTGCTGACAATATAGATTCTAGAAATGAAGACATGCCTGATAACGTAACCGATGAGTTAGAAAAATTACAAGAAGGTGACAGTCATAATATTGGCGAAGTTGATGGCGTGCTGGGCGATTTAGATGATGACGACGAACTGCTAGGTAAATTTTTTATGACTTGATTATTATATTAAATGTTTAAATTTGGATATATCTGCATTAATCTCCAAGCAGCAGTCGCATTAAAAAAATTTTGATGGCGGTCACCATTGCAGTACACCATTTTTACCACAATTTAATTTCTGTTTTTAAGAAATACCAAAATAACATCGCATCTACGAGTGCTTGGTGGTTAAATGCAATTTTATGTGAACCATAAACCATTTTTTTTTTTATGGCTGACGGCTGCTCATTTTTAGCATTTAGGTTATTGCTCAGGGTACATTTTAATTTTTAGGCTATTGTTAGATTTGGAACAATAAGGTTTTTGAAACATTAGTGTGAGTTAGGTTAGGTTAGGTTAGGTTATAAAAATTCTCAGGTGGTTATCTCTCTGGGATCTAGTAATGCTAGATGTAGCGCTGAACAGCAACTGTAGTGGCACACTATGCTCCTCAGTTATTATTTATTGAATATTATGTTTCTTCATGCTATTGTAGTAAAATAATTGTACTTTGCATTTATAGGGTGGCAAACAATTATAAATAAGAGCAGAAAAGCTTCCATCTGCCATCTGTTACTGGGTTTTTAATATACATTTTCATTTAAATTAATATATGATTTTTTACAGCTGAAATGGGTGCTGATTTTAATATACTTGAGTATGCTGATCCTGAGTTGGACAATTTGGATTGTGGTAATAAAACAAACATATTGTATGATCTTGTTGATGATGAAGAATCCAATAAAAGTACACATAATAAACCAGTGTCAAATGACAAGTCTTCTGGTGAAACTGATATTAAATCTAAAGAAGATTCAGATGATTTACAGAGATTAGGAAGTTTAAATGATCAAAAAGATGATAATAATGTGCCTCAGGCTTTAGGTATTGAAAGGTTGGAACAAGAAATAACACCAAAAATAGAAAATTCAGCAAACATTAATACACATGTAAGTTATTTTTTACACTAATTATTTTTATCTATTGTGAATGGTTCTTGTGTTTTTTTAGATTGTTCAAAATCAAAGTAATCAACTTAGTAATGTGATGCAAAATAGAGAAAATAATATGAACTTCATGGCTAACTTTTCGGGTAACAATAATCATTCATTACCAAAAATGACAACTATTGGTACAGGTAAAACTATTAAATCTATTTTTTTTTTTTTTTTTTGATAATCCTCCAAATATTTTTGAATATAATACTCAATTAATATATATATTTTATTTTTATGAATACAAATTTTTTAAAATAAACTTTCTATATATCTTAGATTATTTAAAATTTTATCATATTTTAGAAATGTATTTAAAACCACATCTTAATTAAAAAAATTCAATATAAGTCTCAAGACCAAGCGATCTTGCGTTTGATTTTAACCTAGTTTTGTAGTCACACAAACTGCATAATATTTCAAAAAAAGTAATAGACATTAAAAAAGTTGTTTAGGCATTCAAAAAAATAATAAATTATAATAAATAACAAACAAAAAAACTATTATTAAATAATATTACATTTTTTGATTAAATATTATCAAATTTTATCACTAATAAGTAATAATAATACATAATTAATATTTTTAATTTTATGTTAGTCTCTGTACCACAACATCATCAACAGCAGCAGCAACAGCAACAACAACAACAACAACAACAACAACAACAACAACAACAACAGCAACAGCGTCTAATTCAAATGCAACGTACAATGGTTCCAAATCGAATGATGGGTGTTTCATCACAAATTATACCACAAGGAGCTGTTCAACAAGTTCAAACACGTCAACTAGCCCCACCTCCGCCGTATCCGGGCCCTCCTCCACCATATCCTGGACACAATCAGGTAAAATTTTTATTTTGTTTATTATCATACAGTAGCTCAATTTTTGGTTGCAATCCCTTCAATGGTTTCTATTTTTGCAATAATTAGATGATTTTATTTAGACTGAAAAAAACATTTGCATGTCATTTTTCTTTAAACTCTATTCTTCCAAGCTGTTTAACTTTTAAGCCCAACTGTAATGTAACATCAATATGCTGGATTTTACTCTGAGAACATTCATTTATTTAAAACTACAATATTTGTATATTAAAATACGCCATGAGGATTTACTCATTATGTATATATGAGTAAATTGTAGCATATTAAGTAGTATGTAATGAGTAAATTCTCATGGTATATACTTAGTTATATGTATGCTCTTTAATTTTAAACACATTTTGGGTGATTTTTTTTTTATGTATAAAATAATATTTAAATAAATACAATTTTGGGATTTTACTAACAAATATGGCCCTTCAGATACGTATGAGGGCTCATTTACCACAGAGTGATATGGTATTGCACGGTCTTATGGGCGTTCAAGTGCAGAGAAGACCATTGTTGCTTCAGGTAATTACACAAATAAAACAAAATTGTATGACGTCAGATATATTTTGAGTTAAATGACAAAATAATTCCATAGGCGTGCACACAGAGTGATCAAGTCTGGATATGACAGGGCAGTGATTAAGAGAGGGTCCTGAAAAATCTTACAAATGTACACTTATGATTTGAAGAATATAAATTATTAGGAAAAACTTTTTTTTGTATATTATGAAAAAGTCAGTAAATGGCAATTATTGGTTATTAATTATGACTTTCAAAATAGCTTAGTTAATAATTTCTCTCAGACAAATTAGTATGTAACTATTTAAAAAAAGAAGTTGGTACTGGGGAAACAGCATTGTAAAATTAGAGCATTAACAATCTGTAGAAATTATTATTATATTTTAAAGTTATAAAATCAGTCTCAAGAAAAACTTTTATGTGAATCTTACAAGGTTGGAAATATTATATATAATAATTGGTTAAAAGCAATATTGTGTGTACAATAATGTAATTAGCTTTTTTTGAGTTTACCTTTGTTAAAAAAAAAATATTTTTTACAGACCTCACAGATCATACTTATTATAAAAAAAAATTATATTATTTATTTTGTTATGAAATCATCATCATCAGCTTCTAAAGGCCAAGCCTTGTCGTTGTAGCCATTCATGTCTGTCCCTTTCTGTTTTCTTGTCGTCCTCTGGTTCTTTTACCGTTTTTTTTCTCTTCTATCATGATGGTGATAAACTGATAGTGCCCAAGCAGATGTCGAATTAGCCTTATTTTTTTTTTCATTATTGCATTCATCATTGTTCTTCTCTCATTAACTTAGCCCAGCTGCTTCAATCATTTTATGTTCTATCTAGCATGTTCCTGTCATTCTCCTCCACAGCCACATCTCTATCGCCTCCAGTCTATCTCTCTCGTATCTTCCTATCGTCTACGTTTCACAACCATATAATAGAATACTACAAATGTATGTTTATAAATTCAATTGTTATGAAATAATAATTATTGAAACCATTAGTGTGTTAAATAAAAAAGCAAATTTAGGTTAGATGGCATGTAATAGTTCCTCTCATTATTATAAGAATAATAGTTAAAATAAAAATGTACATCAAATTGTTGTTTTGAGTCTCCAAAAAAAAGTGTTAGGTGCACTTATTCAAATTGTTTCAGACTCGATCAGTCAATGGAATTAGTGCACGCCTATGATAAATAAAAATATAATAATAATAAAACATAATTATACTACTCGCACAACACAATTTCCTTCACATTTTGAATTTAATGAAATCACTATTTAGCAAGATATATTAGATTTTGTTTTGACTCAAAAGAAAAAAAGTGGGCATGACCTCCTATGCACGGAAGTACACAGGAACATGGATATGTCTTAATGTACACTATAGGACCCTAGTACTTTTTGGTACTTTCTAATATTGAATGTTTTATCTCTTATTATATATATATACTCGGTAAAGTTCAGCGTGACACACGCACGCACAGATTTTCTGATTGACCCCCAACCCAATATCATATCCATGTTAAAAGTGTTCCGTATATTTTTGATAATTATAATTGTTCATCATCAATTTATAGGAAGATAATAATATTAGAATAAATCACCTTAATAATTGTTTTTCATATTTGAGGCAAAACACTATTATCTCAAAAATGTATTTTAGCACTACTAATCACAATCACATTAACCAATACCTAGTATTAGTTATAACACTATTTTTATTGAGATTTTCATGGATTTACATTTTACATGGTTCTGTAATTTACTGAATTAATAAAATCGCATAAAATAATAATTTATGACTTAGTCCTTGGTTTGCTAAATTGTAAATTAAAATAAAATAAAAAATAGTTTTTTGATAATTGAGTTGAACTAATGATTTTTTGCAATACTAATAAAGTTGAACAATTTTATATCTGTTTTAACCATAATACTCATATAGTTTAAAACGTTTTTTTAACTAAATAATTTTTTATTATTATGTTTAAACTTTATAAATAAGGTCCGTTAACAGTATTAATACAATTTAATTTAATTTATAGTTGTTCTATAATAACTTATAAAACAAGAAAATTATTTTTTTTTCTGATATTTTAGCCTAAATATCTTGATAAAGTAATTAGGTTAAGCAATTAAATAAATTGCTAATAAATTTAATTTAAAAAGTTGTTTTAAAAACACTAATAAAGCTATTGTCAAAAAAAATTAAACAACAAAATAATGATAGTTTTGGAGCAAGTGTGAGAATAGATAGGTTTACACATGTCAGCATTTAAACGTTAATTAAAAAAAAAGACAAAATAATTAGACATATTGTCATGGGATTTGCTGTTGTTATTAAACAGTATACTTACTCTACAGTTACAAAAAACCTACAAGTTTGAAACGTCAGAAAAACTGAATACCTTCATGGATACTCTGTAAATATTTAAAAACATTATTCTCAATTGATGGTGTTATTTTAAGTCTTAATTTATAGTTATACATATGACATATTTGTTTGGTTTTTAACCAATCACATGTGCACTTGGTGTAATAGCAATTTAGCAAATATTATAGCATAGGTAGTAATTAATTTTAGCACATCTCATTAAATAAAAATGCACTGCTTATTTATGATCTGCATTTATTTATGTGGAAAAAAAATGATTTGCTTTTTTTTTTTGCTTGTAGCTTGTTAAAATGATTATACATTAATATTTATATTATTAATTATAGTTAACATAAAACATAATGTAAATAATAAAAAAAAAACTGTTCTTTTAGGAACAGCCATTGCTTTTGGAAGATTTGTTAGAGCAAGAGAAACGAGAACAAGAAAAACGACAGCATACTGATTCAACTGGTGTTCCCGGTAATGTTTCATCTGCGGGCTCTTCACTGCCTGCCCTGATGAGTGATGATGATTTTGAACTACTGCGGGCTGATGTTATGAATTCATCAACTAGTGGTAATGCAATAGCATCTCCACCTATTCAGCAAGGTAATCATTTTTATTTAACGTTTTATGTAATTCCAAATTTAAAACAGTAATATAGTTCTAAAATAAATATTAATATTAATTTTATTATTATTAACAAATAATTTATTAAGTTGGTTCAGGAGTTATACAACAACAAGTTGGTGATCAAATGCACATTCAGCAGAGACAAACATTTGTGCAAAGACCTATATCTCAACCAGTTCAAAACTGGGCTCAACCTCAGCAAATGCCTTGTCAATCACCAATAAGACAGCAATTTGCAGAACAACGTTGGTTCAATTATTTTTTGCTTATTAACAATCTAAACCTTTTAATCTAAATCTAACCGAAATAAAAATGGGATTTATTTTACAGCCTTAAAAGTTCCAATATTTAATATTCCATTATTGACACCACCACCTCCACCACCTGATGTAATAACTACAGAACAAGAACGTCAATTGCAGCATACATATGAAGTGTGGCTTAATGAACAGAATAATGTTGTAACCAAACAGTTAAAACATTATGAAAGTGAAGTTCAGAAATTACGAAAAATGAGGAAGAGTATGAATAGTAAACAAAGAGTAGCTAGGAAACAAGGCAATGAGTTATCAGATCATGATACAATTGAACTTCAACGAATAACTGCTGAACAACAAGTTTTACAAAAGTTGTTGGAGACCAGCCGTAAACAAAACAAACAGCATATGGCTATTATTCAGGTAAATTGTGAATTTTTTAATTATTGTTTTTAAAGTAATTTATTGTGTCATTAGCCCACAATGATTGTGGAAATTATTACTTATAAAATTATATTGTTTGATTAATTTCTTTTACTAGTTTATATAAACAAATATCTTTTAAAATGTTTAACAATTGGGTTGTGTTCTCATGTGAAAGTATTCTTGCCGTGTCCAATTAAACAGTAATACAACAGTAGTTTAATGCTAAGCTAGAGTTACATTAGTGTTGTATTTTTTCCTTTTATTTTTTTAAGCTAATATATAAGTTAACATTTTTCTTTTTAGGAATATAAAAATAAACATAGGCCTACACCTGCAGAGAATCCACAATCTCCTAGTGTAATGATGTCACCAAATTCTGTTGGTCCAATGCATCATCAACAAAACTCTATGTCTCCACACAATAGTATTTCAACACCATTATCATCTCAGGTAAAATTTATAAAATATAATATAACAAAACAATGAGTATAAAATTGTCAATTGATTTTAGACTGAAGAAAATCCATTTAGTCCAAACAATTCACAATCTTTGCCATCCCCTAGACCTGGTTTGCCTCCACAGCTACGAAATCCTGGGCAGTCTAGTCCACGACCACCAAATTCAAGTCCTAATACTACAGATCAATTGTCCAGGTAAATCAATTTATTGTAAAAGAATATATTATACCAATCACTAACTGAGTAACTTAATTTTAATATTATTATTTACAGGCATCCGGGTATAACACCTATACAATTTGTGCGTTCTCCAGATGGTTTAACGCTAAGAGCGCGCCCAACTCTAGTGTCTCTGCAAAGTCATATGCCATCTGTAAATACTTCTAATACTTTCCAAAACTCGAAGGTAGTTACAAACGTGTCTATAAGTCAAGGTTCTCAGGCGCAACAGCCCCAACCTCGTTTAACTTTCCAGCAATTAACTCCACAACAACAACAGTTAATTTTACATAGGAAACTTACTCAAAAGGCCATACTTATATCTCAGCAACAGCAACAGCTCAGTAACTCAGCTAACCAAGATCCAGCAGCTGTACAACAAAAACAGTTACAGTTAGCGCAACAAAGGCAAGTGTTACTGCAGCAAATAGAACAAATTCAAAAACAAATAAATGACGGCCAAAATCAGCAGCAGAGACAAATACTTGTTCAACAAACTATATCGGGTAATCAAGAAGGCAAAACAGAATTGACACCACAACAAAGGCATCAAATTGTTATACAAAGACAAAACATTATACTCCAACAACAACAACAATTTCAACAGTTACAGCAACAAAATATTTCCCAACAACAAAACATTTCACAACAACAACAAATTATTCAGTCTCAAAATAATCAGAATCAACTGCAAATGCAGCCTCAAAATAATCAAAGTCCAATTCAAATACAACAACAGCAGCAGCAGTCACAACAAGTTCAACAACAGCATTTGCTACCACAACAACAAGTTCAGCAGCAGTCACAACAAGTTCAACAACAAGTTCAGCAGCAACCACCGCAATCGCAACAAATTCAACAGCAACAACATCATCAATCTCAACAAATCCAACAACAACAGTCGCAACAAATTCAACAACAGCAATCACAACAAATTCAACAACAACAATCGCAACAAATTCAACAACAACAATCTCAACAAATTCAACAGCAACAATCACAACAAATTCAACAGCAACAACTTCAACAACAACAACAAGTTCAACAACAGCAACAAAATCAAGGACAGACTAATATGACACAACAGCAAAAGTTATTCCAACATCAGCAACTACAGATACAATTAGCTAAGCAACAGCACATTATGGCCCATCACAATGCTCAAATTCAACAGAAATTAGAACAACGTTCTCCCCAACAACAGAATATGATGCAAACTCAGTTATCACCACAGCAACAACCAGTAATATTGCAACAACAATCTCAACAAGTTAACAAGCAAGAGCCGGGTGAAATTATTAATCCCAATATTTTAAGACAGCAGCAACAGCAACAAATGTTGTTGCAACGACAGCAGCAATCAAGGTTTCTTCAACAACAGCTTCTATCACAAGGCAAAAATACCAGGCAAATGGTACAACCTCAGCAACAATCTCCAATTCCTCCACCTCAAAGCCCTAATCAACCTCCTCTGTCACCAATGCTACCGCAAAGTCCTATTTCAAATAATCAGCAGTATTGTCAACCTAATAGTCCTATGTTATCGGCACAGTCGCCAATGTTGTCACAAAGTCCTCAACAATTTTCACAACCCGTGCAGTCTCCCAATCCTTCGCAATTTACACCAAACTCACCAATGCCATCACAAAGTCCAAGGCAACAATCTCAGTTCATTCAACCAACGTCGCCCCTGATGCCACAAAGCCCAATGATTCAAGGGTATACACATCCACCTGCAACTTCACCATTCGGGCAACCTCCACCAAGTTCGCCAAGTCCAAGGCCGTCGCAAAGTCCAAGAAACAATCTAGGACCACCAAGCTCACCAATGAGTCCTATGCAACAAAATCCGTACATAAGACCAACAACTAGTCCAATGCCAGGTAGAAGAACAAATGTAGGTAGTAGCCCGTTAATGTCTGATCAGCAACAACAAGAGCACCGGGAAGATAACAATGTACCTCCTGAAGGATATCAGTATAATAAATTAGGGCTTCGGGGAGGTAGTCGTAACTTCATACCACCTAAAGGATATCGTTATTCGAAACAAGGTCTGAAAGGTGGAGTACCAATGTGGAGTACAGGGAGGCAATTTGTTAATAAAGATACAAAAGATGAAGTCACGAGGAGTGTATTCAAAAGCAACGATATGCCATTAAGTGCAATACCAGTTTCAAAGGTGTCATCGTTAGTATCATTGGAGTATGGTGATTCAGACGATGAAGGATCAAGAACTCCTCCTGTTACTTCTCCTCCGCCTCCCCCGTTACAGATATCCAAACAAAAAGAAGCTCCAGAAGGTATAAACACCGATCCAATGATAATCTCAACTTCGCCAAAGACTAACGAAGACTCTCGAAACCTACCAGTTTATAAAGACGTTAATTTATTGGAAAACTGTAAAAAAGACAGTACTGAATTAGCAGATTTACAAATGATATCGACAATACACATGAATATGGATCCAGGGCAGATATCGTTGAATTCAAGCAGAGTTGGTGAAGAGCTATTAGATATAGATAAAGAAATTAATTCTCCGAATCTATTGCTAAATGAAAACGATGATAGTATACTCGGTGGTCTTCCCAATGACGAAACTTCAGAAATGAACAGGCTGATGTTTTTTGATGAGCTCGGTGATAGTATTAAAAGTGATCAAGAGGAAAAGAGTGGTTCGCCTGAGAAACCAGTTTTTAATTTAGATAAGCTACTAAATGATCCCGAACCACTTGTTGGTCAACAAGAGGAAACAAAGAAAACTGAAGTTGGGAAAAAACAAAACGCTAAAGAGTCTGAAAATGAAATAGAGGAAAAAATAAGCAATCTTAATCCAAGTTATTCATTCCATTCTTATGCAAAAGTTCCAAAATCAGCACCATCATCTTTTGTGTCGACTCAGGAAACACCGGGAATAATACCGGCATCATCACCTACACAAAAGAAAGAAAATCATGTTTTGTCCTTACTAAAGGCCGATCAGTCAGATGATTTGAAAAAAGTCACAGATTTACTTAAATCTCATGCATCTGCTCAAAATAAAAATATTATTATTTTAAATCATTCAGACTCTATAAAAGATCCTCAGATCAAACAAAACTTGTTGTTAGCCAAGTCGGAAAATCTTAAAAGTTCAGATTTGGCACAAATATTGAGTAATATTATGTCACCAAAACAAAAAGAAGGTTTCATTAAAATTGAGACAACAAAGTCAGATGATAACACAAAACATTCAACAATTGTTTTACCAGCCCGTACTACATCTGTTGTGCAGAGTTCTTCACAAAACTTTCCTTGGGAGTCAATAACATCTTTCACGACAGCAGCATCTTCAACGCTGGCTAAATCAATTCAAGTTGTATCTAAACCTGACGATAAAGAACCAAAGACATTTTCTCAGATACCATCAGTGACAAGTGTACAAAAACAACAGGATGCTCGCACCTCGAAACTGGTTGAAGATTCTCAGAACGTACTATTAAAACAACTTCTTCAAAACACAGCTTGTGCAAATCAAACGACCACGACTAATGCTATTAGTTTACCAATTGTACCCTCGCTGGAGGCCCAACTGGCCAGACCGGTATCTCCAACACCTCCTTTATTGTTTCCGTCTTTACTTTCGCCAAAAAAAGAAGAAGGAGTTGACAAGCAATCTCAAGTTGTAAAATCAAAATCAGAATCCCCAAAACCTATAGTTGTTAAACAGCGATCAGAAGTTCAAACACCTGTTTCCCAAACACCTCCTTCGCCGAAACTACCACAAAAGGCTCAGTCTCAATCTCAGACTCAGTTACAGCAACAGCCGCAAACACAATCGCAGCAACTAGCACAAACACAGTTACAGCAACAGCCGCAGACACAATCTCAATCACAACCACAAATTCAGTTACAATCTCAATCACCACCACAAATTCAGTTACAACCTCAATCACAACCACAAATTCAGTTACAACCTCAATCACAACCACAATCTCAATTACAACCTCAGTCTTCACAAACACAAGCCCCATTGCAAACACAAACTCCATTGCAAACGCAACAACAGCTGCAAACACAACCTCAGCTACAAAAGCAACCTCAACTGCATACACCACCTCAGTTACAAAAGCAACAGCAATTACAAACACAACCACTGTCGTCTCAGACCAAGGTTCAGTTACAGACACAACCTCAGTCGCAATCACAGGCACAACCACAGCCACAATTACAAGTACAGGCTCAGGCTCCAGTTAAACCTCTATCACAACCTCAAACACAAGGCCAATCGCTGTCGTCTCGAACACTTGCTACATCAGATTCAATTATGGAGTCAATAAATGCGGCAATTAAGCAAGAGAGATTCGATGAAGAAAATAAAAACGAAAAGGCTGGTTATAGTCCTGAGAGAGACATTAAGAGAGAAATCATGTCTTCTGACGAGTTGGTGTCTCCACAAAACTCAACAAGAGTAGTGGATCCTGCTGACTCGGGGAACTCGATGAATATGTCAATCGACGCAATGAATATGGATCCTCAAGGTAAAAATTTGTTTTGTATTATATAATTATGTGTTCAAATTTTTTAATAGCTCAGAAGCAATTATAATGTATTTTGTACACTATGCTTTAGATCAAAAACGAATGAAACGCAGACAATATTATGCAAAACGCAGGCAAAGTCAAGGCAAAGATGTAAACTCTACAATGATTCCGAAAAAACGTCAGAGAAAGGTTATTAGTTATTACTATAGTATTACTATTACTATTATATCATATATCATAGTTCTCTTGATATTATCATTTAATAACTAATGACATAGTCATTATTAGCCGTTTATTATTTTTAATATAGCAAACCTCATAAAATGTATATTTTTTATAATATACGTTGGATATTTTGTTTGTCACATAGGGCTCAAAACCTGATGAAGATTATGACTCATTTATTGATGCCCTTATGGCACAGTTACGTCAACTTCAGCCTATGAATGTTATTGAACCATCATTAAATCAAAATTTGACTGCTTGCCCTGTTTTTGGCATGGGCGATGTAGCTTCTCAGCACAAGTAAGTTTTACCTTTGCACTATCGCTCCACTTTTAAATTGTACATGTAAGTACACAGTGTACTTAACTGTTAGATTAAAATGAAAATATTCTATTTTATTATTACTTAAATTATATTTATTCTTCAGCATATGTATTTTGTTAAGGTACTTCATTTTTTATATTATAGTATGAATAATAAAAATCGCCTACCACAATTTCCGTGTATGTATAGCACTTCTTAGAGTATGTTTGTTTCTTCAAAACAGCATTGTTATGTACAATTATTGTTCCAAAACAAAATTAAAGATTTGGACAGTATTAAATAGTTATATACATAGTTGGTAAAAAAACAAGTTCTATAGGATTTAGAAAAAAAATTGTTTACGTTTCCATAATAATTTAATAAAATATATTTGAAAAAAAATGGTAAAATACGTTTAATTTCCTTATATACTTTTTCACTTGCCTCAATGAATGGTTTGGTCCTGCTCTCTTCTCTGTTCTTAACAACATGAACAATATTTATGAAATGCTTTATTGCAAATAATGTAATGATATGATTATTTATTTCAGTTTTAAAAATGGAGATTTAAAGGGTGATGTAGGCTCGTGTGTACTACCGGGTGACAGTGATTATTATAACACACGACCGTTTGGTGATTTAGAACCGGTTTCACCATTACCTCAACCATCTACTCAGAGAGGATTTTATAGTGAAGAATTTGTTCCTCTTAAATTTGAGTCAGACAGTAAGTACAATGTTTCCTAAAATTAAATAATATGTATACAGTAAATGTATTGGGGTATTATTAGGGTGGTCCTTAATTTGACATGGGGAAAATGTTTTCAGACTTTTATTTCATTCCCTTAATTTCCCTGTTTGAACATCAAATGTATACTGTCATTCAGCCTTCCCGCGCCCAGTGTATACATTTGATGTGCAAACAGGGAGACAAAAGGAATGAAACAAAAATTGAAAACAATTTAAAAAATATTTTTTCAATATTTGGAATCGAATGACAGCCATCCAACCCCATGTCAAATTTAAGGACCACCCCCTAATGTATTATATATGTGTGTAATATTTGTTTTTAAATTCAAATAAATTCAAAAACCATCAATATGAGGCAATGTAATGTATTATTATTATTATTTTTATTTTTTAGACGAAGATAAGAAGTTTGAAGTTGGCAGAGATCGTGACGACACTCCCGACACTATTATGAGCTCGTCGTCACCTGAATTGGCAGCATGTGAAACTCCAACTCACTTTCCTGGTAATTTTATTTTCTCAATATTTTATTTGATAGCTATATTGAGACCACTTACATTGTTTTACTTTTTCCGTAGGTCTGAAAAGTTTTGACGATGATAGTAATTCGAACGATGTGCTATTGAATTTTACTCGACATATGTCTCCAGTTCATCATCTCATTGCTCCATTAGCTTTGAAACCTCGACCAAACTACAAATTTAGCATGGAGGATGATAAGGAAAATCAAGGAGCTAGACCCAGTATGTTAACCCAAGTGGGTAAAACGCCTCCACGGACATCACCCGCTCTGCCTCTTCGAGATTCTAATACTATGACAGTAACATTAACGATAACATCGGAAGCAGCTGATGACATAATAGGAGTTCTTCGAGGCCTAGCAAACTTACTCGATTTGCCTGATATAACCAATTACAAAGTTTCCGAACGAAGTGTTACGCCTATGTCGCATAAGTTGGGACTCTATAGATCTAAAACTAAAGATGGCAAAGAAGGAGCCTCGATCGACATTCAAACTATACTAAATGGTTTCGCTAAGTTTTGTCGCCATTGCGATTTAGTCATATTAAATAATTTAGTCAAGAAGAAAGCGAGTGAAATTCCATTTTTAACTTCCGAAGAATGTACAGATGAAATATTTTTCTGTAGTACTTTGTGTTTCCAAACGTTTGCGTCATTGTTACACCCTCCTGCAGAATCTAAGAATAAGGCCACGACTAATGTAAGTCATCTATCAGAGGGTTCTCCACCAAAACGTTTAAAACCGGATGAAGATGACAATCTATCAAATAAAACTGAAATTGTTGTAAAAATGGTAAAACTATTTTTATTAAGTATATATTATAAATATTATATTATTATTTGTATTGGTATTTAGGATGTTGACGAACCCTTACTGAAAGAAGATGAAATTAAAAACGAAATGGTGACCGAAGAAGCAAAGTCATTACATAAAGACATTGTATACCGATATTGGAGTGCTAATAGTCTTCCACCCCCACTCACTAAGCATAAGAAAACCACCGAAAAAGAATTAATGGAAGTATGTTACCCTGTATAACTTTTTGTATGAATCTCATTAGTGCATTTATGTGTTATTTATTTTCATTTAATTTTTAGATGCTGTTTCGCATGGGTATCACTGTAATGTCTCCAAAGCAACCAGAAGATAAGCGGAAGTGCTTGTTTTGCCATCAGTTTAGTGATGGTGTGTCTGATGGACCGTCTAGGTATGTAAATAATTATAAAGTGAACTTTATTTTATTAATATTTTTTATTTGTGTGTGTATTTTTCAGATTGTTGAATTTCGATGTGGATAAATGGGTACATTTAAATTGTGCCTTGTGGTCTGATGAAGTTTATGAGACCATTAACGGCGCTTTAATGAAAGTCGATATTGCTTTACGACAGTCGCTCAGCATTGAATGTATAGTGTGTCAACAGCCTGGAGCAACACTAAAATGCTATAAACATCGTTGTTCATCAAATTATCATCTGCCTTGTGCTGTTAAAGATGATGCCGTATTCTATAAAAATAAAACTTTATATTGTAGCGGGCATGCTCCTAAAAGTGATAAAGATAATGAGTTGACCACCTTGTCTGTACATCGTCGAGTGTACATCGACAGAGACGAGAACCGTCAGGTTGCTGCAGTAATGCACCATTCTAGTTCTCATCAGTTCTTGATTCGAGTTGGCAGTTTGACACTTCTCAATATCGGTCAGCTATTACCTCATCAACTAAACGCTTTCCATACAACCACTGCTATTTATCCGATTGGTTTCAAAGTGGTAAGTTAATATTATAATTTTAAGCTATTTTTAATCAACAGTATTAAACAATTATTTTATCAATATTTACACATAGGTTCGACTTTTTTGGAGTATGAGAGTTTTAAACAAACGATGCAAATATATATGTTCTATTCATGAAGTCAATGGTCGGCCAGAGTTTAGAATTGTTGTACAGGAAGCCGATCACGATGATTTAGAGCTTAAAGATTCTAGTCCACGAGCAGTTTGGTCCAGAGTCCTTTCTGCTATTGCTAGTTTGAGATCGTCTAATAACATATTAAAACTTCATCCCCAACATGTAAGCGGGGACAGCTTATTTGGTCTTACTGAACCAGCTATTGTTCGAATTTTGGAAAGTTTACCAGGTCGGAATAATTTTATTCTTTATTATAATTAAAAAATGTAAAAAAAAAAACAAATGTCAAATTATGATATTTTATTCATTCGATTATTATTTAATCATTATTGGCAATTTTTATTTAGGCATCGAAACACTGACTGATTATCGATTCCGTTATGGACGGAATCCGCTTTTAGAGCTACCCTTAGCCGTTAATCCGAGTGGATGTGCCCGTTGTGAAGGTCGCCGCAGAGTAGTACTACCGGGAAAACTACGATCTCACATACCTCGTTCATTTACTTCTACTCATAGTTCATCATTGCTAAGTCAACTAGATTTATCGGCACCTCCTACGTGTCCATATTCCAAACATTTTGTTCATTCTAAATCGTCGCAGTACAAAAAAATGAAGCAGGAGTGGAGGAACAATGTTTATTTAGCTAGGTAAACTATTATTATTATTATAATCACAGTAAAAATCAACATATCTAACGCTAACAAATGTATTCAGGTCTAAAATTCAGGGTTTGGGATTGTATGCGGCTCGAGATTTGGAGAAACACACCATGGTCATTGAATACATAGGTGAAATAATTCGCTCACAGTTGTGCGATTACCGAGAGAAATTATATGAGGCGAAGGTAATGAATTGTTATCCTAAATTGTTATATCCGAAGCGTTGTGTTTATAAAAAAACTATTTTAACTTATCAGAACCGTGGTATATACATGTTCCGATTGGATGATGATCGCGTGGTCGACGCAACTATATCCGGTGGTTTAGCTCGGTATATCAATCATTCTTGTAACCCTAATTGCGTAACTGAGAAGGTCGAAGTGGACAGAGAGCTGCGTATTATAATATTTGCTAAACGAAGAATCGCTAGGGGCGAAGAGGTATAGTAAAATACCTTTGTTTTTTTACTTTGTGTGTTTATATGATAATTTTTTACTAATCGTGTTATCCTTACAGTTGGCGTATGACTACCAATTTGATATAGAAGACGATCAACATAAGATTCCATGTAATTGTGGTGCGCCCAACTGCCGTAAGTGGATGAATTAACATAATTATTATTGCCATACGAGTATTTTTACCAATTTTCTTGTACCATATCGTCGCAATACTTTAATAAATAGTCTTAATAATTGTTATGTTATAATGTAATGCGTTTTAAACTGTACACAATCACTGTGATAGGATCAAATTTTACACATGAAATACGCATGTACATTTTTTATTGTACATAACTTAGACTTTAGTTACATAATGATATTTTTGTAATTATTATCAGAATTATTATTTACAAAATGTATAAATTTAGATATAAATAAAATTGTTGTATAAATTATCGTTAAGGAACAACAACAACAAATAATGATCTCTTTACATGAGACAAGACTTGATATCATAAGTTTCTGTTGGTGTTTATAAAAAAAAAAAAATTATAATTAGAAAAAAACAATATTTGGGTGTTGGTGTAGAAAAAAAATTGAGTGGGCATTTTGTTTACCTACTTTTTTTTATTGACTCACACAATCTTAGTCAATTATTTTTCTTTATTCTATTTCTTTTTTTTTGTTAAATTAATAGCCTACTGTTGTTATTTTTTTTTTTTTATTCTTCAAATATTTATTTCTTTAACATTATAATTTTATTTGTTTGTTTTTTGTGTCGTAAAGCTGAATAACGCAATATGTAATTTATAAAAAAAAAATATTTTTCTACTTAATTTCAAAAGTGGTTGACCATTTCCAAGTAATTGTTAACTTTTAAAATAGTATATATATATTTATGTATGTATGCACGTATGTATGTATATATACATGTATATACATTCATACGTGCATACATACATATATCATTATATTATGTATTTATATTTATAGATTTAATGTGTATACATTCTTTGTTTAGTTTTCTTTAAGTTATTTAATTAATGTAACGACGTCACTGTTTTAGGTAAATATTTAATTTTGTTATGAGTTACACCAAAATATTCAATAAGTTCTATTATAATTATTTTACCCATTACAATAATAATATATTTTGAATTATATTATTACAACATAAATAAGGTTATTAATTTTAGAAATGAATTATTATTATTATATAAGTAGTCATCATGCGACTACATTTTTTTGAGCTGTGTTAAAAATTTAAATTAAAAAAAATAAGGTGAATATACACGTGTGTTATTATAATTTAGCATATAAATCCAAAACCTAATAAAAATAAAATATATTTCCTACAAAAGGCAAAAAATTATATAAAATTTAACACGATTGTGATTTCTGTCACTTTTGTTTTATAAATTAATATTTTTTAAAAATGTCATAACTATACTATACTATAACTAGTACAATAATAATATTTCTAATGCCGTTTTTGGAAAAGTTTTGTTTTGAAAGAATTGTCCAAACACAAAATGTAGAATTTAAGAAAACAAATTATTTAAGTGATTTTTGTATATCTAACAAGATTTTGAAATGCAATGATGATTTCATGGCTCTTAAATAAAATTACACCTCGTAAAACAATACAAACTACTTTTTTTTCTAGGAAAAGGTTTCTGAATTTTCCAACAGGCACTTCCAACGTGACGCTTTTAATAAAACATTTTTCTGCTTTATTTAAATCATGTTATATTTTTATAGATGAGTTATACTTTTTTTAGCCTCGTACCTTTGTTCAACAATGTCTTATCCAGACATTTAGTTTATTTTATTTTTCAATTGATTTGTTTATTAGTAGGTATATATTCTATTGTTTTCGCACATAGTGCTTAGTAAGTAGATTCGGTGTTGAAAATCAAACTACAAAACCAAAGTGATAATAGATCAGTGATCACAGCAGATAAATTGTATGAATTCATAACGTTGTGTATTATAATAGTTGAAATAATGTAAGACAACATTTGGCAACTAAATAATTTTATTCGACAATAACTAAGAACACTAAACGAAAGTGTACGACACACGAGAATAATAATTATGCTTTTTTAACAAAATAGCTATTGCTATTGTTTATCAGTAGTGCACAAAGGGCTTTTTCCGAAGTAGGAACGGAGAAGGGTTAATGTGTAGAAAATTTGTAGTGTAATAATTATGTTAGTAAAAGCTGTTTTGAAATGGTTTTTTTAAACGAAAATCACCGGGCTGCAGATATCTCAAAGAGAGTAATGACCCTCTACCCCACTATGTGCTCCACTGAAAATTACATTGTACACAATTATAATAATACTAATATTGTGTGGTAATTTTTTGTTTTTAAGCAATAATAAAAAAAAATAACAAGCGTAGATTATTGTATAATACTAAATAATTAATAGTCGAATAATAAAAAAGTATTTTTTTATTTAATTTGGGTCTGCAGTTTAAATTGATATGTGCCCGACGACAGGAACGAAACGACGAAAACAAAAATATAAACAATTTTAATTGCTCAATGGATTAGTTTTTTTTATATTGTTGTGATTAGACAGTATTACATTATGTTGTCTTCGCTGGGCTGGTTTAATTTGTTGTGCTGGTTGTAAACTTCCACCTGCAACGTATTACATATTTTTTCCATTAAACTACAACTATTACAAAACAACGAAAAATATTTAAAATTATATGTCTTGGTCCACAAGGGTGGACTTAGTACTTAGTAGGGGGAGGTGAGTGGTCAGTTACTTTGTACCATGGTAGTAAAAAGTTTTTTTAGTTTTTTCTTGACTTTTTTTTTATAGTATCTTCGACAATCAAAAAAATTATTAAAAAACAGTTTCTTATGTAAAATAATCACAGTTTTTTGTAAAAAATATGGATTAAGTTTTTCGATAACAGAGTCATAAAAATTGAGTTTATAATCTAAAAAGTTGGTTTTCTCGTGTTGCCCAAAATTTAAGAATTTTTTTTTAGAAAGCTGATATAATTTTACATAAAATGTGTACATTTTAAATTGTGTTCTCCATAAAAACGCTTTGAAAACCATAAAAAGAGGTGAAAAATTAGTAAATAATTGTGTGTAAAAATAAGACTATTTTCCCGTTTTTTCGACTTTTCTATGAAATTTCACCTTTTGTTTAATTTTCTAAGCGTTTTTACGGAGAACCTTGTTTGAAATTTACTGTAAATCAGTGTATCATCTCATACATATGTTGATACACGTGTTTACAGTCGATAATTTTATTGTTTCGCCACTTACCCATTTTTGCCAGTACGGCGTAAAGTGCGGCGAAGACGATTTCACTTGGAAGTACTTGTTTAGGGCGAGGTCAATCTGAGAAGCTTCGTCATTGGTCACCGGCCAATCCCGGGCTGCGGGCTGCTGAAAAGACCGTTTGCCAAAACCGCCGTAACACGAATGCCCGAACATGGCGCACCCGCCTAAAAATGAATAGAGCAATAATTTTTTAGTACACTAAAATCATATCTATAGAGCCAGCAGGGGCTATTTTTTAAAATTATTTTTGCTACTACACACATGAGCGCAATTAGGGGCTGAGCCTCCCCAAAAACCCACTCAAAGCACCCAGTTTTGTTTAAGGCCTAAGCCTAGTACAAACGAAACTGAGCTTAACAGATACAAAGGATTGTCTCTCCCCTCCCCTTTACCTTCCCCGTTCTCTTCTCCATTACCACCCTGACCTATACCGCGGTGTTACGAAATTGATGACGCTAATTCCATTTAGACAACCAGCCTATATCAATTTAAAAAAAAAATGGTTATGTTAGATGGGTTCCCATCCGGGAGTGTCCACCTTGCTGTGGTGGAAGGGATTGCGTATCCCAATGACCCGGAGGGTTGCCGGCAACCAGCAAGGCGACCAAATTCGGCAGGTCTATAGAGATGCATGAGACTAAGCGACACTCTGGGCAGGCGAGCTCATTAGTCTTGTAAGACAATCGCCTAAGGGAGGGAAAACCCTTACAGAAAACCGTGGCGGATGGAAGAAAACACAACGGTATTTTTTACTCCAGGCGGTAAGCCAACTTGGTTGGTAAATCAACCCTCTGCGAAGATCGGCCCTACGGATTCTTAGTGGGCCACCCATCACTTGCATTTTCAAAGGTGCTAAAGCAGGCCTTCGACTCTATTGCATTATGAGCGCATTTGAACCTGGTAACCTACTTTTTTTAAACAGTGGCCGTCAAAAGACAGTTTATGTTTTTTTATTTAGATGGGGTTCCCTAGAGTAGAGCAAAATTTTTTTTATTTTTTTTAATTTCACTGACGAAATAGTAATCTATTATTGCATTGGAACATAAATATTATAAAGCATACAAATTATATATGTACATATATTTTTTTTTTAGTTTTGAGGTTTCCAGGGCTATTGAATTTTCAAAAATAGTTTTCAAAAAAGTGTTCTTGGTTAGTACTCGTAATTTAATATTATTCATATTGTAAAACAGCTATTCACAATTGACATCTTAATACAAAGCGATTTTAAGATTTTTAAAATATTATCACAGGCGCTTAATACGACTTTTTATAGGAACGCTATAATCTAAATCGATAACAAAAACATATGTTTGCAGTTTTAAATAATATCAATGTACATTTTCTTTCAGAACCAACAGTGGTGTTGGTGTACGATTATGTAAACAGGTACGAAGAAAACTGACAGAAGTCGTTCACAGTATCGATTACGGCTTTATGGAAATGGTAAAACAAGACCGAATCATTCAAATGTGCTCTACACGATTTGAAACCGAAAGATAAAATTGGTTGCCGGTTGGTCTAAAGAAGCATACACGCTGTTTTGTAAGATGAAGTTTGCCCAGTCCGGGACGTCTTACGTTTATCCCGTGGAGACTAGAGGCGAAGTCATTGAAGTCGACGTGGTTTGGAGTGAATAACGTTTAATACAAAAACATACCAAATTTGGTCTACTAATAGTGTTTTTATTATGTTTTTATAGTGTTATTTTGATGACATATATTAGGATCTTAGTATCGTTAATAATTGTTCGATTGGAATAGTTTTTGAAAACAATTATGTGTTAAAAGAATGCCAACAAATAAAGCTTAAATAACTCCCTTGTAAAAGAAATGTTACAATTTTTTCTCAAATAAATACTCTTCTAAAAATTATAGTATAATTAAAATAGAAACACAATTAATCTATGTTTACAATTCCTTGTTTCTGAATTAAAGTAATTTGTCACACAATATGCACACTGTACATTGTTAATACATTCGGTATATATTGTCGTAGTCTATTTACGTTCAGAGAAATCAGAGTAATATATTTTAATGGCTTTTTGCCGGTGCTTTGTGCCATCGTAATACATATATTTTCGGTGTGTGTATCGAGTATATAATATAGTAATAGTATTTATATAACATTTGATTGTCTTTTTAATTAGGCACCGGATAAAAGCGTACCGAGTCGGTTATGAACAGCAGCCGACTTTTGCGGTGCCATTGTCTTGTTAAGTGTGTTTTTCAAAAGGAGCGCCTCGGTTATTTCTGGGTTCAAATCCCTGTTTTCATTGTTGGGGTTTAGGTGTTTGTCACATATGACATGCTGATGCACAAAAACGGATGGCTGACGTTCCGAGTATTTTAATCGGATCAACTGTTCTGGATAATGTAATATGAGCGACTGAAGAAGGGTTTGCAGCTCTTGCTCATTACAAGCGCTTATGTCATAGCAATAAGGGGCTCACGTGCTTGAATAAAATTCAAAAACTTATTCGTTTTTTTACTGGTAGGTGAACTACACTCGAGGAGTGGTAATACGGTATAATAAGAAAACTAAATATAACCTTGATTTACAATGGCACAATAGTTGCATTGTGTACAACAGCAGGAGGTGCACATCACTTAGGGACAAAGTACGATTATTGTAGTACTTATCGTTAAAAACAGTTTAACTCTAGAAATTTAACGAACCTTTGCAAGTAAAAAGAGTACAGCGAAAAAACACATCGAAATTGGAGTTTTGAAAATTGGGTTTATTGTGTTTACAATTTTATTGGAATTTGAATTTAATTGGTGTTTATTACATGGATCGTAACGAGTTTATACAAGCTACTAGCGCCAAGTTTTAAGCTTTTCAGTTTCAGTGTCTTGTAATAACAGCCGTATTTTAGTTGTATAATAAAAATTATTTTAAACTTATCGCAAACATAACCCGCGTATTCACATTTTTTAGATAACAGTTTGTTTTAGGTAATATTTTTATAGATTATTACAAAATAATTAATCTATACTATACACTATTGAACCATATTTAAATGCAATAGTTTTATTGATTTGTCGACGCTAAAAAAATATAAAATTAGCCTGCTAGTATTTTTTTTTCGAATAGTGCATTGACAGCACACAATGTATACCATCATTATGAACAATCAGTAGTGGGTAATATTGATTTTATAGTGTACAGATTATCCAACATATAACGTGTTAAAATTGTGACAGTGGCTAATGTGCATTTAACAGGGCTAAGTATGCGGGTACACCAGCTTCGTTCATTTATCCTTCTTGAAATATACGGTGCGATTTTAAGTAGCAGCTATTATAATACCTACTACTTGTATATCTGTAAATGGTGAACTTGGTAAATGCCCTTAACACAAATGTAGTTAAATTAACCGTTTTTGTATATTTTCATTTAAACACTAACCTTCCGATAATTTTGATACACCGGTATGGCTATTTTTTTTATTGTTATCTAATAAAATATTTTTAATTATAAAACTGTTAAACATTAATAACTTCTCGATTCGTTTCGCCTTCAACATAATTATTACAAGTTATACAAAAAACGAAGTACACCGTGACAGTAATATTGTATTATTTATTTTGAGTTTTTGATTATTGTGTAAAAATGTTTTATAACGTTTTTGTTATCCAGTAAATTATTAAAAGCTGTGTAAAATATGTTTGATGAAAATTAAAAAAAAAAACACAACACCAATATGATAAACTGCTTTTGGATTTCGGATTTATTGAATTCCGAAAGCATTTTATAGTCAAAGTTGAGTTTTTTTTTTAAAATGTTCATCAAAATATTTTACTTACAATTAGGTACACAGCTTTACAATGTAATAATATTTATAAGATTTTTAAGTGGCCTAAATAGCGTTTTTTTTTTTGTGAAAATCCAGATTTTTGAACTTCCATGACTATAGTTAATAATATAAATAAAATCTTATTAAAAAAAAATGTGGTGAGTACTAAAACGGCTATTTTTGATTCGTTGAAAATGTATAAATACATGTATATGTACTATTATTTAAAAAAATATGTCATCTGTGAAATCTTAGTATGGTTAATAATTGTCCGATTAGAATAATTTTAGAAAAAAACTATGGGTTAAAAGAATGCCAACAAATAAAGCCTACATTTTTACAACTCCCATATTAAAAAATGTTATAATTCTTTTTTCGAATAATTACACTTTCTAATGATAGTATAATTAAAATAAATGTTTTTTTTAAAAAATATTAAAACCGTAAAATCATCAGAACAATTATCTTTATAGAACAATGAGTACGTTGTAAACATATGAGATATATTATACATATAAAAGCTCGTGATTATAACGCCAGACCTAATAAATTATAACTGTATTGTATGTTATGAAACATGATTTTTGGGTTTATTTGTATACTCTTTTTATGTCAACTTAATTTTTGTGTTAACGTGGCGTAATGAAAAAAAATGCATTTAATTTTTGACAATTTAATAAAAAGTTGAACCATTTTGTTTTATTTCTTTAACGTTATTATAATGTTAACTGATTTAGACTTGGTTGATTAAAAAAAAATCTGTTAAATACCCTAGTGTAATAAAAACAAACAGCTACATTATTTCCAACGTATCGCGAGTGACATTGTAAGCGGTAGGTATTAAAAGCTATGTCTTTGATACAAAAAGAAAAACAACAAAATGTAATTAAATATACCTTAAAGACAACAAAGAAAACTTAGATTACAAACAAAAAAAATGCCACAAATTAATTTATTTCAGTGGTTTTACTTATTAAAATAGTTTATTGTTTAATTTTTCGCAGTTCTGAAAAAATGCGCATTACGGTTTGTTTTTCTAAAATTACTTTTTTGTTTAAATTTTATTTATTGTAAGTGTATATGTATGTATAGGTATTTTTAAAGAAATTAAATGGAACTGAGGTGCCGCTGGCTTATGATTAAACAATATATGGTAAATTTATAAAATTAAAATATTTGAATACAATTCATCTATTTTCTAGAATAATAGTCTTTAAAATACATCCAATTATTTATTTAAAAATGACATTTATCCAACCAACTAATATTGTGGGCTTCTTTCAAATTAAAATCGACAGATTTTGTTGTATGTTAGGTATCTATAATCGTATAATATATACTTTATATAACTATTCAACAAGGATA